CTATTCTAAAAGGAGATAGGAGTGAGCCCGGAGATGAAAGCAGAGCGCCGGACGGAGAATAGGGTGAGGGAAGCAGACTTTCATAGGGGAGGTCCGGAATTCCAGATCTGGAGGCACGGGATATGACAATTGTCCTGAAGTCTTTGTAGTACTTCACATACCACCTTTTGATGTTTCTCTACATCATTGTTGGTAAAGACCAAGATGTCATTGATGTATACTACAATGACCTTCCCTTCCTTGAGATCTTGGAAGATCTGGTCCATCATAGTTTGAAAGGTGGCAGGAGAGTTCATCATTCCAAAGTACATTACGACTGGTTCATGATGTCCAAAAGGGGTTCTGAAGGCGGCCTTCCACTGGTCTCCTTCTTTTATCCTAATATTATTGTAACCCCATTGAACATCCATTTTTGAATCTGATAGTCCATGACAGGTCTTAGTTTTCCATCCTTCTTGGCAACAAAGAAGAAAGGAGCTGCTACTGGAGATTTGGAATCTCTCAGCCATCCCAAATCATATTCTTGTTTGAGCCACTTCTCACATGCTTTGTTTTTGGCAGGTGAAAGGGGATATGCTTTCACATTTGGAGGAAGGTCATCGGAATCCTTGAGGTCTACCTTGTGATCACATTTCTTGGATTCGGGGAATTGAGTAGACTCTTCCTCGGAGAAGACCTTGAGATAGTCATGGAGCCATTCTAGGACCATCTCTTCTATGGGCTTCTTTTCCTTCTTCTTTTCCTCCTGTTGAGCTAACTCTGACACTACAGAGCTTTTGAATCTGATCCACATATTCACTGGACTATCCTTGTCAGGAACTTCCTCCATTGTGACCTTCCTGTGGAAATGTGGGATTTCCTCAAGCTTATTTATAGCCTTGGGCATAGGCTCTTCTATGTGACCTTCATTGTCGTCATCTTCCATAGGCAGTAACTCAGGTAGCAACTCAGGAACTACAGAAGCTACAGTCTTTCGCTTCTTTGCCTTGGTCTTCTTGTCTTTAACCTTGGCTTCTTGACACTTGACCGGACAACAGTCTAGTGCCACCTTTCCTGCATTCCAATTGATACTGGGGTTGTGATATCATAGCCAATCTATTCCAATGATAACATCATCGGTTCCTAGATCTATGATCAGAAAAACTACTTCTTCCTCATGATCCCCTATTGTGAGTTTCAAATTGGCATAGCTTTTGATTGGTCCAGTGGAGTTTTTAGTTCCATCAATATTGCGGACCGGCAGTGCTCACAACAACTGCTTGGTTTGGACTTGGTTCTTTTCTACAAACCTTTTGCTAATGAAGAGGTTTGTTGCTCTGCAGTCTACTAGAGCATTGATGTCTGCTTTCCTATGTTTTCCTTCCAACATAACTAGCAAGTAAAAATGTTCTCATTTATTCCTAGAACAAACTTCTGATACTTCTGTAAACATAATTGCCAAGTCACTAAGAACGGAAAAACAATTTTTCTAATTTAAGTTTGCAGTCAACTTTCATCCTTCTAAAAACCCTTCTTCTCTGGGTTGTACATGCTGGAGAGGCAGATCCTCTTGTTTATGATGTGGTTAATATCTTCCAGTGTGAGTGGCTTTGCTGCCAGTTTTTCTTCTTCACCGACTGCTCTGATAGCTGGTCTTTTGCCCTTGGTTAGGGGCTCTCCTGTTCAGTTATGAGCCATGTGCCCATTGTGGGTGAGGAAAATAGACTCTGGGGTGATTCAGATGTCTAACAAGGGTGCAAGACTAATACTCGTCCTGAGGGGATTGCTACTGGGTAGCGGGTCCTCAAGTAAGTGCGAGGAAAGCAAAGACTAGACTCTGTCTAGTGACCTGAAGGGTTCCGGTCCTTACTAGGACTGGGAACACAAAGATGTGGAAGGTACCTGACGAGCGGAACTCAGCACGCGACAAGCGGAACTACACGGAACTAACAGAACTAACGTGGGACAAACAGAACAAACGGGGAACAAACAGAACAAACAGAACAAACAGGGAACAAATGGGGAACTAATGGAGGGAAAAGAAACTACAAGCCTGCAGGAGGATGATTGGGCAAAGTCGGACCAGGCTTGTGTCTGGTACTTGCTCCAAGTCGTCGGATCCGATGTCGGGCATTTCGAGCGGAACTCACGGGGGTGGGAACGTTGCAATGAGATCAGGAATAGATTCAGGAAGATATTTTAGACAGTGAGTGGAGTACTGGGAAGTACTCTGTAAGTGGAAGTGGAGTCGAGTCTATCAGAAGGTAAAAAACTAAGATCCCATCTATTGCTACCTATATAGGAAGGGGTTCCGAAATGCGCTATGCTACAACCGGGTGAGGCTGTGAGATAAGGAACCGGTCCCAAGTAGCGGAAGGATCTGTATAAGTATTGTAACACATATGAAATGAGATAGGAACATGTTAGTAACACGGGGAACATAGCTAGTACTCACCAGCGATGATGGAAGGACAGGGACAGGACAGAGGAGGATGTTCTGAAGGCTAAAGGGATATGATGCATGTGGTACACGATTGTTCCGCTGGGTTCCGCTTGGTTCCGTGTAGCAGACAGCTTGGGGAAGATGCGGATGGGTAGCGGAATGCATGGGAAGATGGTGGTAAGGCATGGGAATTATATGGGATACAGGCCTACAGTGGGGACGTTCCCCACACTGTCTTTGCCACAATGATAACACTTGAAACTACCTCCCGGTTGTCCTTGAGGTTGGGGTCTACCTCCTGTCTTGGATGCATCTACTCCATCACATTTCCTCCTTGTAATGTTGTCTTGGGTGCTACTGGTGCAGATGTTGCAGCAGCACCTTGCCATGGGCAGCACGGTGTCCAAATGTTCTTCCTCTCGGAGTCAAGTTCCTTGAAGGAAGTTCTGCCCAATCATTTGAGCTTGTGTGATCAACTTGTCCAAGGTATCCTTGTCCTTGGGGTTGACATGAGCCAGTTTATTTCTGACTCATTGATCTAGGGCAAACCAGAACTTGTGACCAAGCTCATAACCAGAGAAGGAGCAATAAGCCATCTTCTGTCAGAACTCAGAGACGAATTCTGCAACTGTGTGGTTTCCTTGTCTAAGTGTGTCCAATTCTCTGGCTATCTTTTCTTCCTTGTTGGTGATCCCCCACATGGAGACCATCTCTCATCTCAAGTGGATGTAGTTCCAATGTCTGGACATCATGGTTGGGACTGCTGTCTCTGCCCACTTCACTGCAGAGCCTTTGCAGAATGAAAGAGTACAGTTACACTTTTGTTGGTCTGTGGCGGAGGGGTATCCTGTAAAGTAGATGTCACATTGGATAAAAAACTGATCAATGTCAATGGAGTTCTTGTCTCCCATGAACTCAGTGGGTTTAACCATTTTGAGATCAGAGTTTGAACTCCCAGAGGTGGCAGCTGAGGTCAATGTTGCAGACGAGGTTCACAAAGCCATGACCACCGTCTCTAGGTCTGCAATCTTGCTTGCAAGGACTGTGTTCTCGTCATTCACTACCACTAGGTTGTCTCACAACTTGTTGATCCAATTCCTCAGATTCTTGAAGTGCAACTTGTTGTACTCTCTTTCGTGTTCTATGACAGCGTGAATTGCGGCCGAAATGTCCCCATGGGTGATGATAGTTGTTCCAGGCCCTAAGATGCCTGGCAGGGCAGATGGGCCTTCTACGGGGGTGGTGGATCCTTCAACAAATGACTTACTATTGTATATAAGCAGGTCATAGTCTCGATGATTCCTCATCTTGACCTACACTGGAATTACCCAGATACATCCTTGACATACTAGTTAGACACTAGTGAATCTATCCTTGATTCCTTTGACTTCTCTAGAGTACCATCTCTAGTGATTGATTGGCTTGAAACCTTCTTTGATTACCCTTAGTGTAACATCTGTCATGTACATATTGTTCTCTGAGCCTCCTCTCATATGTATCAGTCATCCTTCTTGTAATTCTACACACTCAGCATATAGCCTCCTGCTATGCTATGCTACTTACTTAGAGTATATAAACATATGTACATTTGTCAGTAGATACCTCAGTCTGAATATTACCTTTTCTAAGCCCTACTCTTCTGTTCTTTGACTTGGGCTTGATCCTAGTCAAGTCCTGTTTGCTGGCCTAAGGGATTGACTCCCTAGGTCAGCTACCCTCTCCGCTTGTCCAACTTCCTGCACCTTGGCTGCCTTTCCCACCCTTCGGACTTGAGCCTAGCACTCTCGTACATCTGTTCTCTTGTTTCTGTTCTGCTTCAGACTTCATCTGAGCAGCCTCATCTGCTCCACTTCTACTATTGGTTCCAACTGCAATAGTCCTCCACCTCTCCCCTGTCAGGTGGTCCAACCTCCGCCCAACTTTCCCACACTCATCTGGTAGTCTGTCAGCCCTCCTTCAGAGAGCCTCTGCTCCTTGAACATCCTGTCAGAGCTCATAGACTTCATGTTGGACTACAATCTGAAATTAGGGGCACATACTCGGGTAAGGGGCGCAGCGCACAAGCTGAAGCCAAGCCCCTCAGACTCTGTCTTACCCCTGAGCACAGTCTTAACATGCTCTGAGTACATGTAACAAGCCACAGCACACACCCAGGACCACCTAAGCATGCAATGTACCATCATGGTCCCACAAATTGGAAGACTCATGCATCTAAAACAGCCAGCAGGAATGGCAGACCAATGAGGTCAACCCTCACCAGGGGTCCACTTCAGCACACAGTCAGCACAACTCTTTTGTTTGTAGCAGCAGTCTTTAGGGCCTGATCAGTCCTTGTTGCAGTATGAGGACAATAGAGCATCAAAACCTTCTCAGTCACAACCAAGCAGCAATTCATTTGTACATATGATATACCATAAACATAGAGTGACTCAGACTCCATCATCAGAGAACTCGTGAGTCTACCCAGGGCACTTTATATCAATTACAGCATTTTACATGACTTTATATGACTTTATATTCCAATATAAAGGAAAGAAGTTCTATATATGATGATATATCATCATATAAGACTTTATCTGTGGGTCATCAATTCACTGATGCAGAGGTAGATGAAGGACACTAGAATGGTAAAAATGTGACCAAGCCAAGGGTTTGACTGTAGGTCATACTACTCATCACGACAAAGCAAACACAAGAGGTGTTGATATGTGCACATGGTCTTCTATAATCCCTGACCATTCACACAAGGCTGGATCCCATCCAAATCTGGGTAAAACTAGCAAGAAGAGACATGTGGTTACTAGCAGTAAGTCGCATATGATATCCAAACCATCTATATTTCAGTAAGAAAGAGGTCTCCAAACCTCACCGGAGGGATGGCGTCAAGTACTAGCTTCAGATGAAAACCTAGAAACCATATGGCGCAATTCGCCTAATGCACTTGGGCTGGGGCTTCCTCCATTCATCACCCCCAGGACCCGCAAGCTGCATAAGGAGTCTGTGCTTGAGAGATAGTCTGTCTGAGAAGGACGCGTTGATAATATCACTGCCCTCGTATTCTCTATGTGGAGGACGACGCCCTGGCCACGGCGCGTTGATGGGCCAAGTGGGAAGGTAGCACATTTCCTAAAGGAAACGCAGGTAAAATGCAGGCAGTGGATGATGTCAAGACGTTTACCTCAGGCCCGCAAGCTGGATGACACCTAACCCACACGCTCCAATCAAGCCAAGCCATCAAATCACTTATTTCTTGCCTCCACGTATCTATCAGGCGGGCAATTTCTGCGGCGTCTGAAGGGGAATCACGGGGAAGATATGGATCAAGACCTGCAACGACGCCAGCAGCCCACATCTTTGTGATAATGCGACATATCTCGCGTGTAGTTTCTTGTACTGCATTCAACAGTAGGCGTTCGGAATGGTTCAAGCTTGAACTATATGATGCGATGGACGATGTGTGCACAGTCCCGCATGCTTTGAACACTGGTGTCGCCCAGGAATGAGCTGAGTCATAGGATGCGCTGGGGGGAACACTAGTGTGGAAAATGTATGGCGTGAGCATCACGCGCAGCTGGAAGTGCACCTTGCTTGCTTGGTCCCAAGGCGTGTCATTTTCCGAGGTGTGATTGAGAAGGTAGTCCATCAAGTCAAGGCGGTCTGAGTAACGTTCCACGATGACTCTGAAAAGAGTTTTCCAGTCGATGCCACTAAAGTCGCCCTGATGTCGCTCTAAGGCGCGAGAGACGCTACGTCTCACCACCTCCATATCTACGGAAGATATGCCTTGTACGCGGTGGTCGCACCGCTCCTGGCCGGCGCGTGAACCAACGAGTGATGGTGCGATCGTGGTGTCGTACAGTGAGACGATTCCAGCCAAATCAAGGTTAATTCGTGTATCCCCAGGGTGTCGATTGTGCCATGACCCGGCGTGCATCACTTCAAACATGCGATCCACTAGATATATACATCAGAAAGACATAAGGAAGATGGAAACATAGAGACTTGCTGAATATATTTGGAATTCTTGAGATTGTAGAAACCGGTACGACAAGGCTGGCAAGGTTAGACCAGGAGACAACTTCTACGCCAGCCGTAAAATCACAGAGCATGACTTCACTTACGCGGATCAATCACTATCAGTTGAAGAATACTATGCGATAATTAAGGACATACAAATCCATTTCCATTCTGTAAAAAAAGTTCGATACTATAACGAGATGATACTAGGCATGTTAGCTCACCGAACATAACCATCAACAGCGTACGGTGCACCCCATTTGCACAAATCTTCGATGCGCTGTACCTCGTTCATCCACCAGTCGGGTTTAAACTCTCCCCATGCAATGATATCCTGAGTGTCGAGAGTACCATCTTTGGTATTGGCTGCGCTGGTCCCGTCAAAATAAAGGACTTTGAGGGGACGTGTTGCTGCAAGCGTCAAATGCCAACATCCTGTATCGGACAAGCCTCGGCAGAAGAGGACAGAGTGTTCCGGATCTGTGGCCGTCCACTCAGGAACCGTAGGAATTTTGTCGCTGAAAGCTCCATGATACAATAAGGTGCCTTTTGGAATGACACCCGGAACAATTGCATGGCCTGGTGGTCAGTGATAACACCGTATCAGATACTCGTCCCAAAATCAGGATAAGACTGACCATTCCGATAGCGCGTGTTTGGCCAATGCTGGAGCAACGAATTTACAGTTTCAAACACAAAGTGCCCAGTTGCGTTAGCAGGAGGTAGCTCATCAAGCTGCCAAGGTGTCGTGTCGAGGCTACCCGAGTCCAGAGGGCTAGCTGAGTTATGTGATCCAGGTGTCCTAGATAGAGTTCCGAGTTCCGGTGACTCCTGCTTGCCATCAGGTGAGAAGCCCAAGGGGACTTGCGCTGCTAGTGACCATAAGACAAGGTGACATCCAATAAGCATCCAAAGCATCCTCGACTACTCTGGCTGAATAGCTGTTGTGGTGGCCGTGGTACAGTTGTTCAGCGTTCAATTCTCTGACGAACTGTGCCAGCTGGCAGGGCATACTGATGATGCGCAGTTTGGTATGTACTAAGAATAGTTAAGGTACCCCCAGATCAAGGATTCGGATAAGAGGATGAAAATATTTTGTACAAATGAAAACGACACCCACTTTGAAACCGGAAGGAGGTTCGAATAACCTGTTAGGGTAGTGATTTGTGCAAAACACCCACAAGAGTGGTGGTGAGCAGGTGCAAGGTGATCAAGTGAATCATCAACGTACCGGGTTTTTAGTACCTCCAGAATAATCACCAGTACTTAGTAGCAATTAATTATTATTTAACCCCATTAACCCCAGTCAATTCGCAGTTAATTCAAGGCAGGACGCACCAGTCATGTATAACCTGGGTTAAAAACAAGACTGCTCACGCGTATCCCAATCATCGACATGCGCTTTACATTTGGAGACGAATCAAACTATTCTCTTGATTTTTCTCTTTCATCGCCTTCTCGATCAGATGCATAAATTTATTCTTTCATGCCATCTACAATGATCATGACAGCATGTTCATTCTCCTGCACGAGACCACTAATACTAGCCACAATCACTTCACCCTCGATATTTGGGAAACCTCCGCCGTGCACCACGTATACGCTTCATCTCAAATGATTCCTGCAGCGTCTTCCCTGTCTTATGAAAGTTCGAGGCTATTTGAGTCATTCCAAATGGATTAATATTCGAGTCTCAGTGACTCCTTGCCATCAGGCGACTTGACTGTCAGTGTCTGAGACAAGGCATCCAACAGCCGAATCGCTACTGTGACGGTCGTTCTTCAACGTCCAATTTATTAATACCATGTCTATGGCTGCGTCAACAGTCCCCGCAGTCATCGTATCTGCGATAGGAACTTTCCAGGGCACACAACGGGCGCACCCGCATATATATTTGGTTGTGTCCAAACACGTATCTCACCCACAACCTAGGATATGATTCTGGAGGATATATGGTCCCGGACGAAAATTCCCGCTATGCAGTCAAGGTGGATGAACGATGGATGAATGCACGCGACGAGTGGATAATAACCCCAGATGGCTCAGGGCCATACAAGTCGGTATACATTCATAATGTTCTCATGATATGGGACTATCATGTTTGTTCGTGGTCTGCAGCCTTGAGTGTGCAATCCGGAAGTGAGTCTGACTCGATGACTTTGCTATATGTGATCCTGATGGGAAAAAAACTATGGTTCGCGCAGATTTTGTTTGCTTTGACTTTCAGACTGGGTAAGCCTACAAATGCTCTCGGGGCTACTATTGGTTCGAATCTGCCCTGCTGCATAGTACCAACATCTTTGGGGGGCAGGAATAGTCCTACCTCTGGAACTTTCGCCGAGTCAGCCTATCTAAGACAGAAATCGAGAATACTACGATGTCGAGTACCTCATTCAGGGACCAGGGTCACTGGCTACAAAATGAGTGAGCACCTGTTTGCACACACGATCAAACGCGACATATCGCGCCGACAAATTCTTGCGGATACAGATATCTCATCTTAAACGTTATCAGCCACTCGGAATCGCATGGAGAAGCACAAAGATCACCATGACACTTACGCTGGTCTCGATTTTGCGACAGGTCCGTCGGTTTGTTGCAAATCCGTTGACCGCTAGCTGACTATTTGCTTTGACCACATGTGCATCATTAAAAGCGGCTGTTGCCAACTGCGGGAGTGACGTGATCCACGCGGATGTAAGTGACTGATAGTTCTTCTCGCACAGAAGATCGATCTCACTTTCATTAGGGATATAGGGGGTTCTCTGTAGTTTTATAATCGGACATACCGCCGGCACTCCTGTGAAAACACACGCGTCAGACTGATGATTATACTGGAATCTTGTATTTCGAGTGTCTCATCTTCTTGAGACGAGATAAGCCAAACTCGACGTGAAATTAGGCCTCAGAAAGGCGAATTCAAGGTTAGTTCCTGGATTGCCCTTCCGTTCGCTCTTGACTAACAGAAGGTTAGCCCGCTCAGAATACCATCACTCACACCTCGAGCCTGGGATATTTTTGAGTTATGTCGGGAAGCCCTGGAGTGCTGTAGAATCATGATGCGATGGGTACGCTACTTTCTCAATTCCGTTATTCGTCACTGAGTAGTGTTACTGGAAAATTCGTGCGTGCAGATTTCGATGTGGGTTATCTGGTACAGTACATATGTACAGCTTAAGGGAAGGCTGACTACGTGCCTTCGCCATTTATTCGAAAGGGATACACTTAAAGTCGATGTATATTTGCAGATATGTTGCGTTGACATTTGCATCCACAACCTTGTAAACTGCATGTAGGAGGCATTACGCTAGTCACGAAAGATTCCTCCCTGGTTGGTCGTAGTAGTATCTCGTAAAGTACAAATGATATCGACTTGGATCCCTGGGTAATGCCGTACTACATGCAATGCGATCTACTGCCAGCCCATTATCATCATTTCGTGAACTGTATAAAGACTGCGTCTCATATAAGGGATATAACATTGGAATCGTGCACTACTTCGAGGGAAGGAAAAAGGGCAATGTATTCCGCACGCTCCTCATCCGTCAACGTCGGTAGACGACCGCTGAAAATTAGGCTCTCCAGGGGACACTTTGACCGTAGCAAGAATGCCTTGAACTGCTCATGAGGCCATGTGTCGCCAGGGCGAGCTTCAAACACCCGTAAATTGGGGAGTGATAGAACATCGAACAGGTTGGATAAAGGGAGCACGTCCAGTGAGTACGCATTTCAGCTGAAGCGTATGTATCGAATTTCGCTGTGCGTGAACGGCTCCAAGGTCATCGTCCGGTCAAATCTACGGCGAACGTAAACCGTTAACGAGGAGAGGTTGGGACATAGCTGGAGCAAGTGGAGGAATTCATTCAGTTGATATATGTCGATCCCAATATTTGTGAGGTTGGCCCATACGGGATCGAAAGAAGATAAGTGCTCAAGGTTGAACCACAACCCCGAAACATCAAGACTGCGCAGAGTGGACGGCATTCGCGAGATGTATTGTGGAACTGATGGAAAGTCTTGGAAGTTCCGTATCTTCAGCTCCTGAAATGCTGGGAGATTAATTAACAAAAGTTCAGGTTGGACCATATCACTGAAAAAATAGATACAGAGAGAGGTGATTTGATTGATGTAGGGTTGAACAAGGCTTCGTAGCTTGATCGAGTCATCTGCGTCGCAGTTGAGTTGTAACGAGAGCCGACATCCTCGTGATCGCTTGAGCCATGAGTCGTAGCAGAAAGCTACCTCCTGCCAGTCACTGTTGTTGACTTGCATATACAGCCTGCGCCATAAACCGGGTATACCCACAGCAACCTCCCTCCATCCTCGGCATACTTCTGTCAACAGCATGGGAGCTTCTCGGCTTGATGGAGAAAACCAGAGGATGCGGTCTTTGGGAAGACAGTGGTAAAAAATTTGGGACAGGACTTCAGTTGGCAAGCGCCAGAGAGCCGATCCAAATCTCTTGTGCATGTTCATGGACTGGGTGATCCTGTCCTTCTTTTCAACGAGTTGCTGATGAAGATTCTTTAAGCCATCCACCACGGTTTCCATGCCTGAAATCTCGTGCAAAACTGCATCCAATTGTTTCTGGCGCTCATTGATGATGGCGCTAATGTGGTCTTGGTGAATAGACTGATCGGTGTTGGGGAAACTGGAATATGGGGTTTCAAGATCTGGAATCTGGTCATCATCGATAAAATAACATCTGATATATATATCGGAAGGGACATACGGTCACTTGTGAACATGCGAGCTGAAGCGAATGAACATTATTATATGCAGACACGAGTGCCTATAAAACTGGGCACTTACGATGTTTTGTAGTGCATCGATCATGTCCAAGATATTTGCTTTTGAATTTGCTGTCGTCATCTCGATTGCCTGCATGTTGTTTGCTACCTATGTAGCGCGATGGATACGCTTTGAAGACGAAGGCGAAGACGATTTGCTACTCCCACGATTACTGTGGTAGTTCGAGAGAACACAAGTGTTGGCACGACACATATATAGGGGACGTAGGTGCGCCATTGAGGTGACGGGTGACGCCGCTCGAAAAGGTAACTGCGCGTCACGAAGCCACCCGCCGGTACACGCTTGGGTGACGCCATGGGGACGATGTTGTTGCAGATGAAAAAATAACAAGAGTCCGCGAAGCCCATGTATCATGCATCTTACGGGGCAGTGTGCGACTACTAACAATTGCTAAATCTTGTGCAAGTCTCAAGACACAAGTCGGGATCCTGGATTCCTGCGGCTGGCACTACAACTTCGCCTGAAGGCAATGTACTTCGCTCGCACTCATCTGTGATCCTCGCTCCAAATCGCAAAATCAGGGTCTCCGGGAGATAGTTTGACCGTACCAAGAGTGCCTTGAACGCCTCATGAGGCCATGTTGGTATATAGCGAGCTTCACAAGTATCGAACAGGCCAGATAGAGTGGCTCTAACTTAAGTGGGTATTTGGTCAAATGCTACGCAAAAGGTTAACGAGGAGAGGTTGGGATATAGCTCGAGCAAGTGGAGCGGCATATTAACGGTTGAAACGTCCGAGGATTGTTCGAGGAAGATGAAGTGAAGGAAAGGAAGTACGATGTAATTTCCTAGACAGTCGCATTCTTCCATACCCAAAACGCCAAACGCCGCAGAAGCTCAACACGAAATGCACATCCGTTTATATATTAAGCCGTGATCCGCGCTTTTTGAGTACTAATCCACAACCTCTATCGACGTTGGGAAAGAATTATTTGTGCAGGTTCGCTAGTGATACTTAGGAAGATGGCGTGGCTACATTCCAGAGTTTGACTAAGGAGATCACCGAAAGAACACGCGTGTCAAGATACGGCGTAACGGGGTTGCGGCGCCTACATTCTCAAATCGCATTGAGCTTCATTATTGTTCGGTGGCGTCGCTCGATAAATTGCACGAGTATAGATTTTGAAGTCGATTCTTGACTTTGGAAAGATGGGCTTTTGAGTAGATTGTTAGAGATATGAATGATGGATGCAATGTTGGGTGTGATGGCTATCGCTCAGGAAATCGCCGAGGACACTGCCAAGATACTAGGTTCGTGAGAATGATAGGAGGTGTACGTCTGGACATTGAGAGTGACAGGTGAATGCAGTAGAAGACTCATTTCGTCGTGCGCGCTATGATAAATGAGACGTTCGCCATCAAGCCCGCTATCAGCGCACTAGACATGAGATGGTACGACTATACCTTGCATGGAGAACACCGCAGAGGAGTGATGAAAATGCTCGAATGCCAATCTCACGCAGTGACAGATCCTGTCAGGGGGCGTTGATAGGTGAGACATAACTTCTAATAGGGTTTGTAGTACTCGCGTCCGAGTCATCAGCACGTTGCAAATCATGCAGCAAAGACTCACAGTACCAACTTGGTGTATTTGATTCGCTATAATGGGACTTGACTAACGCATGGTTGGAGATCACCGAGTGCCAAGATAGTAGTAGTGGGGTTCGTGAGAGACGGACTTTGAGGGAAGCGCCTTGAAGTGACGCCCGGATAAGGTTGGGGGAGTGAAAAGATTAACAAAAATAGGAATGAGACTAGTACGAGTCAACAATAAGGATGACTCACAATGGGAAATGATAATACAAGGTAGGTATACTGCGGAATAGGTGGGTTATAGAACAAAGGGAAGGTAGAGGGTATGCATATGACGACGGTCGAGACTGACCCTTTAAAAAAAAAATGAAAAGCACAATGACGGCATATTTGATCATTTGATGGGGAGATTAGCATAGTGTAACACGTGATGACGGGGAGGTGAGTAGTAACCCACGTGAGAGCGCCGGATGCGCAGTGGGAGAAGTAAACAAAAAAAGGAAATTAAAATATAAAAAAGGGGTTTACGTTAATGATCGAAACGGGGGGGTACGCAGCAATCTGTTTTTGATTTTTAACGCTTCTCTCCCTCCTACCACCACCATCCTACTACAACTTCGCTGGTCGACCTTCAATCCTAATGTTTTATAATGTCTGATACTTCCCATTCACACAATTATGGTACAAGAATAAGGAATAACTCAATCCTTAAACCAAGTCCACGTCTTCGTCAATCACCACAACCAAGGCGTATAAAACCAGTACCACAACCTGACCAACCTCCACAACAACAACAACAGCAACAGTATCCCATATTTCCATTACCAAATGTTATGCTACATCCAGAAGACGCTACTAGCAAGGTCTTTCATGCTATCGGTCGTTGCTTTCTCAGCGTGGTAACTATCCCTTTTCCTCGTTCCTATCCCTATCCTCACGTGCTTCTTAACAGGACAATCGAGCCATGACGATCAAGGACCTTGCGGAAATGACCCTAAACTACGGCCTCATGTGTCAGAAGTATGCTTCCCTTTCTTCTTTCCCTTCACTCATCTCACTTTCACCCTCTAGTGTCTCTGCTGCTTCACAAGCAATAACAACTTACATACGCAACCATCTCGCACGATGCGAAGCTCAACAAGATCACCCCCTTTTACTTCGTCACGTCCTTTCAGGAACTCCTGCTGACGATGATCTCGTACCTGCACTCCATTCCCGTGTAGGAGGCGCGCCACTACAAAGGCAGCCCCTCGACACCACGTGTATCCCCACCGGCCGTAACACAAACTTTCGTCGTGGCACAATCGTATGGTACCTCTCAAAAGCTAGTGGCGTATCTTGCCCTTTCGCTCGTGCTGGTATCCTCCTCTCAAATTACCCGTCTTCAAATTCAAATCCAAAGCCTCGAAAGCAATCTCATGATCCAACAGAAAAGTGTGGAGAAAAGCGCAAAAGACTCATCTCCAGACGCTGTCGCGCCACTGACAGACCATCTTCGGAAAGTGCCAGCCCACCTCCCAGCTCCAGTCCTATCGATAGTGGTTACGCAGAGAGTGCATCCAGTTCTTCCGACGACGACGAAGAAGAAGAAGAAGACGAACCTGAAAGACCTCCAAAAGTCAAACTCACGCTCCGTCTTCGTCCATCTCCCGTTACCACAACTCCGGACATAATCGATCTCTCCAATGACGCCTCTTCTGAAGATGATATAGTCGATATGTCTCCTGCAGTGCCCGATATCATGCCAGAACCATTTTGCCTCCCTCCCTACCCTCGCAGATCAATCGCAGTCCCATGTTACACCCCCGTATCCCCCCCAACACGCACCTCCCTTCAATATGTCTTTCCCCCGCCACCCATCGACCAATCAAGGGGAAGTGCATCACCCCCACCAGATTCTGACCACGAAGAAGAGGGTGACTTTGATTTTGATTTCTCCAGCGATGAAGAGGAATCTCGGGGCGCGAGCGTAAAGGTAGAAGAAGAGGGGGATGATATCAGTATCGGCGCAAGTCATAAAGAAAAGAACGTGAGAGACATGCTAGATGCCTGGGAGGACCTCGATTTCAATCGTGCGCGCTCATATTCATGCCCAGAGTCTCCTTTTGGCTTCGCTTTGGTGGCGCGGGATAATGAAAGTCGCCATGTAGGGGCATCTGAGGTCAAGGTGGAGGAACTTGAAATGTGGGAATGGGAATTTGATAGTGGCTGGCCTGGCGCGTGTGTGGAGGTTGAGGTGAAGAAGGAAGATGCTTCAGAGTCGCTGAGGTTGTCGCCTGCGGTTGGACCGTGGAGCGCTTATCCGCTTTCTCCTATGTCGCCACTTACTCCCTCTCCGACGTCTCCGTCTTCGAGTACAGGGTTTACGTTCCATTTCTCGCCACCTTCGTCGTACTCGCCACGCGCATCAGGTTCCCCCTCTCGGGTGGCACACTCGAAGAAACCTTCTCTCGAGCGCAGGGACAGTGTACTGGACTGGCAGGACGCAGAACTACTTGGCCCTGACAGCGTGCATATAGCCGAGCTGGAACTGGAGTGGGAAGAGGGGACTAGACGGACACGATTTGTATCGCCATCACCGGGCGCTTTAAGTGAAGATGCTCAAATGGCTGATCCCGAGCCTCTCCCCGAACGCAAAGAGCAAGTAGTAGTCGTACACACGTGCGTGCCCTGCGATCCGCCTGTGAGCGCTACGCAAGTCGAAGGTCCGTTTCCCCTTCTTATCATCTTTATCAAGCGCTGAATTGTTGTTAGGGATACCGGTGTTTCAGACTACGCTACCTTTGCGCCCCCCGCATACACAGACTGACACGAACGCTCCTTCGCAGGCTAGACACAGATTTCGTGAACCTCACGCCTCTCCTGGCTGCATTCTCCCCTTGCCCATATCCCTCCCTTCCATCAAGCGCCGTACGCTTCGACCACCCCAACCCAGCTGTCGCAGGTATCTGGGTCTCTCTCGACAGTGCCCGTCAGTTCCTACAAACTCAGCCTTTGCCCACAAACCTAAATGAAGAAGCTCAAATGATGAGAAAGAGCGTCGAGGTGTTTTTGAGCGATGAGCTTGTGATGAGGTTTCCGAGCGCGTTGAGGGATTTTTGGAGGGCTAGTAAGCCTGGGAGGATGTTGGGGCCAGTTTGGGGTTTGTTTTGAGGGTGGAGGTGTTGGAAGGGTGTCGTCGTCAGTGACGTCGGTGGCATCTTCGTCGAGGGCGTTGGCGTCGCCTGTGCTGTCTCCACCTCAGTCATCGTCGGCTTCGTCTTCGCGGTCTGAATCGTATTCCCCGATGTCTTCTGAATCACACCCCCCGCCGTCTTCTGGATCACATCCTCCGCCTTCGTCGTTGCCACTGCTATCACCCACGTCCACCCCCGCACTTCCCAAATCCAAAGAAGAAGTATGGAGTCTTCCCGAAGACCCCGAGCGAGAAGCAGACATAGAAGCAGAACCTGTGCTTCCTCCGTTTGATCTTGCGCTAGCAGCGCTTGCCTCGGGGTTAGGACCTAGTTTGGGGTGTGATTCTGGAAGTGAGGGTAACGAGATTGGAAGCGGAAGCGCCGGTCTTGGACGAGTTGGTTTTGGGAGTGGCAGCACCGATTTTGGACTCGGAAGCGCCGATCTTGGAAGTGGCAGCAGTGAGCCGCCACTGAGTCCTACGGAGGCAGAGATGTTCCGGGTTCTGTGCATGTGTCCTGATTGGGAAGGTGAGGATGAGGATGGCGAGCGCGACAAAGACACCGACGTGGATGTGGATGTGGAGATTGTGGAAGAGGAGCCGAGGAGTTTGAAGGATGGCCGTTCGTTGAGGCGGTCGAAACGCGTTGCGGATGCTGTTGCGCGTACGCGTGGTGTGCGGCCCCGAATGAGGGGGCCGAGACATGCATGAGGTTTGCTGCTCGATCCGCTACCTCGATCCACCCTGCTTTGATATGCAACTACTCTCACTACTGCAAGATTTTCTCAGGTTTCAAGCCCCCCTCTTTTGCTTGACTACTTGCTTGCAGATTTCGTTCTGGACTGATTTTTTGTGCTCTTTTTTTTGCTATTGATCAAGCCTCGTGCGTTAGAACTGTATCAGATATCGACCCGTCTCTCCCATATACCTCTTGCGCAAGATGCACCAAGTATCCTAGGTTCCCCAATCGACTGCCACTCGCTTTTTTACCTACCTCTTCACACATTTTGTGCGTAGTGGGGTCGATTGTTGCATACACATTCGATTCAAATTTTTGTCTTGCGACGGCTTCGTTCAATTTGTATGTATAGTCCAAGCCCCCCCCCACTCATAGTTTACTCGCTTTTTGTACGCATGCAGTAATGATGAAGCGTTTAAACGAAATGATGATCAATCAATTGGTGTATCACCGCGCCAAGGTGATACTCCGATGTTGGGCAGTGACTTGGCAATTAAATTTAACGGTCTGGTTGTAGGATGATGCGGTGGACGAACGAAAAGTCTAGGGCGTAACAAACGTTTGGTGTTGGGAAGAAGAGCGGAGTATGAAAAGAAACGAGTGGGATTTCTTTCGACGTTTCTCCCAACCAGAGCATCTTACTTAGTACTTGCATATTTCTCTGGTACCAAAGCTTTTCTATAAAGTACTACTCCTCTACTGGACTGGTCGGCTGTCCATCAAATATCTTGTTTCTCCTCCTCGTTCTTTTTTTTTTGTCTTTTTTGTTTGGTGTTGCTCCAGGACTAAGTAATTTCACGTCTCTCTCGCGACTGCCACCGCGAAAACGAAACGACCCTGCTCGTCTAGGCTCGGTCCATCACTAGTCTCATCCAATCATAGGTTCAGCTTGGCTCCAAGTCTTATCATTGCACGACAAAAACAACGGACAAACTCCGTTAATCATCATCCCATCCACCCCAAACGCTAATCCTAATTCCACCAAAATAAGCCCTATAATGTCTTTATCTGCCTCTGACAACACTGGCTCCTATTCACGAGTGTCCTCGGGAAAGACCCCTCCCCCAGCTCCCTCTGCTGCATATGCAAAGAGGTATGTCTCATTTTTCTTTTCGCTTTTTTAGCCGATCGGCTTCGTTTACCACGCCGAGAACAGGGCACGGGAGATTCAGGCGGAAGAACGGCTCAACGGTGCTAGATATAGGCCTCCTGCGCTGCGCGCTCTTCCTCCGAGCGGTTCTCCCCCAAACGACATCAACACCACAGTCGCTTCCCCTAGTGATGACGCCACAACGACCGCTTCTAATTACCCGCCAGGATTTAGGAGAGCACGTGCAGGAACGCTGCCTTCTGATGTGCATCTCGCTGCTCAGCGATTCGCTGCTGCTTCCAATACTTTGAGCAGTACTAATCCATCAACCGAATCATTTGCCGAACAGTTGCAGCAGAGACAGGCGGCTAATACGCCTCCTAGTATCGTCGTACCCACACGTTCTGTTATACGGCATTCCACTACTATCGCTGCTGCTGCTACTGCGCTTCCTTCCTCCGCCGGCCCCACATCTGTCGGTTCCGAGCGTAACAGCCGTCTGAGGTCAGGTTCGTTAACGCTACCCTCAGCCGGTCTTTCCAACGCATTCGGCCCGTCCATCTTCTCATCGTCATGGTTATCCTCCAACGGATCGGGTTCCAACTTTCCTATTCTAGACGAGTTGCGTTCCGTTACGTCCGCGGACTCGGTCGATGATTTTGATGTTCATACATTGGATTATCTGGGTTTGGATGATAGTCACCGACCCCCTCCTGCTGCTACTATTTCTGAGCTCCGTACGCAAGCGCAGGCTGCTATTGCTGGGAACCTCGCTAATCCACCGCGCTTGAGAGCGAGTACGGTTTCGAACCCGTATCGTACGCGTTCGTCTGGTGCTTCGTCTCTACTTGCGACCCCTAATGCGGAGGAGGAAGAGGAGTATTTTGATGGGCATGATCAGCAGTACGAGCGTCAACGTTTGGGTCTGTACGATGGCTCCATGTCGGACGCTAGTCTTTTTCACTCGTCATACGTGGCGAAGGGGTTTAAGCAGGGCGATCATTTAAACCCTGCAAGCGCGCTTTCATCCCGGCCTAGAGCAATCTCCGTGGGAACGCTCGATGATCCCATTCGCACCCTCCAGCGCCGCGCCACGACAAGCGAAGTCCAATCCCCCTATCTCAACGACCTTGTAGTCGCCGGCGGAAGTCTTGCGAATCTGGCTAGTCCTGCTGGTATTCTGAAGAGCGATGTGAAGATGTCCGGTTCGCGAGGAACGTCTTCCCCTACGGTGCATTTCCCTAATGGCGAGTTGAGTCGTGCGTCTTCGTACCTCGCTGCTCCCAATTCTCAGGGAAGGGCTGTGTCTCCCAAGACCGAGGCAAATAATAACTCGCAGATCCAGACGCCTACGCGATCGTTGTGGATTGGGAATTTGGATAGTGCTGTTACGAGCGAGCAGCTTATTCATGTATTTGCGCCGTATGGAGCTATTGAGAGTTTGAGGCTTCTTCCGGAGAAGGTGCGTGATTTGCATGGAATGGATGAGGGGAGGAAATGCTGATTTTTTTTTCGTTGGTTATAGGAATGCGGTTTCGTCAATTTCGTGGACCAAGCGGATGCTATCCGGGCCAAAGACGATGTCCTCAACCGTCTAGGCGGGAATATCGGTATGCCCAACGGGCAGACTGTGCGTATTGGCTTTGGGAAGGCGGACAGCGCTCCTGTTGCTCCGGCCAAGGGGACGACTGTTACGAACTCTGGCGCCACGTCTCCTAGTGGTTTGAGCAAGGCCAGCAGCCCTGGCCTTGGCGGATTGGACGCGCAGCTGCAATCTACGCCTACTCGTGCGTTGTGGATTGGGTCTATCCCGAGCACTACTACGCCTGCGACGATCTTGAGCGTTTTCAGTCCTTATGGGCCTATCGAGTCTGCGAGGGTGTTGACGCATAAAAATTGTGGATTTAGTGAGTGTTGAGTTCCGTGAGGTGTTGTGATGTTAATTGTCTTGGTAGTCAACTTCGAACGTCTGGACGACGCTGTGCGGGCTAGGAAGGCTCTGAATGGCCGTGATGTCCTTGGTAGCGACGTCGGTGCCATCCGTATCGGCTTTGCCAAGGTCCCTGTCAAGAACGGCCAGGAAGGCAACGGAACGCAAGATGAAAGTCCCAGCGTAGCAGTGCAGGGCATTGGCGACTTGAGCGTCGGAGCCACTATCCACGCCCTTCGCAGCGTCAAGGGTGCATCCACTATCCCAGCGGATCAGCAAGTGCTTGGTGGTCAAGTGGAGAACTACCGCTCGAATCTCTTGCTTAGCATGATTGGCTCTGGCATGCATAATATCGCGTATGTTTCTGATGGCTTGTCGAAGCCCGCTGGATGGTCGCCGTCGGTCACGGAGCAGCAGATGATCATGAAGGAGTTGACGGCTGGTAGCCCTGATGCTGATTTCGATATTCAGTCGTTGTCTGGTGCGTCTCGATCATTCGGTCGCCGATTTCAGGGGCCTCTGACATGGCGCCCACAGAATTCCGGCCCCCGACCATGTACTACACGACGATCCCGCTTGTCTCTGAGAGACCCAACAACAGGCGCTGGGATGCTTCAAAATTGCGCGAACTCCGAAAGAGGCTGGATTCTGGTACTATGACCGTAGAGGAAACTGACCAAGTCGCTGGTGACTTTTTGGATGGCGAGATTGTCGACTTGGCCTCGGACTGGCTGGGCAACACGGTGGGTATCCCCACGCCGAATCCGGTTGCCGTGGCTCACATAGGTATGCTGCAGGTCGTACAAAAGTTGTTTGAAAAGTGCTCTCCTGTACCGCGGTTCGCGATGTTGGAGCGAATCACGCCTCATTTGGCGATGATCGGTATCCACAAGAACGGTACTTGGGCTGCACAGAAGATCATTGAGTGTGTCCAGACTCCCGAGGAGGTTGGGCTCATCGTGCAGAACTTGAGGGCCTATGCTCCGCCTTTGCTGCTGGATCAGTTTGGTAACTATGTGGTTCAGTGAGTGTATTGTTGTTTTTCTTTACGTATCATCGATGACTGAGCAATTATCAGATGTTGTTTGCGTTTCGGGGCTCCTGCCAATGATTTCATCTTCGACGCTATGGTTGACCGTATGTGGGAGATCGCCCAAGGCCGCTTTGGCGCACGGAGCATGAGAGCGTGTCTCGAGAGCCCTCATATCACCTTGAGCCAGCAACGTCGTATTGCTGTTGCCGTGATCTTGAACTCTATTCCTCTGGCCACGAATCCTAATGGCGCACTGCTGCTGACATGGTTGCTTGACACGTCTTCCTTCCCTTCGCGGTACAACCTTCTTGCGCCTCGTTTCACGCCTCACCTATCGCATCTCTGCACGCACAAGTTGGCGTCTTTGACCGTTCTCAGGATTGTCAATCAGAAGATCGAGTTTGAAGCATCTCGTCAGATTGTCCAGGCGTTGTTCTCGTCACCCGGTGACCATGTTCTTACCGATGTGTTGGGTGATCAGGTGAATGGTGTTGCGGTTGTACACAAGATCTTGACTAGCCCGTTCATCGACCCTATCGACAAGCCAACTTATATCGAGGCCACTAAACGGGTATTGATCGAGCTCAAGGTTATCGCGACTCAGGCTTATCGTCGGCTGATCGAAGAAGTTGGTCTTCCCATCCCAAACTACCAGCCCACGTATACCACTAATGGTCCCCCTGGCAAGAAGGGTCAGAACCAGAATCACTATGGGGTGCCTGGCCTGCCGTCAGGCTATCCTTCGAATGATCAGGGTTTAGCTTCGATGATGGCTGCGTTGCAGATGGGTGGGCAGAACCCCCAGTCTGGGCCCCCGCAATTGCACATTGATCCTGCATATGGTCAAGTTCCCGCGCCACGCGGTCGTATTTCTCAGCCACCTTCCGCGTTCTCGCCCTCGTCAGATCCTTTCAACCCCTTTGCCATTCGTTCTCCGGATATTAGCAGTCCTCGCACCTCTGGTGTTCGTCGTAACGGCGGACTCCCCACGATTCCTCCTTCCATGACTCCTACCCCCGTCTCTGCTATGCCATATGGCAATCAATCTCCCAATCTCGCACCTGGTGGCATCCTTAACATGGGTCAGCCAACCTTCAATACTCAGACTGTTCCCCAGCACGTCCCGCAGCACGTCTATCAGGCATATATGTACCAAGTATACCAGCAAACACCGCCGTCTAGCATGGGCACCTTCAATTAAAAGAACTCTCACGACCCCTCTCACGACCCTGCTTTGTTGCATATCGAATGAAATTATTCCTTTCTGTTGTCTATCTATTCTTCTGCCACGCCATGCGCCAAGTTATTTGCCAGACAATCACAACCCATTCCTTTCCGATACCCCTCATCGCTCTTCTTTCAATGTCACGCTCCTTACTTACTTTTCATCCATTGGGCAAGCACACCTGGGCGAAGATGCGATGGTTTCAGAGGGCCAGTGCAGGAAATATTGCTATCCTTTTTCTTCTTCTCCAATTCTATCTTCATTCCTACGTTGGTTGGTTTGTGTATAAATACTACGTGTGGATGGCTGTAACACAATTATTGCCCTGAACTATAGACGAATGACACTGCTCTTCTGCTCGTCCTGGAGGTTGAGCAGCCTCCTTGAAGGCTCGAGCGCATCTGGCGATGACCGCGGAAAATGATGGATGTCAGAATGAGAAGTTCATCACGAGACTAACTTAAGTTCTGTCGAAAGAGCGTAAACTCTCGAGCGCCACAAGTAGGAACGTGGACGTAGTACGTCAGGTTTCGAAAATAAAATACCAAGTAGTCAACTGGTGGTGTTTGCGCGCAGATCTACTGACCGTGATCCAAAACATCCGGACCCGGACCATCTGAAGAACACAAATACTTTCAGCGTCCGATGTGACTTGCCCATGGTCTGCGATCACTGTGCATATGTAACGCTTCCGAGACGCGATGCAAACTTCAAAGGTACTGATTTCTCGGTAAGTACGAGTGTCTTGAGTCTTTGACCTGTGACTAGTCATTGATGAGTGAAATCGTAGCACTCATCTCCCAGAGTCGCTCCAATAACCAATTAAGTGCCGTTGGTCTTCGTCGACTCTTGCACTTTATGAGTCGTATGAAATATACTGTGACTGCATCCCTCGTTGTACCAATGAGGAGGCGGTCCAAGAGTCAATCGAGACAGCACATCGCATGACTCTCTACATGCAAGGCTCAAGAGGACGATCGATAAACGGTGTGTTTTTATTCTAAAAAATCCAACAATAGTGGATACGACTGGGAGAAAGATGCTGCATATGTCTTACCACCCAACAGAGCTCCACTATCCCGCTCTATCGCTCGTATAACCCGACTGTTGTGGACCATCTCTACACCACGTCATATTCCGAGGTGCAGAGCGCAGCTGCAAACTCTGGTTACAACTACGAGGAGATCGCTGTATATGTTTTCAGCACCAACGTATGCGGAAGCATTCCTCTCTACCGTCTGTACGACGCGTATGGCACAGATCACTTCTACACTACGTCTGCATCTGAAGTGACCTACGCTACTTCCCAGGGTAATTATACCTTGGAGAGTGTAGGGGCTTACGTGCTTCCTGTTCCATCTTAACGATCTGAACTTGTTGCTTACAAGTATATATCCTCGACCTTTTCCATCGATTTAGACACATAACTTCTTTCGACATGTAGGTACTGTGTATATTACTGATATGTCGTCGTGGTTTGCTTTTTCTGATAGTCCGTTTTTCCTCTGTACTTACATACTATGCCGTCTCTGTCACATCGCAACTGTTAACTTCAAGTTTGTCCTACGACTAGTATCGATAGATTATATGACAAGCCTTCCAACTTGCCTATAAATTAGTCTGCTGAATCCTGATCCCATCATTCCTATGCGTTAAGCTGAAGTACTTATCAGTAGTAAGCTATAAGAAGGGAGCTATTCCCTGGAGAATGAGCCTCGCGGCTTGAGTGCATCTGTCGATAGCCACGGAAAATGCAACAAATCTGTGCTCGTATGAGATATAAGAAATGCATTTCGGCAAGTCTTAAGGGTAGATACGGTCACTGCCTCCGTACATGTTCCAAGTGACAGCTACGAGGGTAACAATGAGGGGGAGTTTCAATAGTCAATCGAGACGAATAACATGTACCGTCTTCATGTAGGGCCCATCCCCGGAGGACAAGAAACAGTATTTTTTATTTTAAAAATTGAGAATATGATAACAATCAACAACGGGAAAATGGTACGGTGAACATACCCAACTATGATGCGAACGACAGATTGCGGATTCGCCAGCGCAAGGTCGTGATGCACAGTGCGCCACTGATGTTCTGGCCAGTGATGGAGGCCAGATAGCTGGTTCCGGCGGGGAAAATAGACTGATCCACGGTGAGGAACCTGTACAAAAGATAGTTAAACACGCAAGGAGTTATCTCGCTCCTCAGTAATATGCTTGTTGAACCGTGTGCTTAACAGACGAGGGACCTCACTAGAAAATTACCCGACTGCTATGTCTCGCAGAAATAAAGTTTCTGTTCAACCGCCGGCGATAGGAATCGAAGACAGGACCAAAGCATATGCACTCCGGGCATACAAGAAGGCGCATATAAGCAGCCTCCGGAGTCATGCGGGGCCGGGGGATCGCAGATAATCATAGCAACCCGTAAAGTCGGACGTCGATTGTTCTCCGGCGGACCGTCGCGGAGATTTACACGGAGGTCGCATCTTCGAGCATGAATTTTTGATGAAAAGTTGGCAAGATGAGGACAAGATGCAAAAAATGTGCACCACGCCTAGATTGGAAGCCGAGGAAAAGGTCAGCATGTCAACGTCAACTCAACGACTCCCTGCAGAATATTAGACTAAGTAAGAGAATGGTCAGCGAAAGATGCAAACAAGTTTGTATCAGTCTGTACCGTCATAATAGTTGTACACCAACATGTTGCGATTAGATGTGTTATGAGGGTATCGTAATACTGAGCTGTTTCGGGCTCGTGGCCAGTCGTCGAAGACCGCTTCAGATATGTCACGAGCCTAATCGACAGGATGGGATATATACGCTTCACGCATGTCAAGGGGCGATTTTCGCTTGCAGATCCACGCATGCACTGCGTTGAAGACCATCGAATGCAGCGGGAAACAGGGGAATTGCTATAACAGTGGTTGCGAAAATGGTATATAGTAGGGAGTTAATCCAGATGTCCGATGGGAATTTGACACGAGGACAGTACTGGGTGTAAGTAAAACGACGGGTCCCCACGCCGGGCCAAAGGGAGTGGACTTATCGTACCCGTGGTCACTCAGGTGTCGTGACTGAGGCGGTGGCGGTTGATGTAGTCTTGTTAGGCACCGCTGTCTACTAGATCTGCTGTACAGATGAATGTGAGATCAAATGTGCGATTGGTGAGCGCTTGAGCTACGAGGACACCTTTTTGGCTGCCGTCTGTGCCCTGAAATACCAAACACCTTTTGGTCTACCAGCAAATTCATTTCAAGATCTTAATCATAGGAGAGAATTTTCTAGTAGCGCAAAAAGATGCGCTTGCGTGCGGCTTCAATTGTTGCGGGTTGCGAGTGCTTGGGAGGGAGACTCGATGGCTTTTTAGCCTGTGTCCTCCTCGGAAGGCGCCGAATCTGTTCTGGATAGTCTATTATTAAACTCAGACTCTAACCTGCACGGCTACAATCTCAAGGACTCGTCAATTCACTGAGGCCCATTCTGTCGACTCTCGAGGTTTCCCTTTACATGTTGCTGGCTGAGAACACCCGGGCGAAGTTGCGGGGGTCTCAGAGGGCCAATGCAAGACATAATATCGTGGTTTTCCCCAATTCTATCTTCATTCCTTACGTTGGTTTGTGTATAAATTGGACCAACACAATTACCGCCCGGCGAAACTTCTCCGGTGCTGATGCCGCAGTGCTCTGTCGAAGCCACGGAGAATGATAGGCGGGAATCTCATGATGGGCCGAGAGTCACTAACTTCTTGACGACAATCGCGGGAATGGCATATCGAATACTGTAAGTACAAGTCACGGTTGTTGACAGGGGATATAGCGCCCCGGACAAAGATTCGTCATTCAAGACATCACTAAGCCCACGTCGTACAAAGGCCCCTGGACCCCAACTTACTTGTCGCAATGCTATTTACCAGGAAAGCAGCGATCGTCTGGTTATTCCTCGCCTTTGAACGAGCTCTGACTGCGCAGACACCTCTGTCGAGTCATGCAGCTTCAGGCTTCTACCCGCATGATCTTGGACAGTGGGATCTTCATGAAGCCCCTGCAGTGAACGCGACGGGCCATCTGGTATTCGAAACAGTCAATTCCCTGCTTCAGCATTGGGCAAATACGCGTCATCGTATTGGTATGTCTCAACCTATAGCAGAACACTGGGCGGCTGTACTACAACTTGTGACTCATTATCTGTGTCCTGTAGGTCACACAATAATTCCAGGGACTGTTCCCGTAGGCACCCTCCTCTACCATGGATCCAAAATCGGTCCTCATATACCGACTGCTCTCAACTGGGTCGCGACGGAGCCAGACCACTCCATGATTTTCTGCTATGGGGATGTCAAAACCGGGTGCTGGCACACCACCTTTAAAGTCACTCGATCAATGAAAGTGCTCTATTTTGATGGAAGCAGCGCTGCGAAAATTCCAGAGGGCACCATGGACACCCAAGATCTCGTAGCATGGTCGGAAATGAAACCCGAGTGGCTGGAGAATGAGCAGCTACGCATCAAGGATCTGTGTAAGTGGGGTCAGAAATACGGTGTGAATGGCTTCGTGAGGTTCGCTAGATTTTAAGATGCATTGACGCCCGATGCTGATTTTTGATGTATAGGATGGAGATGAATTTGTGCGTACCCATACGGCGTGCATAGTTCATTGGTCTTTTTTTGACAACGGTCTTAGTGAAATCATGGTCTGCGACTTCACCTCTCACATGGAAATCGTTTCGTTCTTAAATCTCGAGACCCTCCGCGTCGCGGATGGCCCTGTGATAGATCTACCAGATGACACAGATACCCGTGAGCGACCATTGTCTATGTTTTGGTATAAATAATCTGATGTATTCCTCGACATCAGTGCATGCTGCTTTTGAAGTCATGCATTCTGCTTCATGGCACGAACTTCATCCAGGGGACACCCGGGTTATACTTGACTATTCTGCATTCGTCTCTTTCTATGACACCACTCTTGTTCCCTCCCTCGTGCCACGCCGTGTTGGCTTGGAGCGGTGGGATCATCGAGTGGCAGGAATATCATCGGAGGATATCGAGCGTGTCAAAGACAAGCTAGCTGAAGCATTAGTACGACCACCAGCGACAGCCAGCGGCATCGACTGGAAGACAGTCTTGCAGGTGGTGGTTGACCGATATGCAAGCCGCCTGGAGGTGATGCAGTATCTGCTGAACATAACGTTGGATGACACATCGATCCTAATTGACCACGCGCGAAAAGTTCAGAGACAGCTGCGCACTGTGCTTACGCCGTACACTATTCTTGCAGCTCTGCCATCCAACACCTCCGTCGCTACCAACGCGACAAATTCGTGGGCTGCGCCAGTTTTTCGTGAATGTGCTACATCGCACATGGCCATAGCAGCTCGTGGGGCGACATTGATGCCTTCTGAGCATCTGCTTCTGCAGGCCGTGCAAGAAACTACGCGCGAAATATGCCGTGTCACTACGAAGATGTGGGCCTCCGGTCTGATTGCTGGCGTTGACCCCTTTTATCCGTCGGACCAACGCCCTGAAGCTGATCGCATACGTACTCTCATGGGGGAATGGAAGGAGGACATGACGAAGTTGATTTCCTGGTTAGATTGGAGTGTGTGGGTGAAGTGTAAGCCGGCTTGTGGCGTCGAGGTAATCAAAGTCGACGAGTCGCTTATTTATGAAATGACTGACGTGGTTTCGTAGGAGATGTGCTACTTGCCTACTTGGCCATTGGGGTTTTTCCCGGCGTCTCTCGAGGTGGTCGATGAGCAGCGTGGTGCACCGTTTCTAGCTTGGAACGATGCTTTGCTAATGGCCTGACCCCAACAAAGGGGAGTGGAAGAGACCACAGCCCAAGTGCATCAGACGGCTGGAGCCATATGGTTTCTAGGGACACACCTTTTTGGTAGCCGTACTAGTGTACCTGATTCTGAAATACCAGAACACCTTTCAAGTTACTCTACCAGCAAATTCACTTCTATGAACAAGGACCCCTTGGCAACCGAGTTGAATTTTCTGGTAGAGCAAAACGATGCGCCCTCTCAACGTCTGCCTCATCGGTGTCGAGCAGTCATTTTATCTCTCCATTCTGTCTGAGAGCGATACAAAATGAGTCTGCTATATCTATTCACTTCTTTCACGCCTACAGGACATCGAACAGTTCTGTTAGATCCGAGTCATGACCTACTCCCACAAGTCGGTCACTGACAAGTGCCGTTTCTGGATCTCGAGCTTTCGCAAGTCGACAACGATTTTCCACCATCTAATGGGGTCGTGATAAACCCCAGCGGCTCAGTGCAGACCAAAAATGCATCCATGAAGCCCAGTAAACAGCGTCTATGACGGGAGGTGGCGTCGTGGTGTCATCGAGGGCTTATATTTTCAAGCTTGAAACGAGACTACAAAGTAAGTACTTCGCTATGTATTCAACTTGTTTGAAATTCTCCTATTCCAAGATATCCATTGCTCGAGCGGGCAGTGAAATTTGTTCAGAAGCAAGCACATTGATCAACTCGGCAAGAAACCACTATTAAGTCACGCATCGTGCCAACCATACAGCACCGATGCGAAAGCAGAAACACGACGGTGGTTCGCTGCCGCGACATGCCAGAGTCTCAATCTTTCACGCATACCCAGATGTCCTACCACGCCGGTGAGTCACGTGGTTAAATATGCAAATTACTCATACTCACTTCGCCACCGTCACCTATGGCACTTGACAACATGCATTTTTCTCCATGGCAGCAGGGTTCCCAATTGCAATATACGTGACAATGATGACTAGCTTCAGCATCACTGCGGCTGTCGACGGGACTGGCAAATATTGACGCTGTCAACGCAGCAATAACGGCGAGGACGAAGCAGAGACGCATTGTTTGTAAGGATGTGATGTGGGATCAGATAAATCTGAAGGGAACAATAGGAAGACGGCTTGCTTTTAAGTGCTGAATGTTGTTCTGGAAGAACTTCATGCCGATGTAGGAAGAACCTATCTTACGGAAAATATAATTGGTCCTTCCTCGCATCTTCCTCGCATCTTCCTAAGAGTTTGTGGACTTAGTTCACGTACGGTTATACGGACAGCCCGACCGGCCGCGCGGTAACTTAGTTCGGGATGTGACTATGCTGCAGGTCGTGCAAAAGTTGTTTGAAAAATGCTCTCCCGTACCGCGGTTCGTGATGTTGGAGAGAAACACGCCTCATTTGGCGATGATTGGTATCCACAAGAACGGTACCTGGGCTGCACAGAAGATCATCGAGTGTGTCCAGACTCCCGAGAAGGTTGGGCTCATCGTGCAGAACTTGAGGGCCTATGCTCCGCCTTTGCTGCTGGATCAGTTTGGTAACTATGTGGTTCAGTGAGTGTATCATTGTTTTTCTTTACGTATCATCAATGACTGAGCGATTATCAGATGTTGTAATGTTTGCGTTTCGGGGCTCCTGCCGATGATTGACTTCCGCTGGCAACTGCAAGATTGTTGAGATAGGGGGATTGGACTTCGCTTGTCGTGGCGTGGCGCTAGAGGGTGCGAATGGGATCATCGAGCGTTCCCACGGAGATTGCTCAAGGTCGGGATGAAAGCACGCTTGCAGGGTTTAAACGATCGCCCTGCTTAAACCCCTTCGCTACGTATGGCGAGTGAAAAAGACTAGCGTCCGACATGGAGCCATTGTACAGACCCAAACGTTGACGCTCGTACTGCTGATCATGCCCATCAAAATACTCTTCTTCTTCCTCCGCATTAGGGGTTGCAAGTAGAGACGAAGAACGTCTTCCCCGACGGTGCATTTCCCTAATAGCAAGTTGAGTCGTGCGTCTTCGTACCTCGCTGCTCCCAATTTTCAGGGAAGGGCTGCGTCTCCCAAAACCGAGGCGAATAATAACTCGCAGATCCAGACGCCTACGCGGTTGTTGTGGATTGGGAATTTGGATAGTGCTGTTACGAGCGAGCAGCTCCTTCATGTGTTTGCGCCGTATGGAGCTATTAAGAATTCGAGGCTTCTTCCGGAGAAGGTGCGTGATTTGCATGAGGCCCGAGGGGAGTGGATACTGATATTTTTTATTGACTGGTTATAGGAATGCGGTTTCGTTAATTTCGTGGACCAAGCGGATGCTAGCAGCGATAGTAGTGGAATGCCGTACAACAGAACTTGTGGATACTAGGAGACATATTAGCCACCTGTCTCTGCTGCAGCTGTTCGGCAAACGATTCGGTTGATGGAGTAGTACTGCTCAAAGTATTGGAAGCAGCAGCGAATCGCTGAGCAGCGAAATGCACATCAGAAGGCAGCGTTCCTGCACGTGCTCTAGTCCTAAATCCTGGTGGGTAATTAGAGGCAGTCGTTGTAGCGTCATCACTAGGGGAAGCGACTGTGGTGGTGATGTCGTTCGGGGGAGAACAGCGCACATAACGACGCAGACTGGTATGTGTTCAGCCTTACAGGACTGTCCGTCAGGAAAAGTCTCACTTGGTTCAGCCGAATTGTGTAGTGTTCAGTCAGCACGGTCATTGAAGTTGAAAGCTGGCGCTACATCTTAATCTATTATTAGACTCGAACTGTAAGTAGTCAAGAAGTACTGTCGTCCCTTAACCGTTACGCCAAAAGGCAGTGATAATGAAAGCTCACGCTTTCGTTATCTCGGACAGTATTTATGCTGATTATGGGAATTCAGGTAAGCTAACGGGCTTACACAAACCTAATCATACTTAGACGCATCATGGTCGACGTTGGTTTGTATATAAATTGGAGTAACACAATGAACACCGCCCGGACAACAAGATTGATGCCGCAGTGTTCTGGAAGCTCGCGATTCGACTCTGATTCGAATTGGCACGCGATGGCCACGGGAAATGATGGGTGAGAAACTTATGATGCATTCAAGGTCACCGGCCACTAACTGAGTCTTGGAGACAATCGCGGGAATGGCATATCGAACACAAGTCACGGTGTCGATAGAGGATGTAGCGCGCCGGGCCAAGATTATCAGATCATATCATTCAAGATAACGCTGAGCACACATTATACAAAGGCCCTTGGATCTCAACTTACTTGTCACGCAATGCTATCTACCAGGAAAGGAGTGATCATTTGGTTATTCCTTGAACGAGTGCTGACTGCGCAGACACCTCTGTCGAGTCATGCCTCTTTAGGCTTCTACCCGCATGATCTTGGACAGTGGGATCTTCATGAAGCTCCTGCGGTGAACGCGACAGGCCATCTGGTGTTCGAAACAGCCAATTCCCTGCTTCAGCATTGGGCAAACACGCGTCATCGTATTGGTATGCCTGAATCTATAGCATTCGGATCACTGGGTAGCTGCACTACAACTTGTGTCTTACAGGTCACACAATAATCCCAGGGACTGTTCCCGTAGGCACCCTCCTCTACCATGGATCCATCACCGGTCCTCATATACCGACCGCTCTCGAGTGGGTCGCGATGGAACCAGATCACTCCATGCTTTTGTGCCATGGGGATGTCAAAACCGGGTGCTGGCACGCCACCTTTACAGTCACTCGGCCAATGAAAGTGCTCTATTTTGATGGAAGCAGCGCTGCAAAACTCCCAGAGGGCACCATGGACACCCAAGATCTCGTAGCATGGTCGGAAATGAAACCCGAGTGGGTGGACAATGAGTGGCTGCGCATCAAGGATCTGTGTAAGTGGGGTCAGAAATACGGCGTGAATGGCTTCGTGAGGTTCGTTGGATTTTGAGATGGGTTGACACCCGATGCTGATTTGTGATGTGTAGGATGGAGGGGAATGTGTGCGTACCCATACATATCTAGTTCTTTTTTTTTTTTTTGACAACGAACTTAGTGAAATCATGGTCTGCGACTTCACCTCTCACATGGAAATCATTTCGTTCTTAAATCTCGAGACCCTCCGCGCCTCGGATGGCCCCGTGACAGATCTACCAGAAGACACAGATACCCGTGAGCGACCATTGTCTATGTTTGGGTATAAATAATCTGATGTATTCCTCGACATCAGTGCATGCTGCTTTTGAAGTCATGCATTCTGCTTCATGGCACGAACTTTATCCAGGGGACACTCGGGTTATACTTGACTATTCTGCATTCGTCTCTTTCTATGACACCACTCTTGTTCCCTCCCTCGTGCCACGCCGTGTCGGCTTGGAGCGGTGGGATCATCGAGTGGCAGGAATATCATCGGAGGATATCGAGCGTGTCAAAAACAAGCTAGCTGAAGCATTAGTACGACCACCAGCGACAGCCAGCGGCATCGACTGGAAGACGGTCTTGCGGGTGGTGGTTGGCCGATATGCAAGCCGCCTGGAGGTGATGCAGTATCTGCTGAACATAACTGTTGGATGATACATCGATCCTAATTGACCACGCGCGAAAAGTTCAGAGACAGCTGCGCACTGTGCTTACGCCGTACACTATTCTTGCAGCTCTGCCATCTAACACCTCCGTCGCTACCAACGCGACAAATTCGTGGGCTGCACCAGTTTTTCGTGAATGTGCTACATCGCACATGGCCATAGCAGCTCGTGGGGCGACATTGATGCCTTCTGAGCATCTGCTTCTGCAGGCCGTGCAAGAAACTACGCGCGAAATATGCCGTGTCACCTACGAAGATGTGGGCCTCTGGTCTGATTGCTGGAGTTGACCCCTTTTATCCGTCGGACCAACGCCCTGAAGCTGATCGGATACGTACTCTCATGGGGGAATGGAAGGAGGACATGACGAAGTTGATTTCCTGGCTAGATTGGAGTGTGTGGGTGAAGTGTAGGCCGGCTTGTGGCGTCGAGGTAATCAAAGTCGACGAAGTCGCTTATTTATGAAATGACTGACGTGGTTTCGTAGGAGATGTGCTACTTGCCTACTTGGCCGTTGGGGTTTTTCCCGGCGCCTCCCGAGGTGGTCGATGAGCAGCGTGGTGCACCATTTCAAATTTGGGACAATGCTTTGTTGTGGCCTGACCCCAACAAAGGGGAGTGGAAGAGACCACAGCCCAAGTGCATCAGACGGCTGGAGCCATATGGTTTCTAGGGACGTGATTCACATGCAATGCTGGCGTATATACATCTTTCGTAGAACTGCCTGTAACTTATTGCTGTAGAACATGAACGACAAGAACGAAATTAAGGTTAGGGTTTGAGTGTTTTGACGTGTTGGCCTTTGGTGGCCGAGAATCAATATGAAGGCAACGTCGCTGTGTTCTTCGTCTCTTCCAACGACTACAATATGAGTACAGACCAACAAATGTTTCTAGCGGTGGCTCCCAGAGCCAGCTCATCCCATCTCAACAGACCAGCACGCCAGCTCGTACCCGCCTTTCTCCAAAAGCTATACGAGTGCGTCTTCGTTGAATCTAATCTTACAGATGCTGTGGTCCTTACATCCCATCACCATCTTGCTCTATAGGATGGTAAATGACCCTTCAGACCACGATCTTATCCGATGGTCTGACACCGGTGACTCTTTCTTTGGTGCGTCCCAGCGCTGATCTTTCTCTGTTCAATGAACGAACCTTGACACTCTACCTTTTGTAGTCCTCGACCAAGAGCGCTTCGCTAGTGAAGTCCTAGGACGTTGGTTCAAACACAAGAACTTCTCCTCTTTTGTCCGCCAGCTCAACATGTACGGCTTTCACAAAATTCCTCATCTCCAACAAGGCGTGCTCCGTTCCGATACTGATACTGAATTCTGGAACTTCGAGCACCCCCATTTCCTCCGTGGCCAACCGGACTTACTCTGCCTTATCCAGCGCAAAAAGCAGGCCGCCGCATCTACCTCCGACATTGCTGCTGCTGTCGCTGAAATTCCCAATAAAGACGCGGGTGCATCTGCGCCTGCGGGCGCCGTTGACCCCTGGCCAGTTGATGGACATGAATTCAATTGTGAATGGTATTCAAGCTATAAAAAGACACCAAGCCGCCATCTCCGCCGACCTCAATGACCTCAAGTCCTCCAACCAACATCTTTGGCAGGAAGCCATTGCTGCCCGCGAGAGGCATAAGAAACACCAGGACACCATTAACCGTATCCTTAAATTCCTTGCAGGTGTGTTCGGTCCTGCAGACAACCCAATACGCAAGGATGATATGGGTGGTGGAGGAGCTGTCAGTGGCGGCGAGGGGAGTGAGATGCTCGGGAGGAAACCACAGCGGTTGATGATTGGCGATGGACGCAGTGGCGGAGGGAATAATGCAAAGAAGGCTGTGGAAGTTACTGATATCATAGAGGACCAGCCGAGGACCAGCATAGATAGTGCGAAGTCGTCTGATATCGGTGCGTCCTTTCCTTGCATGGGTTTCTCGATACTGATGCCCTTTCTCCGTGATTTTACAGATCTTTTCGCGTCTCTGGACACACCGTCTACTCTCCCATCTGAATACGGCCCTTCGTGCAACACATCACCCCGATTTACGTCCATTGAACCCTCTCTCCATGATGCCCCAACTCCCACAGCTGACGCAAATACCACTTCACGCCCCCACACCGCCCCTGTCAACAACACCACCAAGACCAACGCATCCAATTCAAATCCATCAAATGTAAATGTCGCTTCACCCACTTCGCCAAATGCCCCCTTCCCTCGTCCAACCCCGATCCACCACTCAGTCTCTGCGCCCGCCTTCACCTCCCTCACCACAACGTCCCCACCTCCTTCCCCGCAGAATGACTCCCTCATCCACGCCGCACTTTCCCAGGTGCTCTCGTCTCCTGTGCAGATGCAAAAGCTGATTGCGGCGCTTGGTGGAGGTGGGTTCTCGTTCCCAGGGGACGGGCACACGCAAGGAATCCTACCGCAGTCCATCATGCAGCAGCCTTTCCCCGTCCAGCCCCAACCACAGCCCCAACCAGAGTTACCGCAACACACGAACGCAAACCCAGCGCAACTGATGCCGTATGACCCTGCTGCGTTTCAGACAGACTACTCTAGCTCGTACTCCCTCCTCCCACCTAGTGGTGGCGGCGACTTAGCACCCTTCGAGGCACACGATGACCACCTGCAGAAGACCTACTCCTCAGCACATGAGATCAACACGGATGTCGACTCGCTGGAGACAAACATCCATTCCCTCATTCAGAGCCTCGGCTTTGACCCTACGACGTTCGACGCGACGGACGGCGCGCATCAGTCCCTCGATGATCCCTACGGTGTATCGGGTCAGGATTCATTCGACATTGGGTCATATCTGAACGGGATAGATTTGGCGCCCAGCGCAGCTGGGCATACAGGCCACGGTGAGGAAGACCCAGATATAGAAAGCTTGAGACTTGCGGACAAGCTGGACTCGTCAACGGCACGTGCAGCGGGCGTGGAGAAAAAAGTGCCGAGTGAGCAGGTGCATGCGTTCCTCGACGGGGTTGCTTCGCAAGATAGCGATGTGGATATGACTACGTCTTTGATGCAAACCACCCAAAGCGCGACCACACGGGGCCGCAAGCGTAAATCGGATGTTACGGACATTGGGTTGTTCTCTGGTGCGACAGAGGCAGCAACATCATCATCATCATTGGGGACGGGCAGTAGGAGTAAGAGGAAAAGATGAATAAATAGTAGGAAGGTAACATGACGAGTATAAGGAATGTCGAACACTGTAGAACTAATGATACTGCCACCACTGTGTTATTATATAGCCCATCGTCATATGTAGTGCTGTAATACGTCGAAAAATGTAACGATAGACAGAAATACACTGACCAACTTGGCAGTGGCAACATTGGAAAGAATCAAGATCCGTTGATAACTCGTAAAACATGAAATAAGGCGTTAAGATGGTACTAACACTGAATACAAATCATTTTTGCGGCGGCAAGGGAGGCGGCGGATGGGGCCGCTGCGCTGCAGGACTGCCAGAATCGTACAGCCCAACGCTGAATGGCGTGAATGGGCGGATGTCAAGCTGTATTCCTGGTTCCGCAAACGGGGACCCAACGCGCATAGGCGAACTATGAATCCCCATGCTTATGCTATCATAATGCCGCACGCGAGCGTCCTCCTCTTGTGTCTCCTGGATATACTCGGCGGGCGGACGTGGCATGAGCGGCGGAGGCGGGGGCGGGGCTAAGGCACTCGAAGGCAGCGGGTGGTGAGAGATGGAGCCTGACGCGGACGGAGATGCGCTGCCATTGGTCTGCCGATCCTCGGCAGCGTATTTGGCACGTAGCTGTGCCTTCTCCTCGGCTGCTGTGAGTGGTCTGGAGCCACCCCCAGAAGGTGGTCCGGGGGGAGCCGGGAGTCGTGAGCCGTTGACGACACGTGGAGGAGTCGGATGGGGCTGCTGCTGCTGGGAAAGTGCCACTGCGTCTTGCTCTTCATACCTCCGCCGGAGGAGTTCTTTCTCTGACAGGCCGTTAGTTGCAGGTGATTGTCCAGGTGGAGAGTATGATGGGGAAGCGGTGTATGAGGGCGATGCGTCCAACGCGGCAGACGAGCTTTGTGCAGCCATGGCGGCCGCATCCTGTGCCTCGTGGTGCCTCCTCAGCTTCTCTTTTTCATTCAAATATTGTGGTTGTCCATTGGGCCCATCGAACGGCGGGGGCATATCAGACCCACCTGGCTGCGCGCCGTAGGATGCACTACGAGAGACACTGGCAGAGGGGTAGAGGGTATCGTAGGCAACAGGTGCTGAGGACGACGATATCCCTTCGCGAGACGCGTACTGGGTGTTCTGGCTCCGATCGACAGCGAGCTTGGCCTCATGGTATCGCTTCAGGGCGGCCTTCTCCTCCTCGGCAGACGGGTAGTGTGGAACAACCTTAGAGGAAGTCGAAGCAGGTGGTGACGGTGGGTGAGGAGAGCGTGGGGGGCTGACATTCGTGCTGGCACTGGGGCTCGTGTTGTTCGGGGGGTTCTTGTTCATGGAGGATATTGCGTGCTGGTAGAGGGCAGCACCTGCAGACATGGAATTAACGCTACGAGAGGGTTTCGAAAATCCGGGAGACCCATTGGCTTCCGAACTTTCTCGGCTGTGGCTTGAGTAGGATCCGAGTGCTTGGGTGCGTTTGGCAGTGGCTTGAGCTTTATCGAACAGACGGACTTTCTCCTCTTCTGCTGTTGGCCAGGCAGCACGGGACGAAGGAGAGCCTTTCGGTTGCGGGGGCTACAAGAAAGATTAGCGAAGGAGATTGGGATGATAACCAGGATCTACTCACTGATTCACTGCGTTCTGGGGTCATGGCACTACTACCCTGGACCTTCTCGACCTTAGCCTTCGCACTCTCGTACAACTTCCTCTTTTCTTCCTCGGCGGAGATCCACGAACGTTGACCCCTCATCGGTGGTGTCGTCGGCTGCGGTTGTCTTGCAGCCATCTGTGCTTCTTCTACAGCCTCCCGCACCTCTGCATCCCGATCACTAATGTTAGTAATCGTGAGGCGGTTCTGTGTTCCTGCAGCAACGGCCGAGCCACGTCGTCTACGTCCCGAGCCAGCGACGGGGCGTACATTAACGGCGTCGTCCTCCTGAATACTGCCCATAGAGTTATGTGCTGACAAGCCGTACCCGGGGTGATCTACTGTGCCTGGCATACGTGACTGCCGACTCTTGAGAGCGCCGACCTCGTCGACTTCAAGATCATCACGCTGGCCATCGCCGTTCTGTGCACCGGGGGCGGTATTGTACTGGATGGATGAGGCTGGAGGCGACAGGGGTGTGCGCCCATGCCCATGAGCGGAGGAGTTGTAGTCGGATGTCTGTGAGTGGCTGGTGAGAGGGCGAGGGGTTATCGGGACTGTCGGTGCAGTGCTCGATGGGGTGGTCATACAAAGGCTGGGGGCAATACCGATACGTCTGAGAGGATTACTTTAGCAAGGATTACTTTGAGAACGGCGAGTATCGCATACCTGATGGCTTCCTCGGATACACTCCTGTAATCCGTTAAATATGTGCTATTGGGACATTAATAGAAGTCCTCACCTTGGCCAGTTCGAGACAATAACAGGAAGCTCCATCGTAACCGACTGCATCGAGCCGAACCACGCTTTAACTACGATCGCATATGTGATGTCAATGTGCCTCGCAGCATTGAGCGTGGTAGTAGTGTGTGTGTTTGGGATCAAACACCCGACTTCCGCCTTGTGCTGCATACCGCCAAACAACGTGACACTGAGGGGCACCTTCTGCTCGCCAACAAGCCCAACTTTGACCTGCGGCCCACTGCGCTTGCCCGTGGCACCAGCCTGAGTTCCAGCGCGGAATATCATTGTTTCTTTGAGAGAAAATTCGAAACCACGGAGGACAACTGGATGCACTGAGTCTGATTTGAGGATAGCCATGACAGATACACGGTCGCCTGGTCCGAAGCATGTTCGTTGGCGCTCCACTGTGAGATGTACGCCATCTTGAGTAACGGAACGTGATTCTGCCTGCGCATATACAGGCCACGTTGAGTGGAGTTCATGCTTATCGATAATGATTGTCGTGGCTTGGGATGTCACAACAGTTTTTCGGCGGCGGAAGAAACCTCTGCCGATGATAAGTCAACGCACGCATTCCAGGGTCTGACCGGAAAACGCACTTCTTGCCAAGAGTACAAACAGTCGCGACAAGCTCGTAGCGGATGCCAGCTATACAATACAAGACCCATCAGATACAAGGATTGAGATTGCGCAGCCACTCACCGCCTCTTTCGAGGGCAATGCTTGGCGGAATGGACTCAGGTATACGGATATTAAACGGGAGGTCTTGCTGTCGCCGGCCAGCAGAAACAAGTTATCAGCCCGACATCTTTACACAGGGATGCCTACACCACTGACTGACTGCAATAACCCATACTCTTCACTCGACTGCCATAGATTTATCGGACTGGAGCCGACAAAGTCAAAGTAGGAGTTCGTCTGACCACCGCCAGGGAGCGTCTCGATCTTCTTGAGCTCGACACGTACCCACTTTGCTCTGGCACCCTGGGGACCCACGCGGACCTCGACAGCCTGGCAGGCATAGTACATTAGGCAACCGAGTGTTATATGGAGAGCGGGCACGTACACCTTTAACTGCTGCCTGAGGACGATCTTTCGCAGCTGGTGGTATCCCGGGATAGCCTAAGGTTATTGTGTCTTAAAAGAAGTCCTAGCATAAGAGTTCTTGCACTGACCAACGACAAAATCGACATTTGGGGGTGGCTGAAGTTGGCTGAAAGTACTTCTTGAGTGGCGGTACTAGTAGGAGTCACTAAGGGGACTCACATCTTCACTTGCGACATTCCTTGAAGAAACTGTTATCCGCGCAAGAGACAGAAACGAGTGAAAGGGGAGGCGCCGCGTGCTTAGTTCAAATCACTTTTTGCGCACAACTATCAGGGCTGGTAACTACTAGGCGCTGAAACGCACAGCCTATTCTTCACACAAGTGTTTGACGCAACCGCAGCCGGAATCTGGATGATTATCAACTCGTGACATCAATGCCCTGACGCTATGCGCAAAATGGAAAAGCAACTTCATAGCGAGCAAAGAAATATAATGATAAGCGGATACTAAAAGCTAGGGGGAACAACGAATGTACAAGGAATCGCGTAGACTACGGGAAGCCAAATTAAAATTTGAATTCCTTCCCCTTCCTTGTCTCCCGTTCGCGATCCATCTTTTGCTTCTTCTTCGCCATTTCCTTCGCCACCATGTCTGAGAAGTCTTCTTTCGACCCCGCCACTCCTGCCGAACCTCGTGAATGTTGCTCGTACTTTCGCCGTAGCTCATCTTCCGATATGCCCTCCATCTCGCCTGCATCGATAGAAATGTCGACACCATTCGCCTTACGCTGACATGGCTATTATTATCCCTGTTAAAATATTTAATAAAATATTTTGACATACCTTCGTTCCCCGCTCCTCCCCAAGCACAGGAAGGTTTTGCGGATTGGTGACTTGACTGATGTCATACCCACGCTCGCTACCCATGAGCCCGCGGATAGAAGTTTGTTTCTCCGGTACAACCTGATACAATGACCGCGATCCACTCTCCGAGGCGTCTGATGGATGCCTGGCCGATGTCTTCCGCAACTCCAAGAAATCGGGTGTTTCAAGTCCCCCAGCGACTGTGGAGACAACGCTGGCCATTCCGGACGGCGTTTCCAGGCCAGAAGGTGTTTGAAGGCCGTCTACTGGTGCAGCTTCAGTAGCTTCTTCATCTTCCTCCTCTTCCGATTCTTCCTCCTCCTCTTCCTCCTCCTCTGCAGGTTCTCTCAGCATTTGCCACAATATCGATGAAAATATGAACTTGCCTTCCTCTGGCTCTAGCTCTCCCCACATAATCTTGTCAACTGGCTCACCAATCTGCGAAAAAGAGCGTAAGAGAAAGGTTCATGATCAAAATTTCTTCACATACGTTCGTATCAGTGACTTTCGGCAACACTCCAAACACATCGCCATATAGAGGGCGATTATACTCGTCCAATGGGGGCTTACCCCAACCACCAGGATGGAAACCCCATTGGGCGCTGGAAAATGTGATCAATCACCTTGAAGTTACCAAGAGGTGCCGCACTCACCCTTCGGGTATGGGTGCATTGAGACCAGGGATCCGTAGAGTCGGATAGCTTGGAGGAGGACCAAATCTTTGCATGCTAATTAACCAAGGTGGAGGTGCTAGTGGCGGGATTGATAGCGCTTCAACAAGCTCCGGTGACAAATCTCCTGGTCGTTTCTCTTTCAGCGATGTTTCGAATTCCTTTCCCTCATAGTACCTAAAAAGGAGGAATGAGCGAAAGTGAAAGGAAAGGAATCAACAGATTTTACATCTCGCCAAAACCAGTGGTTACTGGCTTTGTTGCAAACTTGAAGAAGGCGTCGTGTAGCTTTTGATAGTCGATGTCGACCTTGCCCATCTTCGGCTGCACCCGCTCGCGAGTTTTGGCTTTCAACGACATGTTCGCTTCCTTCTCTTTGACTGCGTCTCTCATTGTCGCAATTCCTGTATCTGCTATGTATGAAGGGAGTTGGAATGGTGGCTTCTCGATACCACGTTTCCCTTGCAGGTAATCTCGTTTTGCACTCCAATGTGCAGGAACAGGAGCGGTATTGCGGTAACTCTTGAGATGGAGCAGTAATCTTGGGTCAGCAGCTGAAGGATCCGTCCATTCGACTGCTTCGGGTTTCGCCACCAGCTGCTTGAGTTCTGCAATCGTCAAGCGGGCCATCTTGCGCTGTTTCTTTTTCGAAAGAGGCTTCTTCGCCTCTGCGTCTGAGCCAGCATCTGATTCCATATCGTGGTCCGAGTAGATAACCTCCCCTTTTGTGGGCTCCGAATCCTTTGCCTAGTATCTTGCGTGAACCAAGGGAGGAAGTGGTGGGCACTATACGACGCACCTCTGCATAGTCCTGAGGAGCCTGGAAACGTGCAAAAATGTCGGAGAAGGCCTCAAGAGCCGGATCTTTGACATCCAGCTGCTCAATCACGTACTCGACATTGCCAACATGCCCATCCTCCTCTTGCTTCACCGTGTCAGAGTTTTCGTTAGGTTCCTGCAGCCACAATTCAATTCTGTATATGTTTTGAATCTTAACCGAGATATGAAACGTACAGGTGTCGTCTGAGCGGCAAGCGCTTTCTTTTCTTTTGCCTTTGCTCGCCGGAGCTGGTTTTTGGATTTAATGGCCTTTCCGTTGGCATTGGAGTTGGTAGCTATACCGTTGACTGCAGTAGGCATTCTGCGCAACTTCTCGAATGCACTTGAGAATGAAAGGGGAACGAAAGAACTTCGAAAGCGCTTCTAGCCTTCGAGTTTCAAGCTTCGAGACTTGTCGTCGGAGGTTTGGGACGAACACACGACTTGGCAATTAGGTAAGAAGGGGGTGTAATTATAAGTTAGCGGGGGGTCACACGCACGACTCTCCATTCAGCGTGTCAGAGGCATCGGCACGCATCAACGCTCTGTTAGCTCAAAAGCGGTCACCTTGCCAACGAGGCAAACAGGGATGTTGGGTATTTTGTCTCCATACGAATGTCTCTACTGATCTCTGAATGAATCCCAGTCGTCGGTCTTACAGGGGGTATCGCAACGGGTAAATCAACTGTATCCAGCCTTTTCAAGTCCCAGCAGGTACCCGTCATCGACGCAGACGTTCTTGCACGGGAGGTGGTACAGCCTGGAACCAAAGGGCTCGCTCAAATAGTCGCATACTTCGGTTCTGAAGTGCTACTCCCAGATGGCACCCTCGATAGGAAGAAACTTGGTGCTATTATCTTCAACAGCGAGGCGAAGCGGAAGAAATTGAATTCTATCATCCACCCTGCTGTCTCGCGTGCCATTATTTCTGATGTGTTTTGGTGCTGGTTGAGAGGAGAGAAATTGTGTGTTGTGGATGTCCCTCTTCTAATAGAGGGAGGGCTGTGGAAATGGATGGGAAAAGTCATCGTGGTGTACTGGTACGTTTCTCCCTGATATCTTTGATTCTTATCCATAACTACCACATACCGAAGTTCGGCAGACATTCAGCTGCAGCGGCTCATGAAGCGCGACAGATCGTCCCGTGAAGACGCTTCAGCGCGCCTTAATTCACAGCTTCCCATCGCGCAGAAAGTGGAATATGCCGATATCGTCGTCGATAATTCTGGGGACTTGCAGGATCTGGAACAGCAAGTTCAGTCGTGTCTTGTGAAGTTAGAACGGATGGCTGGGTGGTCGTGGAGGTTTAACTGGCTTTTCCCTCCATTTGCTTTGGTTTCTGCGCTATGGACATTGGGATGGAGGTCTGTCAAACGATCGCGACGACGGATTCGGAGGCTAGTTTAGAGCCTGTAGACTTGTGTACTCTTATCCGTCTGTGCTACATACGGTCACGATGCATAAATAATCAAAGCGATGGACATGAGGTCACTAGATGCAACGTGCGAGATGTATATTGTAAAGTAATGGTGCAGTGTATGTTACAACCTGTGGTCCTGTCCCGACTCCCGTAGGTGCCAAACCAACAACTCCTCCTTTCGGCACTGTTTCATGCCGGAAGTCCAAGCAATTCACGCTTGTCAGCAAGCTCATCCCGAAGCATAACAATTCGGCTATCAAGCCTCGATGACAGGTCCGTCTGCTTCGTGGACAGCGCATATGCTTGGTCTAGTCTCTCGCTGGCGCCCGTGAGCACGCCCTCCCACATCGCCATCGCTTCATCCAGCTTCATGTCCGCAGCCTTCATATCTGCCTCCTTCAAATCGAGTACGGCCAGCTCGAAGGCGGAGATACCCCCAACCCAGGAGCTGATCTCGACGTCAGGGGCTTTCTCGATTGCATCGAGGAGGAATGCGCGCGCAGGCGCATACTCGGCGAGGGTGCAGTGGACAATTCCAAGAAGGAGCGAGCGTATTGCAAGCTCGTCAACGGTATCGAGGTCGTCGTTTGCGCGCGTTGGAACTGGCGTCACCAGATACTTGCTTTCGACATTCGTGATAGCTGGGGTCAGTGCGGACCACTCTTGGATATGCGCTATGGCGACGGAGCTCTCAATACGTGCGTGAGTATTCCAGACTAAGATAAAAATGTCAGGTCAGGATTCATTACTAAGATGATTGGTTTAAATCGTTACGCACAAATAGCAATCTCTGTCGCAAATAAAATAGTAAGAAAGCATACAAGAAATACGCCGTGGAACGAACCTTCTGCGGGACTGATTCTGATAGCTTCTACAAATCGTTGCTCATCTCCTCCAAGGCGAACTTGCTTTCTCTTGTAGAAAGCCACTATTCCAACGTGAGGTCGATTGAATGTCAAAGGATTGGTTCACAGAACGACGTACTCTTTTTCTTAATGAAGGATTCTGTGGGCATATCTCTACCTGCAAGCTTCCGTTTTTCGAGTTGGCGGGGAATTTTGTCCAAAAGTTCCTGAGCTCTATCGTAATTTTTCAAAGAAAAGTAGCAGCCTAGTAAGGTAAAGGTAAACAGCACGCTTTGAATGATGTAGAGATTCATGTCGCACCAGCCGCAATGAAGTAGTATGTCGCGTGACTCCTGCGTGATGGATAGGTCAGTCCGAAGGTATGCGGAGAAGAGGAAGATAGAGAACCAGCTATTCAGTTTGGTGATGTCTAAAAACTGCTTCGCCGTTTCTTCGTAACGACGACACGAAAGGAGCGTCCAGGCCAACTCAAATGTGAGCTGGAGGTAAAAACGTGGGTCAGGAACCTGAAAAAGGGTGTCACAATCAAGATACATACCAGTGTGTCGGCCTGGGGGAATGACTTTTTCCTCTCAGGCTTCAAGCCGTCCCTCAAGGTCTTGATCGCGCCATCGGTATCGTGTGTCATGCGCTGTATTTTTGCCTGGCAGGGGATGAGAATGAGAGGAACTTCGTTGAATAAAACAAACCTTATTCAGGATCCACAGGGAACCATCAGGGTATCGAGCGTCTACTCTGGATTTGTGACGCCTTAGTTGCACTGACTGAAATCAGGAAGAGAGCTACTGACCTTGACACTATTGCCTTGTACTGCTTGATAATATGCGCCTCGTCTGCCTGATACCCGGCAAGAAGAAGAACAACTCCGTGGTAGGTCATGAGAACCAACCTTTGATTTAATTAGCACAACGCGCGTCATAGACTACCGCTGGGGTCTTACCCAGCAAAGACGGAATGAATATCATTCCCCGCGGCAGCAACGGCAAGAGCCTGTAGAGCTAGCATGCGGTCGTGATTGAAGCCAAAAAAGCCAACCACGTTTCTGAAGTGGTGTCAAGGGGATGTTGCTTGTACTATTGGCAACACACCTAATCTTTGCAGGTAGGAGAGAAAGCACCAGGTTGAACAACCCATATCCTGGCAATCTTGAATTTAGTAAGAAAACAAAAGAAGTGTGAAGAAGGGTACCAAACGCGGTTCCAGACAATACGAGTTCCTCAACGGGCCCGTTAGGCGGATTTGTGATTGTCCCAGGAGCGGGTACTGAAGTCGTTGGAGCGAACCACCTGCTGAAGAAGCCTGGCTTGGGCGCAGTAGGTAGTTTAAACTGTGTTACTGAAGATCCCGGGCTTCCAACAGAGCCTTCACGCGATGGCAGAGGGGTTGTCGCTGGAGTTGCGTAAGACTGGAGACCATTCGGGTAGACAGTCTTGAAAAGTCTGGTGACAGTCGATGAACATGTGCGAGACATGAATGATTAATGACGACGCACTTGTTAAATTTGGAATGGGCACTTTCTTGACATCAGTAATATAGAGCATGTCTCGTTTCCGAAACTGACCTGTTGAGCTCATACCTGCGAAAGTGTTAGCAGCAAGCGGAAACACGTATATGAAATGGAACGTACAAACACTGTAGGTAGCCCCGGTATGACTCACTGTAACCGAAGATAAGAGGTGATCATGTGTTAGTAGGGACATACATACCTCAGTGCATGGGTCAAGCCAAGCAGAACGACGGCATCGGCATGCATGACTTCCCATTCCATTCCAGCGTCGAATCGATGGTTTGAGGGCAACGATTTTGCCGCCCGTGCTTGCTTCTTGGCGCCCGCTTCTGACGCTGTAAGGCAGCGAGTAGCTTCGTCCATTAGACCTGTCTGCAGAAAATTCATTCGTGTATCTTTAAAGATCATACAGGCGAACAACCAACCTCCATACCGAGGGCTGCCTGCATGAATGCGACAACACCAAGTCCTAACAAGTGAAAAGGAGTGTCCTCAGATTCAAACGCCTTTTGTGCTGCATCGATGTCATTTGCAAAGAGGTGATCAAATCCTTGCGTCGCTGAGCGTAGTAAATACTCGGCTGACGGGGTGGACGGCGCAGCCATGGAAAGTGAATGAATGGTATGGTTTGAGACCAAGGCTTGCCAGCGGTGCGCACACGCGATAGCACCGCTTCTGCGGCAACACTTCAGTCGGAAGCCGGGCTCCTGTGGGGAAGTGACTTACGAAGATTACCCACTGGTACTTACTAGACTTCAATTCAATACTTACCATTACGCAGTCTTGCCATAGTCGCTCATACTGCCTTGATACAGTCTAATCGGATGACAGTGCGAACCGTCACCGTCAGCACCCTCAAGACATTGAAAAATTCAGTTATCGGTAATCCCGCAGCCAAGTTAGACCTTGCTCAGGATACAGCGTTCATTCATTTGTATGTGGCATAACATTGTACACGACGCAGAGCTCATAGCCACCGGGCTAGGCTTGTCAACTGCCTCAAGCACCCTCCAACGTCCTATGCTGATACGCGAGGGTCTCATGATGACATTCGTATCGAAGCTGCCCATGTAATCGCGTCCATCTCCTATGGTATGCGCTCATATGATAGACTTTGCCCGAAGACCAACAATCAATTCTAGGTTCGGAGATCGCTCTAGTTAGCCTACTCCACGCAAATGCTCTTCATGCCTTCCTCTTTGCACTCTCAAATCTGAGACCCGACGATGCTGTGCAACTAAAACCTGCGTTAGCCCGGGGTTTGCGAGTGTTGTCCACGGCCATTGCTGAAGTCGTTGGTCCATCCCAACTTGGTCTTCGAACGTGGAGCCCCGATCTGCGCAGTGAAGCCAAGGCAGCCCTGAGTTATCTCTTCGAGGTGACTCAATTTCCTTCTTCAATCAAGCCATAGTCTTGCTAACAGGATTCAAGTTTGATTGTTTGAATATATTTCTCCCGCTCCTGGCCGACCCCTCATCACAAACAAACATCGCTATCGCACAATTTATCAGTACAACCGTCCGCTCTGAAGCTCACCGGAACGTTGTCGTAGAATGGCTACCTCCTGCTGAACGCTCCAAAGAGAGTAAGGGCAGACGCGGCTGGGAAAAAAAAGAATTGGTAACTTCCAGTTCACCAGCTAGACGAGGTGGATGGGTAGTGCGACTTCTGGTCAACTTCCTTCAAAAGAAGGACATAAAGGTCAATTCATCATTCACGAGGAGCAAGTAAGTCTGACGCCTCATAGTTACAAGAAGCTGCGCTTGGCGCAATATCATCCTTAGCGATGGAAAACACTGTAGTGGCAACCACGCTCACAAGGGCCTGGCCTGACGCAGGTAAGCGCCATTACCATTCTCTACTGAGGACCGACATTGATGTTCCGGAATGAGTCGACACCCCCTTGAACATTATATTAAATTTGATGAAAAGTAGATCGACTGATGTGCAACTTGCTGCATCTCTGTGGTAAGCATTTCAGTTGGATCAGACCCTTGATTCACTGTTTACCGCCTTCAGTGCTGCCCACGTCCTTCGAGCCACTGCAAGTCACCATCCAGGATCAATAGATTACTCTGCCGCTCTGAACGTGATCCATGTGGTTAACCGTGTGCTCTCTTGTCCATCCGAAACTGCACAGAACAAGATTAAAACATGCTATACTCTCTGTATGAGAACATCACACTTGCCTCAAGCAGTCATCTAATTCGCATTAGATCATTTGGTGAAAGACGATCAAGATCTGTGTCGAGAAGTATATGAACGTGGAACATTGGAAAAGGTAGTTCTATTGGCCAAGCACATCACCCCGCCCAAAAAGACGTCAGAATGGGAAGAAGACGAGCCCGAGAGCACTCTTGCCCTCAGAGAAGTAAGTACCATCTTTTCACCAGGGTGTGTTTATCTATTTTCATCACAGGCGACGTTGACCGTGATTGCCGCGATTTCGCTCTTCGACAATAACATTCGCCGGGAAGTTGCAGATGATCTCCAGCTCGTCCCCACGATACAAGCGTCCTTGTCACACAAGAACGTTGGTATTCGCCACGCAGCATGCACGTGCCTACGTGCGCTCAGTCGCGCGGTGTCTATCATGCGCACGAATATCATGGACAGTGCTGTAGGAATGGAGATCTTTGCAATTTTTATGAAGGAGGACGAGGATCCAAGAGTGACGTATGCGGCTTTGAATGCTATTTGCAACTTGGTGATCAATTGCTCGCCGCTAAAGCCGGTGCGTCCAACATTTATATATCTTTTCCAAAGACATACCTCCGAGCGATTCACTCAGAAACTATTGGACCAAGGGCTCCTTCCGCGGCTGATGCAACTTTTTTCTTCTGACGACCTCAACATGAGGGTCAGTATTTTGTGGACAATGCGGAATACCCTCGACAAAAGTAATCTCGGCATAAAGCAGACTGTGATGACACATCTAGGCTGGCCCCGGCTCGTCACGTCCGTTTCCAACCTCTACCGCTGATTAGCCATCTTAACGCCTGTTCCACAGGCTGTACAACGATTCCAGTCCCGAAATTCAAGAACAAGTCATGGCTATTCTCTGTAACCTTGCAGACGAAGAAGGAGTGGACTACGTATTTGAATCTATCGATACGGAGACTCTCGCCAACTGTATCACTTTCGGTCTAGAAAGCTCCAATGAGCATGTCACCCGTCATGTGATTCTCAACTTTTGATTCCGTCTGGCAACCCTCGCTAACACAGCATTTAAACAGACTGCTTGTTTTGCGGCGAACATCGCAAACGGGTCGCGAGAACAACAAGACTCCGTCTTCGCGCACGCACACGTTATCCACGCCATGCACGATTGCATGACCGACGCCAAATCCGACACGCGCCGTCCCCTGGTCTCCTGCATCTTCTCTCTCGTCCAGTCCAACATGCGCTGGAAGCACGAACTCACCGAAGCAGGGATCATCTCGACGCTGCGGCACATATGCGAGTGGACGGCGGGCGTCAGCGTGAGTATGAGCCCTGGGGGACGCCACCCTCGGATACACACGAATGACGACAAGGAGGCGGCGAGATTAGCGCGGGGGGTCTTGGATCTATTAGAGCATAGTAATATTGGAGATCTACTGTAGCAGATGCGTAATTTACAATGATGCAGCTTCTGGCATGTTATCTGCAACTCTTGCATGATGCCAGGTACCTACGTTCCTGCCCATTTTGAATTGGACGGTAAGTAACTTCCAACGGTGTGAAGATCTATGCTTCTTACATTAATTATGTGGACAACCGGACAACTCGAGGCGTCAAGCCAGTCTTTCGCAACCTATAATTCACCCAGTCAGCAGGTCAAAAGCAGAGTGCACCGTCAACGTTGTATGCCTTATGGTACAGGAACTTCGTGCTAGCGGACGTCTTGTGGGTCAACTGATTATGTTTGTACGGAATACCATTCACACAGTAAAACCAACCTTCGATAGACATACCGTTTGCGCAACAAGAATATTATAACAGAAGAGAAAAGACCAACCGTAATACACAGTAAAATACGTTCTGTCGATATAGAAACTCAAGGAAAAAGAAGTCCGCACCGCATGGCTTGATGGAAAAATCGCGCTGTGCAGTGTGACATGAGCATAAGGAGGTGATGAGTGCCAAAAGTCTATGAGCAGGAAGAAGTAGATGGATGGGACGGACTGGTAAGTCTCCATCAAACAGCCCTCTTCCTTTGGCAGCCTGCGCTGTGACAACCCTCTGTCGAGAAAATGATCTGCCTCGATGTCATTGGATCAACCGTAACGCAAAGTATAATCCTGACCACTAGAGGAAGTCCTCTGCCCGGGCCCTTTTCTTCCCTCTCGTCTCTTCAGCCGCATATGCAGAAGAATCAATGACAAATGGTGGCATATTTGTCGAGTCTCGAGCAACGTAGTATTTTTTAGTATAAGCCCGTTTCTCTTCCTGTAATACGTCTCATTAATTCTAGAGCTAGGATAAATTTACGTCGACTTACAGGGGAAAAATTCGGGTCTGCATATTTGAGTTCTGTTGGTTTCTTGAAAGGAGCATACTTCTGTTCAAGGGCAGGATTCGGCAAGGTCAGAGGAGGGGGCGCAGCAGTCGTGGCGGGGAGGGGCACAGCAAATGGTACTGGTGGAGCACCAGGTCCATGTCCAGGTGTAATTGGTGGGAAGGGTGATGCTGAACCAGCGGGAACAAAAGAAGGAGGCGGGGGGAATGGTGGCCGAACACTTCCGGGAGGAAAGGGTGGCGCACCTGGGGGAATCATGCCCGGTGGAGGCATGAAACCAGGGGGAGGCATCGGGAAGCCAGGGGGGGGATGTCTACTTAACAGATCAGCACAAGAGGTTACTCGAGATAAATCGATCTTACCCTGGAAGGAAGCCGGGCATACCAGGAAATGGTGGAAATGGTGGTAGAGCCCCAGCAGGGGGAGGCCCCCCCGGGAAAAATGGAGGCGCACCTGGTATAAGACCAGGAGGAGCTGACGGTGGAAGGCCAGGAGCTGGAGTGGGAGGGGCAGCATATGCTTGTGGAGGAGCGCCGTACACAGCGCCGGCACTATTGTCAGCTGCAGGAGGAGCAGGAGGATTATCACTGCTACCACCCATCAAGGCCTTGTGGGCTTCTAGCTGAGCTTTGAGCTCGTCCTCCGATAAAGGCCTCTTCTCGATCTTAGGTCTCTTGGGCTGAGGCTGAGATATAGAACCTGCAGCTAGGCCAAGTTCGATTTCCTTGCGGCGCTTATAGTCTGCAACATCAGGTGCAGGAATGCCCTCCATCCCGAAAATCTCCACTTCATACCCGTCACGTCCTGGCATAGCGTTCTCAATTCGTGGAAGGCTGGACAATCAGAGTCAACAAGACGAACTAGATCTGGATGAATTTTGATGCACTTCTCTGGTTCTAGCTTATGCACTTGTTGGATATGCACGGCCAAACCGCCAGCAGTGTTCAACCGCCGCGGACACATGTTGCATTTGAAGTGTTTGGCCTTTTGGTGCTGCATGAGAACTAAAGAACCATGTAAATGAAGGTTCCATCTTCCAGACGTGTTAAAAGAAGTTACCTTTCTCATCTTCGAACTCCCTTTCACAGTACCAGCACCACGGGCGGATGATCTAAAGGCCTCTGTAAGCAGTGTGCGTAAAACGAGGTTGTATACGCACCTGCTTATTCTTTTTCTTTGCCATTTCGTCGACGTCGCCGTTGGATGATGGTGGATGGAAGGCAAGGGAAACTTTTCGGCGACGCCCGGTGATGACGGTAACCGTGAGAAAACACTCCTAATTGATCTTCAAGAGACGAGTCGAGTCCCCTAGGAGTAAGTACATTGTTCCTTCCAAGACGGTGTCTTCTTTCGTTAGCCAACGCAACACAAATGATTGGCACAAGTCTGCCCGAATATATCTTTATACTCATCAGCATAGGGTTTCTTCGTTTGGTGGCACCAATTAGCTTTCTATACCTCGGGTACCTCGTTGCTGTTCAACCAGCTACCAGATGGCAAACCTCATTCGGAGGGTATGCTTTCTTGGAGGTATTGTTTTATACCTTGGTATACCTGCCTAGACGTTATTTGTTACAGAAGGCATGGATTCATCTATACTCTTCACAGGCCTGGCGTCTCACATTGCTCCTCTAGTCTGCAGTGCACCCCGCCATTCACACTCGCGAATATCGGCGGATGCTTTTCCAACGATGTTCCGGCCACTTAGCAACCTCAGATTACCTCTCCGGATGGTTTTTTTCAGCAGAGTTTAAGAAGGATAACGTTGTAGACTGGCTCCTCTGGGCTTTATTCTCTGCGACTAGAGACACCTGTTTGGTGGAATGGGAGGAGGAACTAGAGGAATATATCTCAATGGTTGAAGATATCATTGGTCGAAAATTAACCCCTGGATATAACGCTGGAGCCCGACCCATGCGACTGACCATCGACAGTGTATCGATGCTGCACCGACCAGTAATATGGTATCTGGTAAGTAATCATCAGAACATGCTGAGCCTCAACGACCTACTGCATTCAGGTTGTAGGTTTGGTGGATGTTGCTTCATCTTTCAGACTTTGGCGCCAGGGATTCCATCACTATGATGACGGCGCTTGGATAGCGTCCTTTCCGATGCGCCCCTGTTGTGTCATCTCGCGAAGATCGCCGGTAGTCAACTTGCCATACTGGTATCGCCCTCACAGATCAAGTACGAAGCTCCCCGTTCTCTTTCTGCATGGCATTGGAGTGGGCTTCTGAATTTATTTTTTTGTGGATGCATTTAATATTTCCGCAGATCGGCTTGTACCCATATACGCCTTTCTTCAAGGAACTCATTTCCCTACATCCAGATATTGGAATTTTGGCAATCGAATTCCTTTCCATCAGCATGCATATCACCTCCCCTCCACTCTCAAGCTCAGCCACCTGCACCGCTATTTCCCAGATTCTGGATGATCTCGGACTCGATCGTTTTGTGGTCTTGTCCCACTCATGTGGGACAGTCGTCACTGCGCAGATGCTCCATTCTCATTTGGCCCCTCGCGTTGCGGCGATGCTTTTCGTTGATCCGATACCATTTCTTCTCCACCTTCCTGATGTCGCCTATAATTTTGTCTACCGACAAGCTCGTTCTGCTAACGAGTTACAGCTCTGGTATTTCGCGTCCAGGGACCCAGATATCTCGCGGACCTTATCCCGACACTTCTTTTGGTCTGAAAACGTACTATGGAAAGAAGAACTGATGGGAAGACCCGTCGCTATATGGCTGAGTGGAAAAGATCAAATCGTGAACTCGGAGCAAGTCAGAAAATACTTGACAGAGGAACAAACCGCTTCGGAACACTGGGCTACGGACAGACTAGAAGTGCTTTTTGATCCTGACTTGGATCATGCTACTGTCTTCGATACGAAGAGTCAACGCAAGCGCTTATTGGACGTTCTGGACCGTTTCGTTAGCTGTCTAGATTACAGGAATTGACCCATTTCCGCAGCTTCAAGCAACGCATCCACTAGATCTCGATCTCAAACTCGCATCTTCAGGTGCTTATATTGCGCAAGGCAGTTATACTATATTGGAGAAAAACGTGTTGAGACCGACTCATGTTGTGTCATCATAGACGTGAGAGTCAGGGATCTAAGTGGAAATATATAAGTACATAATCGCGTGATGTATTAGTAGTGTACATTTTACCTCGAGGCGCGCGATCTGTAGCTTCCTTCGTTGGTACATAATCATATCTGATTCATGCAGACCTGCCATTCTGATCGGCGATGAAGGTAAGTCTGATTCGTGAGATTGAAGATATGCTATATTTCATAGGGTTTCTCACCAAGCATGTTATCCCTGTGCAGTCGCGTAACTTCATCCCATGTCTGATAGTCTGGCTCACATCCGTGCAACATTAGATGCTCGTCCTCTATATTGCAGTGGAAGTTGCAAATTTTCTGTCGAGCAATCTACACTTTTTTATAGTACAACGGCGAGCGGTACACGGTATGACACGCACTATTAACCAGTGGCAACGAACTGAAAACTATCCAGAAAAATAAATTTGCTTTCCCCTACGCAGGACCAGCTTGAGTCACTCCATGAAGCTTGTCATCTTGCAGCATATGATTATGACCATGGAGAAGTTCCCAATAAACTCAGGGCCGGCAGGTTAGACGCCACTGCGTTCGCCACTCAATTTAACTTGGAAAACACTGGACTGGTTGATGCCGTGGGTCAGGCGTTATTCGAGGGCATGACCGTTCGGCGGGACATCAGATTCGAATTGTTTGAATTGAATATCTATGGTCGGTGAATCTTCATACTATCGTACGAATTGAAGTCAATCTGTGTCATGCTTAGGTGCAGGCAGCTTTGTCGGACCACTGGCACGCAGGAACGCCACGAATAGCGACAAGCTATTAGGTTTCCTCGATATTGTATTCCCGACTCCGCATACCGGAGGGATATGCAGTCTACGCAACAACGAAAGCCTGTGGCGTGTCGACTTTGCAACGATGCTGTCAGAAGCACAGATCCCTCTCATCGGTTATGCAGCGTACTTCAATGAGGTCGAACGTGAGATTGGCTTAATCACATCTGGTCACCGCCTCACCTTGGGTTACAAACTCTACTTCGTGTCTGGCGAGGAAAGTTCATTAGCTATTATCTCCGCACCTGGCCCCTTTGAATTGTCCTTGAAAGCTGCCCTTGTCGAATTAGTGAATGATTCCAAGGTGTTACCTAACGGTGGTTATCTCGGATTCGGACTTCGCCATCAGTACCCCGTATCAGTCAGAGATGAGAGTGGACACTCTTAGGTCACGCTTGAAGGGCTCGGATGCGATCACTTCTCGTGTCCTAGACAGGCTCCATCTGCCATGGTCTCTCGGTGTTCTATACCGTGACAGAGGATCTCATTCGGAGCAGACATTCGTGCTCCATAAATTCATATCCTATCTTTCCCAGCGCGACTTCGTGTGGAGTCACTGGGGTGCTGGTGAGAAATTGGGTCCAGGAGCTGAATTCATTCGGTTTGTTGATGAATTTGGGAATGACTGACGAGAGGCTGGCTAGCGACCACTACAGACACTCGGAAGATGTCGCTGAAATCATCCAGGTGACAGAGATGCCCTCCGTCACAAACGTACATTCTCAATATCTTGCATACGGGGACGAGATAATGATGGGAAACCTTTATGGTGATATTTGCCTAGTTGCGGAGGTCCCTGCGAAGGTTGTATATTAGTACGAGCTGTGGCTCAATTTCGCTTTTAGTCTGACTCAGGTGTGCTCATAAAGCAGCTTTCTCGACGTTGTGAAAAGGAGAAACGCGCCTTCCACCAATCACTGACTCACTAAGACTGCGCTCAGAATATTTGAGGCTTCTGAAGCTTCAAGTGCGTGCACCCTTAAACCTTAAAGTTGACGGAGATTTGATCGACGAATGAGTCAGGTCGTGTAGCGGGCTTCTTATTCAAGTTCTAAGAGAGTTACGTTAGACGTTGACTCGACGTGTCTTCTCTTCGTAGTGATAACATGTTATAATAAAAAGGGGATCCTCGAAATGAGAGATGATCATGGGGAAGTTGGACAACGTTCGAGCTTCCATGAAGCCCAGACCACCGTACTGCTGTGGAACGCTTCCTACCACTCCAGAGAGATGCATCTTGTTTTACAGTACAGGCGTCGATGATCATGCAGGGTATAACTCGCACATTCGCATATCACATAAGACGAAACATTGAAATTAATCGTTTTGTCGACAGAAAAATAAACTTGCTGTCTGCAACATCCGAAGAACTCAACCACTTGACGCGCTCTTGTCGTGTTCAGGCTCCGGGAGCAAATGTCTCTCGCTTTACTCCGGCACAACTCAACGCAATCGAGCTCGCCACTACATTCGATGCGGAGCATTGCCGTCTCACTGAGGCCATTCGATGTGAACTACTCGAAGGTGGCAACGACAAGCGACCACTACAACTTATTGTCCAGCACCTCAAGATTTATGGTCAGTTATCATGTTTCATAACAACCACGTATGAATTAGCGTACCAGATGCCGAGGATCACACGAAGCGTCCGCCAGTCCTTCCTGCAGCTGAAACTGACACAGCCGTGGTGGATATTTGTCTCCATGAATATCGGTTGCTCAAGAGTTATGAGGATTCACGGATGTTTTCCCTCAGCCTCGACGAGTTCTGCAATGTTTTTGGTTCGTAACAAGGACTTCTAAAGCTGAAATGCCTCATGATTTCTCATTACAGGCGTTTCATCCGCAGTCGCCCTTCGGAGGGAATTCACTAATCCACGCGAAAATACGGCCACCCCTAAAGGATTTGCGAGCGTTTTGGTTGTATTCCCAACGACCGACGAGGGCGGAACATTACTCCTCCGTCAGGGACATCACGAATGGACCATTAATTTCGCGGAACTGTTCACAAGGGCGTCACAGGCGTCTGTGGCCTTTGTTGCATTCTACGACGACGTACATTATGCAGTCAGAACAATCACGTCAGGGCATTGTGTGATACTCACATATCGCCTGCACTTTTCAACCGACGATGACATTCCGCTCGTAGCCACCCTTGAGCAAAATGGCATTTACGGCGTGAACTCGCTAACGATAGGTATCACTGGCTTGCTTTTGGATCCAGGTGTCTTGCCTGGAGGTGGATACCTGGCATTTGGCCTTCGCAATCAGTACACGCCTGTATCGAGGTCCATGGTCGACGTCGGCAGCCACCTGAAGGGGAGAGATGCAATGGTCGCATGCGTTTTGAGCTCCCTTTCCATCCCGTGGTCGGTCCGTATCCTGTATCGAAATATCGGATGGACGGAATTCAGTTTCTTGGCGGATCATATAATTGATCTTTCTGGCAACGATGAGGTCCACTACTTGATGGAAACATTGGGGAATCCTGAAATTGTGAGTTTCGTAGGGGCGCGTGGTGAGCCGGATAGAAAACGAGCCAAGTTAGATGAAAATGTTGTGGAAGGAAAAGATGCAACAGATATCTTGTTGGTTAGCACAAAACCTTCTGCATGGAGTTTCCACTCGCAGTATGTTGCGGGCGGTCGAGAGGTTATGATGGGGAACCTCTACGGAGACGTATGCATCATCGCGGAAAGACCATCGCTAGTCATGTTACGAGATGGAAGGGAACAAAGAATGTAGGACTAGATAGTCAACAAGTAATCCTCTAGGCCCGTATGTATCATTCGAATACGCCACCCTGAACATCAATTAAACTATGATTCACTCAGCCATGATTACACGACTTACAGCCACTGTGTTCGTTGGTTCAGAGTTCATTTTTATCGCGTCATTGTTGCTATGCGTAACTGAATGCGCGCAAACTGTGCTGCCAAAGTTTGAAGTCTGCCGTCGGAATCGGAAGTCAGAAACACGGACGAAAATCACGGTCACATGATGAATATAACCAATGCGCGTGACATGTTCATTTAAAAGGTTGTGGCAGTTCCACTCGCGCCTTTTGGCGAATTTGTATTTTGACTGCACTGTTTCACCATACCACTACCCTCACCGCACGCTTTGTGCGACAACGAGCATGAGCAACTTTCTGGAACTGTACGAGCCTCTGGATATCATTGGTAATGGTTCATTCGGAATCATTCGTAAAGTCAGGAGGAAGTCGGATGGCCAGGTGAGTCTGCATGTGCCAGTCTTACATCGATAGGTATTTGACACTCTTGCCGGTAGGTGCTTGCACGAAAGGAGCTCAACTTCGAGAGAATGAGTGAGCGGGATAGGAAGCAAATCGTTGCCGAAGTGTCAGTGTTCGAGTTCTTTTTCGCCGCTGCAACTCATCGCTATTCAGTAATATCTTGAAAGATCTGCATCACGAGCATATTGTACGATATCATGACCGCCACGTTGACCGAGATGCAGGCATCTTGTACATTCTTATGGAGTACTGTGGCGGAGGGGATTTATCCACTGTCATAAAGCAAGCTCAAAAGTATAACCGACCCGTGCCGGAGGACACGATTTGGAACTACTTCATGCAAATCTTGCTTGCGCTTCATTATTGTCATCACCCTGGTAGTCATGGACGAACAGGTAGTGGCACATCCGAAGGCGATGCTAAGGAGAAGCGGCCGCAAATTTTACATCGAGACCTCAAGCCAGATAATGGTGTGTCATTTGGTGACCATTCCTCAGCTCAAACAGACCTTTCACCCGCAGTCTTTCTGGACCAATCAAACATCGTGAAGCTTGGTGACTTCGGTTTATCAAAAGCATTGTCCCAAGCAAACTTTGCGAACACATATGTCGGGGTAAGCTTTCTGGCTGAGGCTCCTTCATGATTTAATTCACGAGAACAGACACCATATTATATGTCTCCTGAGCTGATGCAAGAGCGGGCCTACGATTCCAAGTCCGATATCTGGTCGCTGGGCTGTCTTATCTACGAGCTTTGCGCGCTGAAGCCGCCATTCCACGAAGCGAAGACTCATGCAGAGTTGAGTATATTTATACGGTAAGTTGCATAGATAGATGACTTGCCTCTCGCACGCTAGAAGAACCTGAATTCCTATTCGTACAGCAATGGCCGAATACCACCCTTACCGAAAGGGTACAGCCAGGCATTGTCAAGTGTAATCAAAGCAATGTTGAACCTTAATGTGAGTATCATACGGGGGTAGCACACTATGGTCCTGGTCAAATTTGTTGCTCATTCCACATCTCTTTGCAGCCCGCGATGAGGCCTTCAGCAGCTCAGCTTCTCCAACACGAGCGGTTAGAGCTCGTTTTCAAGGTTTCAGAGACAGAAAAGATGTCAGTTTGTGTCGCACGACTCATGAACCGTTCTGAATGGCTTTTACAGGCTTGCTACAGTGAAATCGTACAAAGTAGCTGTTGTTACGAAAGAGCGAGAAGTCGCCGCCCGCGAGGCAGCCCTCGCAGAACGGGAAGCACGGCTAACATCCATCATTTCCGAAAAAGACCATGAAATTGCCCGACTCCACGAGCTATTGAGGCAGGCAGAGGCCAACTCAGAACAACGGCTGCGTGATGTACGAAAACGTATGGAGGAGGTAATGGCACTGCGCGAGGAAGAGCTCGAAAACCATGTGCGCCAGCGTGACCAGGAGCTATTTGCGTGGTGGACAGCAAGAGAACAGGAGATCAGGGCAGGGATGATGAAGGAACTAGAGGACAAGGTGAATTGGATTCAAGGGAGGGAAGCAGAGCTCGACGCAGAACAGGGGAAGCTTGATGCAGCAAGGAAAGATTTAGAAGTGAGGTTGAAAGCAGTAGAAGAGAAGGCTGCAAGCGAGACTAAAGGTTTGGGCTATGTTTTTTACACTGTCCAATTACTGATTGCGTCGACTGTAGAACGCAAAGACAAGACACCCCTAGAAGAAGTGAAAAACCTCCTTGCACCTCTCGCGCAGCTAGCTGAAGACAGCCGCCTGCGGTCTGCCCAACGTCGGTCACAGGATTTTTCCTTCATGAACACGACTATTACGCTCGAGACGCCCGTTAGCCGTTCTGTCAAACCTGTCGTACCCTTTTCAGCGATGAAAGGTGTCGTTCTGACAGAAACTGGCCAACCGTTAGCGACACCTACGCCAGCTCAGCTTGCCCAACTTTTCGTCAAATCACCCAAAGTGAACATCGAGTTTGCCAAGATATTTGACTTTGACGAGGGGGGTGATAGTTCCGATGCAGAAGATGGGGAAGGCGACGCCGACTTGCCGCCTTCCCCATCAAAACGAGAACGAACAAGTCCCGAGATGACTGCCTCAGCCTCTTCAGCAAGAGACCCGAATTCTGTCCCCCCCACGCGTCTACGCAAGCCATCCATCCGAGGATCTGTTCGACGCGCACCCCTTCGGAAAGCTGTGACTCTACCGGTAGTCTGCCTCCGACCCTACAGGATTCGCATCATCATCACGACCCTCAAAGTCAACAACCTCACGAACAGAGTCTACGGATATCTGTACGACAACGAAAACGGCACCCCCCGTACCGTTGGAATATGACCTTTCTGATGAAGGAAAATCTACCGAGTCCATTCCTCAAGCGCACTGAACGCGAACGCGCGATAGCTCCTGGAACTCTTCGGTCAACGAAACGTTCAAGCACCGGCAACCTCTTGCGCGTCGTAGCAGCTACGAACAATGCGAAGCAGGGGAAGCAAACTCGCGCTGCAGGTCATGGCACTCGGCCGGCGCTTGCATGTGCTCGCAAGGCGAGTGAAGAGGCGCGGAAGGCGTTGTCACGGTCGTGACGTGTGGTGTGCTATCGATTTATTTTGTTTTATTGCATCGTTATTTACGATATGACACACGATAACTTTCGGTTTCTGCGGCGGGCATGCAAAGACGACCCATTGTCAATAGTAGTTCTTTGTATACGATATCATCCGATGCACCATCCTTTCGCCCGATATAACTAGAAAGTGAACATCAGAGCAGTAACGAGATTCCGTTCCTTTGGGCGGTGGGCACTATCGATATCTGTGACCAAATTGCAGGTCCGGACAATCACTGGACAATCGCACAAATGAAAACATGACAGTGCTCATCGTTGCAACCTTAAACATGCATATTATGGCTCGCTGATTGGTATCTCGGGTACTGCTTCGCGAAATTGACATTTTTGAGAATCTACTACCGCATGATTCCAGGTGACAAATTATCATATCACCAAAGTCAGCAGAGGTTTGCGCCGCGGATAGTCGGCGCTTCCAGTTGTAAACTCCAAACATTGAAATTTGAGGACATCGCGGTACGAAGCTCGACTCTGACCGGACCGTAGTTTGATTCTGCTTCGCAATTTGATGACAGTTGCAATTTGCAGGCTCCAACAGATTTCTAGAATGCGACGAGTAAAGCTTGTTGAGCTGGTGGTTGATATAAGCCATTGACAAATATGAATTCATGGCATGATAGAATATCCGGAGTATAGAAGTAGTCCAGAACATGGGCAGCTCCAGCTTCTGTCAAAAGCAAACGAAATGGTGATCGGGGAACGAACATAGAAATTGATTGCCTGAGGCCCTGGTTTGGCGCCGAGTCCGGATATCATTGGTCTCAAGACATGGTGTGGAATCTGGATGAGCCACTCGCACGGAAAACAGGACTCTTACAAATTGGTAGAGTCGACATCGAAATGAGCACGTACAACTGTCGGGAGACTTCTGACAAAGATGAGATATCTGTCGCGAAAAGAATTGGTTAGCGATCGCCAACAACGCATCGTGTTTGGTCGTGCAACTAAGCGCTGTCGACTTGGTAGCTCACGACTTCAACTGTCTCAGAGCAGCTGACTCGCTCACAGGACCAACGTTAGCGAGAGGGGTGCCAGTTTCACTGGCCTCCCTGATCCAGGTAGGGTCTCTACGGGCGATCCACTCTTGTCCAGTAAGATCAGACTGACTCGTGAATCATATCTAGAGACCCATTTCATGAAGCAAACACCACTTGAACACCACTAAGTGATTTTATGGTGCCGGGGACCTGGATGTTGTCTTCCAGATGACGGTAGGAAACTTTTGGTGAGTGGGAACTATGAGCCAGCTATAAGACATCCCTGGGTATTTTATTCCCTGTAAGAGCAAATCCATTATTCAGCACGTCCGACACGGTGAGGACATTCTCCCCGCAATGGTGAAGGGCCACCAACAAAATGAAATTTGTTTCTAAGCTGACCCGGAGCGGTGAGCGGCGATCGAGCTTCTTTACAAAGCCAGTGAGCAGGGTATATAAGTTCGTCCCATCAGTCCAACATCCGTCATCTCTTCGTTCCACTGTTGCCCATCATTAACCTCATCAACATTAACATATTTTTCCTATCTCTAATCCCAATTCTCAAGCTTTCCCCTGAGATGGCCTTGAACGTTGCTTCTCGGAATGTCTTGAAGAAGGTGCTGGCTGTTGAAACAGCTGAGGTATGTCCATTTGATCAACTAATTGATCTCTGGTGCTTCATACCCCATTCAACCAATAGGGTGCTGGAGCGCGCGTACGACGGTCGATCGGAACCGCGAACTTGCGCAATTTGACGCCTTTCCTGATGCTGGATCACTTCCACGTCTCTGAAGGTGCTGTAAGTCAATTGAATCAATTACTGCAGCACAAATCATATGATGCATCATTTCACAGGGGTTCCCCGACCATCCGCATCGTGGTCAGGCAACAGTAACGTATATGCTGGAAGGGTGAGCAATTTCTACTTGCTTTGGGCATATAAGGTGTAACATTGATTTTGTAAAGATCAAGTCGCCATGAGGATTCCGCAGGCCATGCTGGTATGCTTGCTTCCACGAGTTTATCTGATACGCGTGTCATGACATGCAAATTAACAGGGACCATTGAGACGGGCGGTGTCCAATGGATGTGTGCCGTTAGTGAACAACCCTTATTTTATACGCACCGTCAATCTCAACTGCCGTATCATACAGGGAAAAGGTATCATTCACGCGGAGATGCCTGTGCAGGGAAAAGGCGTGCCTGAGCCTCGAGGATTGCAGCTTTGGGTGGACCTACCAAAGGAGGTTAGTCTTCTGCGCTTACCCCTGTGTGGCTATATCACTTAACGAACGTGCCCCAGTTCAAGATGGTGGTAAGTGTAGTAGGGTATCGATGATGTGGTCTTGATAATCACTTTCGGAGTAGGAACCGTCCTATCAGGAGCTGGGCCCTGAATCGTATGTCGATCGTATATGTGCCTTGATAGTTCTTTCTGTGACGCTTGGTTTTCCAGTATTCCAACTGCGTATCCTGAAGGCGAGGATGGTGGCATTAGCATCAAAGTCATTAGTGGAAAGAGTCACGGCGTTGAGTCACCTGTGCGGCCACTCGGCGGGTGCTGGTTCTTCCACGTGACAATGAAGAATGCAGGCGCAACGATGTTCCAGGACATTCGTACGTATTCATTAATGCTCAGAAGCTCTTTGCCGCTCACCCTTATCGACAGCTGCTGGTTGGACGGCATTTGTGTACAGTATGTTGGTCCACCATGTCGGGTCTCTCAGGGGCTGACCTTTCCCCTTAGTTTGGAAGGGTGCAGTAAACGTTGGTGAAAGCGGTCCTGTCAATGACGCTTTCCACACGCTGGTCCTTTCTAACAACGACGGCGAGACCGGCGTGCAACTAACGGCTGCAAACGACGATACACAATTTGTGTTGGTATGTACACTGATTTCATAGATTTTTTTTCTTGAATGTCTTTTTGGGGAATAGATTGCTGGGGAGCCTCTCGACCAGACTGTTTTCCAGTACGGTCCTTTCGTCATGACGAATCAAGAAGAAATTCAGAAGACGCTGATGGACTGTGAGTGATGCTTTGCTGGAATGTCTGACGATGTACTCAAATAATATCTGAATCGATACCCAGACCGAACGGGACGTAACGGGTTCGAGAAAGCACATACATGGAAGAGCAAAATTGGGAATTCGTGAGTTTCAGGACTATCGTACGCATAATTGTAATCTCCTGTACAAGGAGCAAGCTCCTTTGCGATACTTAATGTTTCATAATTTGTATGTGCAGTGCTTCTGTTTTTTTTTGCGAATGAGTCAGAGTAATGCATGCGAGGTCTGGATGAAACAGGCCACACTAGACACTGCAATTATTTTCGAAAATTTGTCTGCCTTATTTGACTGTATCCAGCGAGTCTTGGCGCTAGGGGGACCAATGCTAAAATTGATAACTACCTGTAAGTAAAAGAAGGAAGACGCTCGCTATTTCTGCGAGTGCTAAGTACTTGGTGCTGACTCTAATGTATAGCTGATACTAGTGTTGGGATCACGCATTTCAAATGATGCACAAGAAATCCAATAGCAGAAATTGGCAAGGCGAGATCCCCTGTTTTAGGGTGACTCGGTGACTATCATATCCCGGTTCGATCCCATTCAAAATGCGCAATTGTTCCTGGTGACGAAAACGTTGTACAGAAGCAGCGGTGACAAGTCAAAGTGACGCGCGCTACCAGTCCAGGTAATCAAGTGTGGGGCAGTCACACTGAAACGTTCGTTTCGTAAAAGCCGTAAGAGATCATGATCATCTTTCACAAGGTCTGCCACCCCTAGCGCGCGCCTTGCATCATATCTGCGAGACGGCCTAGTTTACGTTCACATTTGAAACTTTCTTCAGCCATAAGCGTGCGCTCTCACTGGTGGAGAGGTACTTAGGCGACAGTGTCCCTGAGCTATCCCAGAAGTATCGCTCTGAAGTGTCTCTCAAGACGAGTCCAAACGCAGATCGACCATAGCGCTCGTAGGCTAGACGCGTTCCTTGCTGTTCGGTGACGCACGTTTGACCTTGGCTAGCCTGATGGTTGCAAGTTGATATGATGGCATCAGTGCGTCATTTCCGATCGCGAACTGGGCCTCGCTCAGTGAGGGAATAATGGCTGCGCGTGTGATAATACTACAGCAGTGTGCTAGTGACGCAGATTGGTCACTTTCTGGCTCCATCACAACCTCGAAGGGAAGCATTGATACGATCAACAAAGCCGGAAAAAGATGCATTCCACTATTCCTGCGAACCTCGAGAAGAATATGAGTACCTCCGAATCTCCGGTCCAGGATATGTACTCAAGCCGATAGCACTGCTTGGAAAGGTGAGACACGAGCAACGGCACGAACGGTACTAATCACTCATTAGTAGCACTCGTCACGATGTAGCAACTGGTTGAAGCGAAAATGAAAATTGAAACGCCCTGAGTAACAGGCTGCTTGTGGACAGTTTGTACTTTGTGGACCGATATCTAGGTGAGCCACATTCGGGCGCCGCGGGCTTCGGTTTCTTTCGTCAGCAGTGGCGGCGGCCAGCAAAACAAGTTCTATGAGACCAAGACGGACCTCTGAGATGAAGAAACAACTGGCGCCGCATCGTGCCAAGATTTCTAGGCATGGAATACTTACAGGATTTCGAAGACCATAGAGAAGCGAGGAATCGCCACGAAGACTAGCCAAGTCGAACTAGAAGAACCGCCAAGGATTGGTCGGGTGATTGTAATGGCAATGGCGTTCGAGTTTACGATGACGATGATTGGATATTATGGATGATCCAGATCTACCGGGTAGTGCGGTATACGCAATTGTGTAATAGAATTTGGCGCTACGGGTGGAGAGGTGGATGCCCGTGGATGTTTGAGTCATTTTGGGGGCGAACGTGCGAAGTGGCCGCTATATCGCTCAAAATGGAAATCTATAGATCCTTCATAAAAGTCGGTGCAATTCAAACTTTCACGTTTGTTTCCCGGAAGCTACTGCTTTGTTTTTCTATTGCGCTAACGATACAGCTTTTGCTGTGTTCCACTACAACCGCTTAGTAACCAAAGGCCTACTGGTATATATCAAACCCCAACACCGTTCTTGACCTTCATTAGTGCCACCCCACTCTCCTATACCATGGATCGTTTCCTCGCCCCAAATACCTCAGAGGCATTGGCCCACACCCATTTGACGTACGTTGCATACCTTTACCGTCCTAACCTGTCCTGATCTCCATGACTGCCAGTGAAAATTGGTTCACCTGGGACCAAGACCATCCTTCGTTCAATGAGACCCTCGTTGCAGGATGTGCATCCTACCAAGCATTCACGCGCTACCTCTCAGGCTCTGACCTATTCATCGTACCTCGCTCCTGTAGGGAACTCGAAGGTGTTTTGTAAGCAACATTCGTTTTCCGAACTCGCCCTCTCTCATTCACTGGCTTGCCAGGCGACGTTACGCGTATGACAGTATACACAATGCCATAGCAGTGTCTAGACAAACCCTTCAAAGAGGTGGATACAGTCGAGTCAGTGAATCACTATTTCTAATTGTTTCTTAGGCTGACCCATTTTACCCAGACGTGCTCCCTCGCAGAAAAGTCAATTCGCGACGTTCTAAATACGAATGACAATGCAACCGTCCTCCTCGCTTTACATGCGCCGCCCGCCGAGGCTTTCTCAGGAGCGGACGTATCTCTGCCGAATTCAAACACCCGCATCAGGACATGATGCCATTTTCATCGCATCAGCTCGCTTCATTCCACCTTCTTATCCTCGGCTCCCCACTGATATTTTTTTCGACCGTGGCTTGTTGAGATCCTGGCTTCGTTACCCTCTCGATTATCTATAATCGCATCTGTATCATTCCCCGCACCGAGTTACTTCTACAAATTTGTATGTACTAGTGTAATTCTGTCATCCCCTCCTGTTGCAATTCGTTAGATTGAACTTTGAACCTTGATGACGTTACCGTTCAGGGGATCCAAAACGTGTGCTATTATAAGGTGGCGTTTGGCATGCCAGGCACGAGAACTTGAGTGCATATTCATATCTCCAGCGTGCTATTTGTTCAGTCGTTCCCCGCACCATGACAAATTTACCTGCGCTGCTCCGCATAATTACTCACGCCTTCAACTATTTTTTCTATATCGACAATCACTATCTGCTGACGCGCTTGTGCGAAAGGAGGAGTCAAACCGACGCCAGCCGGTGCCTCGGACGCAAAGGGTGAAGAAGGGAAATTTATAGAGTGCGCACAGAGGATCAGCCCATTATACTGGTAAATGTATTTTTTCATGATGTACCTGTGGGTACGCCAGCGCCATCAGCAAATAGTACGTGCGAGGAGCCACGGCTCTGGGGGACGCGATCGATAATCTCTAAGCTGTACGGCACCTCGCACGTACTGCATGCTGGAATTGCGTTGACGGTGCAACGTTCGAACGGGTATTAATATTAGCTGGCGCTTCTTCAACACAAAAAGGGAGTGTTCATCCCCGCAGATAATACGGCAGGGCGATAGCCAGATACTGGAAAGAGCTGGACACGTATCTCAACTAACCCACATAGATCCGCCGCCGTCGGTCTGCAAAAACGTTGTTATCTCCCCGGCAACAGCACGGGAGAACCTGTGTTATTGCTCAAAGAGGAACATGCAGTGACAGCAGGCATGGGCATCTGGTGGGACATGGCGCCCGTTAGTGTCGCGAGATAACGTTGTTGACAGACTTCCCATCCTGGATCTGAATCGGAACATTGTATCATCGTGTCACACCGGCCGCATCCCTGGTGGGCGAGGCGATGTATAAGACCTTTCCGCTATGGGCAAGTTGAACTTACGCGATGGTTTTTTTTTCATGAAAAGAAAAAACAAGATGACACGATACTGAGAAAATTATCCAGCTCATGTCATTATGTGAGGCCTCCCGGCATCTGGATTGACGCTGGGTGGTTACACAAGTGTATGTGAATGCTAAATGCAGCATAGTGAGTAGTAGGAAGCAGTTTGTCCGTCCAGACGCAAATGGATAGCGCTGTGCTCACAACGCATCTACAAGTCTCTGCCATCTCGACATCTTACCCTCGCGCGCCTTTTCCCGCAAGACAAATCGTTCCTCTTCCTCGTCAATCTCCCGTTTGCCTGTGATTAGATCGACTTTGGACGCTGGTATAACCCGAGTTCGGTAACGAAGTTTATACCCAAGCCAGAGTACGAAAAACAACGGTATTGGGAGGTATGACCTAGATAAAAGAGTGTAGGATGTGAGAATGTCAGTGTGAATACACTCACGTGATGAATAGTGCAGAGGTAAAAGGGAAGAACGTATCGAACCCTGCAGAACAGTTAACGTGATATCGATGCGACCGAACGCGCCAGACTACCTTTGAAGAGTAGAATTATTCCAGTCGAAACCAGAACGAACCAAGACCCCAGCGGTTGACATGATCCTTTGTACGGCAGACTATCGCGGGAGATGCCTTGAGCCTTGAGCGCCTGCATGAAGCAGCTACAAATGTTCACGCGATAGTCCCTGAAGAGAAACGAGTTACTCACATGTGACTGTAAGCAATTGTCATCCAGGTGATGGCCCCAAACGCGGAAAGAAGGTTGACAGTATATGCGAACACTAGTGCCAGTATGAATTAACGTGGTTGTTACTGACCTAGCTGAATAGAGCTCACCCGTGGAGCTTGAAGAGCTCACGTTTAGGAACGTTAAGGAAGTGAATAACGACACGAAGAGCAGAGAAACCCAAGGAAGGCCTCTTTTATTCACTTTTGTGAATATCAGAGGCGCCTTTCGTTCTACTGCGAGGCCGTAGAGTGTCCGGGAAGCGATGTATAGATCACTGTTGGCTGCACTGATAGTAAATAGGAGAATCATCGCATTGACGACATGGTTGAGCCCTTTGATTCCAACCAGAGTTATTCCTGAGCGCAATGAGAACGCCGTATGAATCAGGAGACTTGCAATGACTCACCAACAACGAAGGGCGATGCCGCTGCGCTTGCATGCGAGCTATTGGCAACAAAGAGCTCCTAGAAGCAAATAGATTGAAATTGCCATACCATCTCCTGATGCTCACTTACAGTACTGGTGCTTGGAACGATAAGACTAATTGCAAACACGGATCCGATATAGAAAACGAAAATACGAAAAAATGTCGACTTGATAGCTCTGGGAATCGATTTCCTCGGGTTCTGAGCCTCTCCGGCCGTAACGGCAACCAATTCGCTGCCGATGTATGCAAACAACGCAGTGGTCAACGTACTCCAGAATCCAAGAAAGATTGCGAGACGTTCATTGTGCACCTCCTTGACAAGGTAGCTTCCCATGGGTCCGTTTGGGTGTCGCCAGTATCGGAATCCGATGCGGTCATGTTCTGGGTTTCCCCCGAGGTCGATGACAATGCCAAGGAAAATCAAGCCCAGGAGAGATAAGATCTTGAAGCCGCTCATCCAGAACTCCAATTCCCCAAAAAATTCTATACCAAGCAAGTTCATGACAACAACTAGAGAAATATCAATAGTCAGCTCGGGGAGACATTGACCCAACTCACCGAGGGCGATATACGACGCTAAAAGTCCACCAGAATGAGATTCAGGTAAACGCGTCGGATAGTGTTCGTACCTGTCCAGACCTCGATGGGCACCGAGAGCGTCCAATATTGCATCACAATTCCAGCTGCATTGATTTGACTCGCAGGGGCGATGAGATACTTGAGAAGATATATCCAGCCTAGTGCGAAACCAAGAGCAGGATCCACAAAACGCGTTGCATATCCTGCAAATCCCTTTTTATGTGGTAGATACGCAGTCATCTCTCCCAGGGCCGAAAGAGTCAGGAAACAGATGAGACCAACGAACAGGAAACCGAGACAGAGGCCGAGAGGCCCGCCTCGGACTAATGCAGTTCCGGAGCTCATGATCAAACCTGTGCCAATAGTCCCGCCTAGCTACGTCTCGGTGAGTATGATAAGTGACCGAAAAGTGGGTAACCGACTGCTATCATGGACATTTGGCGAGCCTTGAGCCCGCGGTGCAGCGTGCCCTCATGTGGGTCTTGTAGATCCTCGGCATGGTAAAACTTCTCGTCTACATCCTCAGTGGCAAACGCGCTCAGGCGGCTGTTGGACATGATAGTCTCGAGAACGGGGATAGCTGCAAAAGATAAGAAGCCAACATGTTATATTACGTATCCTTGCGTACAGAATTGGGGAGGTATACAACAAAAATAGAGCGCACATGCTGATATATTCTGCCAAGTACATGGAACCAGTCAGGTGCACCGGTCGGTAATAAGCTTCGTAAGATAAGGAAGCATGTACATACGAAGGCGGATCACAGTTTATGCCTGATTTCTTTCTTGGCAATTTTCCCGAAGCGCTCAGCTGGTATTCCACTGCTAAATCTCTCCGCTTGGGCATAGCTCTCTCGGAGATTCACGGCGTGAAAGTCGTTCTTCTCGTTCAAACCAGCTTTGATGAGGGATTTGATGGCGAGGAGTGAGGAAGGCACTAAACCGTCGAGTTCCTTAACAAGATGTTGGTGAACTGTAGAGTGGAATTCTTCCGTTGATTTCGACGGAATAATCTTGCTGGGTCATTCTCAACATGGGGTAGGAAAAGTCGGATCTGGAAGCACGCACTTGATGAATCCACATTCAAGCATTTCTGGTGCGCTTATCTTCTTGTTAAGGAGGAGAACCTCGTTTGCCTTGGCGATTCCCACTGGACGAAACCTTGAGAAAAGATTATACAACAATGAATTCACTTACTGCGGTTGACGAATGAGACACTAGCTCCTCCTTCTACCGCAATACCTGGGAGGATGTAAGTTTTTATCGTGTATCGAAGAAAGCAATCAAACGCGCATACCCAGAAAGGGGAAGCCGACATTCAACCAAGCTTCTGGCACGGCGTATATGATATCAAAGTTGCCAAGAAGAGCTACAGGGACCTAAGAGAGATGCACAAATAACATCTATGGTGGACGTACCAGCTGCTATGCCTAACCTCAAGGCCGTCACTCAACGTATTTGCATGAACACTTAGAATGGAAGTTACATACCCATCACCGGGCCATTTAACGCTGCAATAAGGATTTTGCTGTGAGTATAGAGCTTCCATGGTTGAAAGAATCGGTCGGCAACACTATGGACAAGTAAGTATTAGAACGTACTGCGTGTGTGCAATCCGTGTTCGCAGCCACTACCCCATGGATGAGATGATCTCTCATCGAGTGAATCTTAGTATTCGAGCCGGTCTTCCTTCGCTTCACGTCCGTGCCACTTTCCGGAACAGCAAGCGGTATAAGCAAGGAAACATTTGTTCGGAAGACTGAAGACTTACGTGCAAAACCACTTCCCATTTGCTGTGTATCGCACGTAAGTTGGTGTAAGATCCCCCGAACTTGAAAGCTTGCTTGCCTTGCCATACAGTTGCTACCACATCTTCTCTTTTATCGATGGCCCTTAAGGAGTCAGCGAATGCGTCGTAGTCTGTAAGTCAATAGTTGCTCAGCCAAATCCAGTTGCTCAGGCACGACACAAACCTTCTGATGCCAGTGCATTCAGACGGTGAGGTTCATTCAAGGTTATGGTGGCAATGCCATCAGAAACGTCCACCGAGATTTTACTTGTAGACATGGTTCAGATGGTGTCTGAGAAGGAACAGGGGGATATTGGCTTCTGCTGTGGTATATAAGTAGTGGATATCGAATATCACAACGAACTCTACATTAATTTATCATGACAGAGAGAACCGGCTAGTACGTAGCCGGTTCGGTAGGCCGGGCAATATTTTACATAAATACAAAAGTCTCATAATAAGGCCGGCCATCAATGCATCACCAAGCATGCAGCCTGTGCATAAAGTAACTAAGTAACCAAGTAAAACTAAACGATTTATGAACGACTTGAGACCCCCCATCCTGTTCGATCTCCCGAATTAAAGTAGTAAGTTTCCTCATGACACGGAGGTTATGCAGGACGGCAGAGAAATCTCTTCACCCCAGGCATTAAGCTCAGCGATTTTACGCTCCTACTGAGCGTCGGGTGTAGCATTCATATTCAGCAACTCAACTCTTGATCTTTTTTTATTTCTGACGATGCAACTCATAAACTCATATAGTCTAGAAAACACGCAAAAATACATTGATAACATCTACCATTCCATTCATATTCCAAGCGTAGTTCACTCCGATATCCACATATCCAACACCCTCTTCGCGGCGCTCCCGAGCATACTGTGTCCGTGAACACTGACCAACTCTTCTAGAATTGGTCTCGTGGCCTCTTTCAGCCTCTGAAGTCCTTCTCCGGTTCCACGCTTACTGATCTGGCCAAAGAAAGCACATATGTTTGTTCGGACCTCGGCAGGAGTGGACTCGCTCTTCAAAGAGACGATAAGCTGATCGAGAGCATGTCGAACAGATGGTATTTTATTGGACGTGCCCGTCGGAGAAAGGATGATCGGGGAGTCCATGGTTTCACTAGCGACAGAAGTCGTTGTAGACACCGGGGCGGACCCCGTTGAAGACGGCGTCACTTCTACTGGTAGTGGAGTAGTCAAGGCATTCAGAACTAATGCACCTGTACACAACATTGGTTATCTTTCAGTTACCATCACCCTAAAATTCGTCGCGCTCACCTCCGTCGCGATGCATGCTCAGTAGACTTGATGCTACCACGCCCTCATTGATGAGAATGAGATGCTTGGCGCTTCTACCGATAAGGGCAGCCAGAGCTTCTGCGCACGCTGGAGTGAGCAAAGCATCCATGGCTCTCACCCGCTTCTGCTGTCTGGCTTGTAGCTCCTCCTCGTTGCTTATTTCATCTCTACGCTCGTTTGTCCAGAGCGACCTGATCAAGTTCACAATGATCCGGGTGCCTTCGCTCTTGATCGCAACTTGTGTCGGAGCGCTTGACAAGGGCAAGTAACTGAGATAGACCTGTCGAAGGAGGGTCTTGGCCTTCCACTGGTTCTAGTATAAACACGCAGGCATTATCCACTGCCAGGATGCAGGTTCTTTTGAATCACAATAGACACAAGTCGAAAATAAATGCTTACCACTGTTGTTGCACAGATGCTTAACAACACCGATGGCATTCACCTGGACTATGTCAAGCATGAAATCACTTCTATCATCCCAAACGCCGCTCCTAAGTATGAGTTGGATGACACCAGCAGCGCTGAGGGTTGCACGATTGGATGGCATCTGAGATGAGGACTGTGCTAAGTGTTTCAATAGACCAATGACACCGTGCTTCAGTTTGATATCAGTGGATGGAGCAAGCAGAGCGTCCGACGAGAGGAGTCGAGCAATGTCGTATGGCTGAGAGAGCAGAATTGTTGAGTGCGATTCTAAGTCAATGTCAGTCAGCAGTCCACGTTACTATCCGTTACATACCTCCACGCGTTATGTTACCCAGAGATAAAGTGGCACAAATGACAAGGTCGTCTCTCTCATTGCCATAAGTCCCGCCGCTGACGAACGATCTGATCCAGTCAATCATTCGTGACACAAACTCCCCTCCTGGCCGTGTATCGTCTGAGTCATCCCACAGTATATCGAGATTCCTGTCATCTCCAGAGACTTCTACGACGGCTTTGATTACTGCAGCCTTGCAGTCATCGAAAGCCTTCTCTTTCTTACTGACGTCCCCGCCTTCGAGACCATTCTCGGACTGGACATACCATAATGGTGCATATCCTCCCTTTTCAACAAAGTCGAGCATCGCAGAAAAACAGGGAATATCGTGATGCTCTGCGGGAAATGTAAAGCCGCGTGCCAGCGAAAGACGCACGTCCGCCACGTCAAGAGCTGATGACTCAAGGTGAGAGCATGACTCCGAGAGAAGGTCAAAATCTGTATTGAGGAGAGTTGTCCGTAGTTGAGAAGGTTGCGCGAAGTGAGGGGGAGGAGATGCAGCCAAGAGTGGCGGCGTGAAGGCGATGAGCGATTGGACGAGATATGGTAACACCTCTTGGGAGAACAGAGGGTGTACTAAAGCAAAGAATAATGAGAATAAAAGAAACATGACATCAGGAAAAAATTGCACCATCATCTTGAAGTTCTGATATTAACCTTCCTGCCCAACTCGACAGTCCGGCTCTTATAGCCCAAGATTCGGAGATACGGTCAAAAGTAATGTCATCTGGAGATGTTTCAGGAGGATAAAGGTTAGATGTAGTTCTCATCCACGCAGCGGGAGGGTAGAGGGCTGTTGATAGCCGGACAATCGTCTTCGCAACCTCTAGCGATGTGAGACGGTTTCTCACTGGTTCTAGATAACAAGTCACTGTCTGTGTATCATCTTGGTAAGAATACAACATACCATATGTCAGTGTAGCGTTCAGTAGGACTCCGACAGCAGTCTTCACAACCTGCAAATGTGCAATGGACATGGGAAACGGATCCATCTGAGGTTCCTCGGGAATGGTGTCTGTGTAGCCTTCAAGCAAGGATACGACGGCCTGGGGGAAACCTGCCTCGAGGAGGTGCCCCCTGTTCTGGTCTTGATATTGCTTATTTGACACTGTCACGGGAAGCCCTTGGGAAATAAGACTCACCGTGCTCCACGCAGAGGTTCGCGCCAACACGAAGAATCTCAAAGACAGGTGCTGTGCGACTAGCACCCGGGATAAGTGTACCATTCAACGCACTGCCGAGTAAAGTGGTGAGATTCTGAGGTAGTAAACTTTTCCCCAACATCGTGTGATTATCCTCTATCAGCAGTGCATCAACTTCCCCTGAGCCAGTACGCGGTAGATATGTCACTCACCAGGACCATCTCGAACACGAAGCCCGTTTGCTAGTTGCTGGGCGGTCAACTCGACTTCTTTCCATGTTTCTTCGATGTCATTGACAGGGAGTTGTGCCACGAGATCACCCAACTTCCGAGCGCACTGAGCGCAAGTCAAGGTCATCGGAGGGGTGTCCATATCAGACCTGGAGGAGGACAGAGGTAATGTAGTATATCGCGTGTGTCGACTTGATAGAATTCAAAGGATTTGGGGTTTCTGACTGCAGCAAATATCGCCTGCTCAATTAGAAAGCTGATAGAGTGGACCGAGGGAAATCGGTTAAGGACAGCTCGCCATCATTATGTTTAGTAAAAGATTAAGAGTGGCAGTGCACCTGCAAGGTACTCTTTTTCTTCTCAAATCACGACTACAGCATTCGTACAGCGTATCACTTACGTCGAATTCTGATTCAACTATTCACTCGCTGCACTTCTTGTGCAATCCTATACACTTCATATCAATGTGTCTGTACCGTTTTCTTCTACTTCTACTTCTACCGTGCTTACTAGGAGGACGCCCCGGCCATGTGACAAGTACGCGATCTGTGGTACGGAGGTACAATGTGCTTCTCCTATGACACTATTTTAGTTGGCTCGTGCAAATATAGGTTGCCCTTGATCACCTCAAGTCTTAGCCTTGACCTTCTTTCATCGAAGGTGTCGAGGCTTTTCCGTTCCAACCAAACCTGTTATGCTAGCTTCCAACCTGCACATCAAAGGAGCATGACAGTTTACTAGAAAAAGGTCCACCCTTTTTGATCATCCATCGTGCATGAGTGATTCGGGGGCGTTGACCCAAACTTCCTGTAAACGTCATGGCAAAAGCTCCGCATGTGACAGCATTGCACAGCCTGTAGCCTATAGATTTGCTGTGTCGAGCTCGGAATATCCGTGACTAAGAGACCGTGATAAATCATCGCATGGCAGTCTTCCTACTGGAATGTACAGCGTTTCCACCAGAAGGCCCACAATCACGCTTCCTGCAAGCGTGCACTGGTTACGAGACCTCTTCAGAAGTGTAGAGGAAATTGCCTAGATGCGTTGGTGAGGCGAGTGGTGATTATCGTTTATGCAGCTACTCCCAGGCGTGCATTCGAAATATGACACAGTCTTTTTCATGCAGCTTCAATTTGTGTGATCATGTCGGGGGTACTACATGATAGATAAGATTAGATCTGGGTGCTCCACGAACAATTGCTTTTAAGTGACTCAAAGTTGGCGTCAACGGGTTCCTCTACTCCAAACACTACCATGGCAGGCTCGAAAAAGAACAAACCTAAGAAGGCCGTCCCTCCATCATATAGCAGCATGCCGGATCAGCCTCAAACTGGGGACGACGACCATGAACTCGTGGATGACCTGCTTGCAGAGCTCGACTCCCGGAACCACACTGTACAACAAGAATCAGCTACCGTGTTGATAGAGATGCAAGAACATAAAGAGAATGCAGTTGGAGCCAGAGCGCGGTCGGCCAAGAAAAAGCAGGATAGCAGGAGCCGACATGAAGCGCGACAGGTGAATATCTGTTCCGGACCCATTGTCAAGCACACTCTAACATTTAGCACAGGCGAGAAAGGCAGCGGCCTTGGTTCAAAATCATGCACCCATTGATCCAGAGGCAGACGCAAGGCTAGAGAGAGAGGCGAAGGAAGAAGAGGCCTCAATCAAGGAAACATGCGACAAGCTTGGGGTGCAGACACACGAGGTGAGGCAAGATGTTCGTCATCAGTGAACTTCACTGAAAATCCGTACGCGTCAACAGATACAACCAGATGGACATTGTCTATTCTCTGCTATAGCAGACCAGTTAACCCTGCTTAACATACTTCCTCCCGCTCAAGCTAACTACGTCACCGTCCGCGCTGCCGCATCAAACTTCATCTACACTCACCCAGACGATTTCCTGCCATTCCTGCCGTCCGCGTTTGGTGAAGATGGTGTTGGAGCAACAAGCGCAGGCTTCATGACTCCGCGGCAATTTGAACAGTACTGTATGACGATCAAGGACACTGGTGCTTGGGGTGGAGAACCAGAGATCCTGGCGCTCAGTCGAGCATATAATGTTCCAATACATGTGATACAGGGCGGTGTCCCCAAGATAGTTGAACACAACCCAGGTTCGTCACCATGGTCGTCTGGTAAGGTAGCTCGTATCAGTTTCCACAGAAGAATGTATGGGCTAGGGGAGGTATGTTTCCATGTCTCATTAGAGAATGTTACATGTTCATCATCCTTTCCCCAGCATTATAACTCTTTACGACCGAAAACCGCCATTTCACAAATGGCTGACAAGATCCAGTCCGCGTTCTCTTGATAGTGGCCCCTACGGCGATCCTACATATGCTTTGAAAGGTTGCGGAATATCCAAACGATCTTTGTCCATGTGTCAATGCAGATATGCGAAAAGGATTAAACGACATGCAAGGGTATCAGAATAGTAAATCGTCCAGATCGCCGCCACGACTCCCCCCGCCTCCCACAGGTTGTGGCACATCCGTCATGTACCCACCGAATGCGCCACTCAAGTCAGCATATGGATCTGCGGCTTTGGTGACTGGGGCACCATCATCAACGTCCAGGTACCCATCTCCGCTGTCGCCACCCGCGCCGTCATCACCATCGACATCTAGCAAATCTCGTTCATCACTCCGTGAAGGTTCCACGATAGTTGGTAGATGTAGTTTGTTTGCTGCGTCGTCGGGCTGTGATGGTCGCGAAGGTTCCACGGGACCAGGACCCGACACACTAATGGCCATTGACGGAAGCTGCGGTCGCGCTAGGGTAACGAGCACCGCTCTGGAGTTTGCGTTCAACGCGGGGCTGTCAACCAGTGCTCTACCCGCTGCATTTCGAATGAATGTCTGTCATCGCACACATGAGTCGGAAGTGATGCACAAGGTTGGGAGACACTGTCACCTCTGGATTCTTATGATATATGCTTCCGAGTGTCCCAGTATGTAGTAAGAGTTGGTCAAGAGCGCCGCGATCCATGCGATCCGAATCAGTCGTGATCGCAGGCTTTTCTGCCAGCACAATCTCTGCAGCCACCGCCGGATTCATCGCGAGCATTCGCCAGTACATGAAACCACGATCTCGCAAGTCAGGGTTATCAATATCTTCCGTTGCCCACTTTAATACTTTGTGAACAAGCGCCTTCGTCATCTCGGATTGTGACTTATAAATGAAAAGCTTTACGACAGCTGTGAGAAGTGCGAGTTGCACCTGACAAAGTGTCTTAGAAAGCTTGGGAGTGAAACAATGGAGCATACACACCTCGGCTGGCTCATCCAGAAAGCTGTACACAAGGTCATCCAGAAGGTCATCAGCGTTATCTATTTTGTCTGCGAATTGCCCCAATATCCACACCATAGCAGCTTTCGCCTCGGGCTCATCCAATGCATCAAGGTTCTCACAAAGACTGGGAATGATCCCTTCATACTTCCCAGGATACCTCCGGAAAATATCCTTTGTGACGATTACTGCTTCTTGGACGACATAAGTCACCTTCGTTTCGATGAGCTTGAGCAATGATTCTATGCACTTGTCTGCAGCAGGTTCCACTTTGATTGCAAGACGGACCTATTGACCGGACGGCCTTTCGGACGAAATCAACGTCCACCTCTGAAGCATACCTGCCGCAACTGCTTAGTGCACGTTGTCAAAATTATATGTTAACGCACTCTTCTAACTCAGCTAGAACTTCTCGGGCATTTTCTTCCCGAGCTAGGCGGTACATTATCTCAAGCTTGGCAAGCTTGACGTATATAGGATCGTTGTATTTGCAGAAGAAGCCTTGACATCGTTTTTGAGAACGGCAGGTCGTCGTTGAATGATCAACAAGATATTTCGAAGGGCAACGTATTGGACCTCGGGACCAGAGGAAAGTAATGTAACTTCAAGTCTATCAGTTCCTGCAGCCCAGGAAGCCCAACATCCCACTCACCAAGGGGAGGACCCATCTTTCTGCAGATGTAGTCTATCAATCGGCGATTAGTCCATGTAGTTCATCAGATACAGGAGAACTTTGATGCTTGTCAGCACCACGGCAGAATTGGCATGCTGTAATTGCACTATTACGCGTTCAGCCATGCCTTCAGCGTCTGTGTGTTCCTCTGGAACATAACGTAACAGAGAATCAAGAATATAGATTTGACCCCATCTTTAAAGTATCATAAGCCTCTCCGTAGAGTAGAAGAACTAGACACTCACTCAGAGCTCTCGCCTAATGCCGCGAGGAGTCTATTTGCGATGGTTAAGTTGAGCTTGAATATAACACCGTCCTGACGATCTCCAATTTCCGACAATGCCGCCACAGCGTTCGAAACCACAGTTGCATTGTCATCGATTAACATGTCTCTTAGGAGTTCGACGAAGCCTTTACGTTCGGCTTTGCGAGGGTCAGCAGTGTAGACCTTCGCTACACAAATTGCAGCAGTCTTGCGAACATACGGGTCACGATCCTTGAGACAGTGACGTAGTTGATCATTGAGTGCCTCTGTGACCACGGGTATTGGAATGTAGGACATAGTTCGGATTGCAAGTGCTCGTATCAGAGGGTTGCGATCGTTGCAGTCCTATAGCACATTGGAGAAATGAGTCCGACGCGACAGATGAAAACTCAATACCTGTAAGAAACTAGGTATGACGAGGTGTATCTGATCTGGTTTCGAGCGCCCATAGCTGACAAGGAAGAGGTATACCACTGTACCGACTTCAGCATAAGATTATCCACAAGGACATGGCTACCCACTCTTCTTAATCTCTAATAACGGTGTTCCAATGCACTGAATAACATCGTGAAATAGAGGCGACACTGGGGTACGTGTGCATGAGCGAGTGACCAATGATTCTTGGTTACTCACTGTCGTTGCCCATTGTGATATTTGCCACAATCTTCTTCAGAACAGTTTTCCGTTTCTGATATTTCTTGTCCTTTGCCTCCGCAGCTTGCAGTTCAGCGCGGAACTCCTACATGATCAAGTTCGTCACCGAGTACCAGTCGATCCGTCTGAGGATGTCGCACCTCGATCTTTCCGCGCTGGAAGAACTTGGCATCTTGGCCCTGTTGCGTGGACATCGCAGTCTGGTCTTCAGGGCTCTGAGCAGGGTTGCAAGTGCTACTAGTAGTTGGTGGATTGGAGAATACCCGAAGTAGTATTTACTAAGTACGTAATTCCAGTAAGACTGAAGTGGTCAAATATTGTCACCTTCATTTGGCTTCCGACTGCAGATAATTTGTACCACCGAAGGCTCTGGCAAACGGTCCTCTAGAGTCGAAATGAACACACGACGCAGTCGTGCTCCAATATACATATCTTTCTCACCAAGAGCTTCCCTCGAGAATTCCTCGCACTCTACTGTTGACGGTATTCTCAAAGATCTAAAGGCATATGCACGTCGACTGCAAGCCGCTCTGGCTACATACCAGGATGAAATGCAGGTACTTGAAAGACTTTACTACAGAAGCAAAAACCAGCACCGAGTAGCTTTGTTCTTCAAACGTGTCTCAGAGATCAGACGTTATGGTTGGCGGCTGCTAGAAGCAAATATGCCCGAGGATGTGCACCTCCTCAGAGCATCGTTCTATGGTGCTTCCGTTATTCAGAGGTGTGATATTTACTCGGCTTGCAAGTGACATGAGGTGATTGATCACTTGCAGCGAAAAATTGATGAGAGGACCTTGGAATCATGTCCCAAGTCGGTCATGCACATCTTTCATCACCGAGAGATTTAAGGAGTATTCTGTCCTTATCCTCAAAGTGAGTGCGCACGTACTACCGGACGTATCCCTAATGATGAGCTATTCACAGACGTCTGAGCGAGTTCGAGAAGCTTATCAGTGGGTCATTGGCAATTCATGATTCGTGCATCGCTAATTGCCTAATTTTTGGTATAGCCATTTTGCCCTTGCAATGCAGTCTGGTTCATTCATTCAGCTTATTGTACTATTCGCTGGACTTTCTTCGAGAATGGCGACTTTGTTGACTGAACTGGGTGATTGTGTCCAAGGCTGCGAGTCTGCTTGTGATCGAGTGCTGACTGTTATTGACGCAAGTTGATCTATCTCTCCCGGTCACTATTTGATTCTTACTGTGATTTCCTAGCCGGCCCACAAAGCGAGTTTCATAGCCGAATCGAGGACTTCCAAGGCTGTGGAATGTTTGGCTCAGCAGAGTGACAAGCCGACTCCTGCCATTGGTCCAGATGTTCCTTCGGAGGATGTTGGTTCCGCTGTTTCTAGAGCGGCGACGGTTGACGTACCGTCAGTCGATGCTGAGGCCGTTATGGAAAACGCTGTGAACATAAACTTCGATCCCTTACAAGCCGCGGTCGGTATGTCGCCATCCCCCTCACCGCTTGCCTCCAACAGCGTATCTAATGAGTCGGAACTGTCAGTGGTAGAAAAAGTCACCGTTACTGCATTGTCCACTCAAAAAGACAGGATTGCGACAAAACGGAAGATATCTTCCACTCCTGCCGACCAAAGGCGATCGAAGAAGGTCAAGGAGAAACGAAACGAGATAGACGATATCTTCGGTTTTTAGCTGAACTTTATTTCTCATGGTATTCAAACGATGTCGACGATCGTCCGACTCCATTTAGATTCCAGCTTCTCTACGACTACGACACTGCTGGGTCTCCACGCAAGCTAATGCAGAGACAGCAAAATTAAGTACGGTTCAAAATAAAACGCAGCGCCTGGCTGGTGAAAAAAAAAGTCGCGGTGAACAACATTACTCTACCTGGCTCCGAGCGCAGCGTAAGAATACGAACAGCCTGTCACATGATAATAAGCAAAGTGGAATGGAAAAATGGCCAGCTTCAAGTCCGGCCACTATAAGACGTTCATAGGACGAAGGCAAGGGAGGCAGCAGCAACGCTGACGAGGATGCTCGATGAACCGAGACCCCTAGCACCACCTTTCAAGGCCGGTGATGGGCTGCTGCTGCTGCCGGCTCCGGCAGTCGGTGATCCGGAAGTGGGAGATCCAGAAGATGTAGACCCTGTGGACGAATTGGTGGCAGCGACTGTAATGTCCTTTGGAATTATGAGTGGTGTGGTTCCCGCGCTAGAAAGGTTGATAGCGCCGTCCGCTGACAAAATTTCCGGATTGGCAGCCAGGAAGGTACGCATATACCTTGTGAGCGATGCGTAAGTGTCACAACAGGCACGAAAGGAAAATCAGAAACTTACAACACATTTTCGAGCATATTTTGGTAGGACGATGCAGGCATACCGCTCATGTCGATGTTTCCGCCCCAGTTGGCAGCCACGGTGTTGTTCGCCGTCACCATTTGTGTGTACTGGACCATTGCAGTCATGTTCGAGCTCTGGCGAGAATTGAGATCAGGAGTCAAATAAATTGTGGCGAGTGCTCACGTTCGAAGCCATGACAGGCATCATGCTAGACACCGTTGCGTTGCTACCTGTTACAGCATTGGGAGGGTTTCTGGGGTGATGAGTTAGATAGCTATCGCATAAATAAGGAAGAACCATACATGATACCGAACATCCCTTTCTGACAGTGTCCAGGAGTTCCACAGTAAAAGAATGTCGTATTGGTATCGTTGATCTTTTGGGTGACTAAGGCGTTGATCAGCATCTTGATCAGTTTCTGGCTCCGAACACATACAAACGAAGCTCTTATTCTGCTCCCCTGAAGCAAATGGCATGTCCGAAGTTTTATTGCAGATCTAAAAGAAAAGAAAAGATCTAAGATATTTGATTCTAAATCGTTGTTCACGAACAGACTTACCGCCAATTGGGATGACTTCGTAACGGTGTGGTTGTTGGCATTCCAGACAAAAGTGACGGTGTCACCAACAGATGCATTGATGGCAAAAGGCACGTAACGCAAAATGCCCTGGGTAGGAGCAACAATAACGGTATGTGTCATACCGCCAGAACCACCCGCTGCAGTAGTTGTGGCAGGGGGAGAGGACCATACAGAGGATGCCATCGTAGGAGCGCCATAGGACGCGGCACACACTAAATAAGGGTATCAGCATGCTGTCGCTGGCTAAGGTTCACGAAAACTCACTCTGCATGCAGCTCTGATAACCTGAGCCGCCAATATCACCTCCAGAACTGCCTGAGCCGTACGCGGGCGTAGAGTAGGTGTTCATGGCAGTCGAAGTTGTCATCATGCTGCTCATGCCACCGGTCTCACCCATGCCGCCATAGCCGCCCATGGCAGAACTCGTGGACATTGTCATGGACGTTTGCATGCCCCCCATACCATCATAGCCTTCCATGGCAGACGTTGTGGACATCATCATGCTCGTGTCCATATCACCTTGATCGCCTTTGCCTTTGCCCTTTTCGTAGCCCGTAGCGGTGGCATCCATGGTCTTGGTAGGCATACCTTGGTCCTCCTTCTTGCTCGAAGTCTCCCCCCGATTGCCCCAGTCATCACCTCCGCCATAACCCTCGCCATTACCTTGCTGTGACATACCATCGTAAGGGCCTCCCGATGAACTGCCGTAAGAGCCTCCTTCGGAGGGAGGGGTGGTCATGCCACCCATGGCAGAGACAGTCATGGAGGCAGGACTGCCATTGGAGTGAGAAAAAATGTCAAACAAGAAAGAATGCACTTACACGAGTGAGTCCATGTGCCGAGGAAAGTTATTAAGTTGAGGCGCAGCCGACACCAAGGTGGCACAGACAGCGGCAGCGCTCAGGAAAGGCGCGATAAAAACCATGATTAAAAATAAATAAAAACAGACGAAAAGGTCGAAGACTGCTGGCGACCTGAGCGCAGGTAGTGCTCCCTCTAGGAGTAGCGAAGTCCTTCTCTATCAAAGAGAGTGATCTGCATAGTAAAGGTTTAGCACGAGCTGTAAAAAAAGTCACGGACAAACCCAGAAGCGTACAAGTCGAGAGTCAACTCGACCAAGACAACAGGAATGAGAAAGAAGGTCGAAGGAGAAGTCGAAAAGGCGAACAGGGAAATGACAGTCAGGGGCCGAGGTTTAAGTAAGACTGTCTTGCCTTTGTGTCATCCTCGCCTCCCCATAGCGACTTGTCTCGATCGAAATCTGGAGTAGGTAATTCTCGTTCGAAGAGTTTTTCCACATCACTCGTTGTCAACGGGGTGGAACGGACAAATTCCACCTTGCAACTAGACAAGTCTTACGGACAAGTACAGACGATTGTTGATCTGGCTAATTCGCCCCAATGTGATTTCTATATACGGTAAGCTGCTTCTTCGACATCCAGTGGGTAAATCTTACTCTGGAGTACTGGACGCAAGGAGGCGATCAACCGTAGTGTTCAGCAGATCTGGCCCTTGTTGGAAAAGCTGACCACGGGTTGTCTCGGTGTCAGCTTGTTTCTCTGGAAACGACATGCTGCGGCATGGGCAGCGGAACTGCAGTTGTGGAGCCTGACTTGGGAGGTCTTCATCGCAACCGAGGTCTCATGTTTTGGTCAGAGACTTGTGAATTTCCAATGACAAGAGGTGACGATGTAAGCTTGCAAACAACTTGGACTTAAAGTTTTTACAAGTGTCAGATTTGGAAGGGACTAACATAGATAAGATAAGATCCAGGCCTTGTCTCAGTTGTCTGCAGGTTAATAAGTGAGTCCATTTATTCAAAACGCCACCCTTGAAGTTGACTGGATAAGTTTTCCCCCGTGCATACAAAAGTATATGATACCTAAGTTACAATAGAGTATAGAAAAATGTTTATCCATACTTGCTTGTGTGCTCACAGAAGCTTGCGCTTCCAGACTGAGAAAGAGTGACATGTCAACCGAATCAGAATGCGCCTGGCTGTGACGGCTGTACAGATAACAAGGGTTGTCTGGTAGGAAAAGACGATGCGCCCCGGTAACTAGCGCCATGATGTGCATCCACATTGGTACCAATTCGTGATGGAGAGTAGGACAAGCTTTCTGACTTGGACGAAACGTGCCGCACTCCCAAGTCAGCGCGTTTTGCATCCCTGAACGCCTTTAAGCGATCCGCAGCCTTTGATTGACTTGTTTTGTCCGGAGAAGTGAGTACGTGGGATGGGATCTGTGAATGGTTTGTTTGTGGTGCACGGGAGGCTGCTTCATCGTAAATACGACGGAATGCTGAAGGGCGCGGAGGTTGAATATCAGACACTGCGCCTCTTGGGGATTCTGCGAAGCGTGAGCTGAGAGATGGCTTCCGTTCGCGTTCGTCAAAGAGCCAGTCAGGAAGATCTGAAGGATGACGGGCCTTTGCAAGGTGATAGGCTTTCATTACGCGGACCAAATGCGAGTCGCGTCCATGAGGCGCTTCTAAGTTAAAGAATTCAAGACAACTGGAAATAATGATTGACGTGCACCCACCTTCCTCGTCCGAGGCACTAATCCTTGAATACCATGCTTTATTCGCATTGACTTTCAATACACTCGCAGCCGCAGCGACGCGATTCCATATGCCATCACCATTTTCCGGTATTGACAAATATCTATCATGCTGGGGGCCTGAGACTACAGTGAGAACAGAACAATGGGATATGAGACAGTGAATTGCGAACCTTCACGTGGTAGAGTGGGATCGGCCTGAAGCGATTTATCAAAGCTAGTGGATTTTTTTTGCTGCTCAAAGTAGTCCTCTAAGCTCGTTGAGGATGAGAACTGACTCTGCGCTCCACTCATTCTCTCATGGAATGTGGTTGACGAAGCAGATGAATCAGATCCTGCTGAAGTGATCGACTCGCGGTTGACTGCAGGCGTTTGGGAGGGGGAACCAGCATTGGTTCCTGTAGTGCGAGACCCAGAGCGAAAAGTGGACACTCGGGTGACATGGGCAGCGCCGGCGGGTACCGACACCGATGCCATGGGTCTATGAGGGCGTAAAGGGCGAGTAGGAGTGAACGCAATGGGCTGACTTTGGTTCCGCGAGTGACCTTCCACGAATGGCGCGTCTCTCCTGGGACGGGTGCATGCGGGAGAACTTGGCAGGCCGAGCTTTCCAGCCTGGAAGGACGGACGGTTTGGTTGCACAACTTGCATGGACGGCTAGCGCGTGAGTGATGCCTGGAACGAAAGAATAAAGAGATTACAAAAAAAGTACAATTGTGGCCAGTCCAGCTGGATGAGAGGTATAACGAGCGTCGTGGTTGACTTGGTGAGATGTCTACTGCATCAGCAACAAGAGCAACAAGCTAACTGGGAGTCGCGACGAGCCATTCCCGCGAAATTATTATTATTTAATTAACTTTATCGATTTATTTCTTTTCCTTACTAATAAGTGGCTTATGCTCATGAATTCGCAATTCTTGCACATACGCTAGCCTTGGCGCTGATTCAGAATATATATCACTTGAGCTTCGTTCGTTCTCTCACCACTATCATGTTGAAGATGTTGGCTGCTTGTGGGCGAGTCACAGCTGCGCGCCCTCGACAGTCTCTCACTCTAGTTAGGTATGCTAGTACGAGCACCAAGGAAAAGTTCCGAGTGCTTGTTATTGGAGGAGGTGCACAAAGTCGATGGTGTTTTTTAAATGAATGTTGATCACTATTCAGGCTCCGGGGGGTTGACTGTCGCCAACCAGATATATAACCGTTTTAAGGCTGCTGGAAAGCCTTTGAACGCAGGAGATGTAGTCGTCCTTGACGCAGCAGACTATCACTACTATCAAGTAAGCGCTCAGAACCAGTAATATGCTCATATGAGCTACTCCTTAATGGCGTCTCCTTTCAAGCCTGGCTGGTAGCATTTTCCTATACATTGATTTCGTGGTTCGAAACCTGACATTTCTTTCAGGACCTTGGTTGGTGCTGGTCTTAGCCCCAAAACAGACTTCAGACGACCACTCGCCTCCTTATTCCCGCCACATATTATGCATATTGCGGAGAATGTCAAATCATTCTATCCGGAAACCTCATCAGTCACGACAACGTCGGGTCGGACAATTTCATACGACTCGCTTGTAGTGGCAGCAGGTTTGAAGACAAACTGGGACAGCATTGCTGGCTTGCCGCAGGCTCTCGCTGATCCTTCCTCCGGTGTCTCATCAATATACTCCTATGATACCTGCGACAAGGTCTGGCATGACGTAGATGCTCTCAGGTCTGGAAATGCTATTTTCACCCAACCTGCGGGTGTCATTAAATGTGCAGGAGGTGAGTCTAATTGTGCACTGGATGGTGACTACTTACCGTCTTCTAGCTCCACAGAAAATCATGTGGATGGCCTGGGACAGATATCAAAAATCTGGTCGAGGAAATAACATCAAAATTGACTTCATGACTGGCATGCCATCCATGTTTAGCGTCAAGAAGTATTCGGATGCCCTGAACGCCCTTCGCATTGAGCGGGGTATTGGAGCAGAGTTCCAGCATAACCTCGTTTCCATTGATGCGGCGAACAGAAAGGCAACGTTCAAGAAGGCCGACGGTTCGACCGTCGATCGTGATTTCACCCTCCTTCATGTCGCGCCGCCGATGGGACCGCTTGATTTCATCAAAGGAACACCCATTGCTGATCCATCGGGTTGGGTAGAAATCGATCAGGCGACTCTCAGACATGTTAAGCCTGAGTTTGGAAATATCTTTGCCTTGGGTGACTGCTCTTCCCTGCCCACTAGCAAAACGGCCGCCGCTATTACATCTCAGGCCCCTGTCTTAACTGAAAACTTGTTTTCGGTTATGGACACCGGCAAAGTTAGCAGCGCCAAGTACGATGGCTATACCAGTTGCCCGGTCCGTCTACCTCCTTACGACATTGTCGACCAACCAAATTCTAATTTAAACTCCTTTCAGCTCTTGACGGGGTATGGGGAATTGATGCTAGCTGAATTCAAGTATGGACTTGAGCCCAAAGAGAGTTTTGCCAATTACCTGGGTGACCAGACAAAGCGGAGAAGGTATGTCACTTGTATTCCACTTACATCATTGCATTCAACCTGCCAAATCCCCCAGATTGTTCTATCACTTCAAAAAGGTACGGGATCCAATTTGAGCAGCAGCTCCTAAAATAGGACACGGCTTATTGTCTGCGCCATACTTAGGACCTTTTCCCTTGGGCTTACTGGAATCGTATGGTGAGTCTTTCGGAACTGTTCACACGCGGATCTCGGGGTGTCTTATTCCGCGCCTTCCGCAACAGGTCAACGGAAAATGGTTCGGCCCCTCGGGACCATTCCGTCCTAAGTTTGTATGATGAGGAGTTACCGGAAGTATCACCCGTTTGAGGACTATTTTTATGAATGAATCGATATGTATGTCCCCTTCGTCGACGTCGTTGCAATATGCTGTTGCATCGTTGCCTTCGCAATACGAAAGCACAAATATCTGCAGGTCCATCAGAGTCGCCTTGAGATACCTCAGCAAGGTACTTACAACTCTATCTCGGTGCAAGAAGTGTCGGGTTGCTCACAAGTTGGTTTGAACTAAAAATGTTCGCTGTGAAAACAAATATTCTTTGAAAGCTCCAGGCCGTTCATTCTAAGTTTGGAGACTATCCGCTTGTTCTTCACGTTCTGCATCCACATCAGCTTCCTGAGTCGAAAGTCCTCGGCAGTTCGATCTTGTGAATTCAAGCAAAGTCGGCGTGACTGAACATGTGACCGCGAACGTGACAAATTTGCCGCGTTTAGTGTGACCTGTCACTATAACAGCTTCAATACGCTCCACGATGTCGAGGGCCTTAACCGCAGCCCAGGTCATTGGCCTGGGCGATTATCTAAACCCTGACTTTGATCCTGCTATACTGACAGTATCTCAGCTCCTTGGTGTTCTTGGATATCATAATATTAGATTTCCGACTCCTTACACGAAGCCAAAATTGGTACAACTTTTCCTTGACGAAATAAGGCCGAAGGCCGCCAAATTCAAGAAAGACAGATTGAAGAAGGAAAACAGTACTGCCAGCGATGATGGAATAACTGATGGCATGACAGGGAAACCCCTCAGTGGTGCCGTCAAGGTGCGTCGACATTGACTGTCATACCTCTCTCTTGTTAATGAAAATCAGCCAAGACGATCTTCTAGGAGATTTTCTCGTGTACCCTCGGATGACGATGAACCGCCGCCTCGACCAGATCCGGTATGGACGTCATTCCCCATACTCTGCCTATACTAATCTTGAATTCCTCAGCCGAAACGCCGTCGTTCGTCAGCACAACCCAGCCTCGGTGGCGCACATAAAACTACCGCTCGTGCCGCAGTACAGCCCGCAGTTCTTGAGGAAAGTGAACCTGAAGAAGATCCGCCTGTGCGTAAGGTCGGCAGGAACAAGAAGAGTGTGAGTCAGCACCATGTTCGACTGTAAGATGGACTAACTATTTGTGTAGTCTCAAGCCGCTGGCTCGCAAGCGCGCAGAATCTCGGTAATTGAGGAGTTTTTCGTTGTTCGATATTTTTCTAACCCTATCTCAAGCTTGCAGATGACAGCGGGTGGGAGGATAATAACATTTTTCAGTCTGGTGCTGAATCATCTTCTCCTGTGCGGCCGTCTTCTGCGCGTTCGCAAAGTGCTCGGAAAAGTCCTTCTACCAGGAAGTCACGCCACTCGCTCTCAGCACCCCCTCAGCCATCTCCGTTTTTGTCTCCTCCGAAAGCGCCTTTCTTCCCAGTAGATTTACAGCGCTCTCCTCCGCAGTCAAAGTTTGAACCAGAATTGCCCCCTACCATATCACGACCGCCCCGAATCTCAACACCATCTGAGAGAGTTCATTTCAGTCCCGTCGAACATCGGTCTAGTCCCTCGCCACAATTGACACGCAAGGTAGATGCTCATGGGCCAGATCTCGATGATACCGCGGGTGTTTTTGATGACCAGACGCCTGATGAAAGCCAGAGCGATGGCTTCGGGGATCCTGATTCGCTAGAAGTTGCCGCCCCCAACCTTATAGGTGACCAATTGATTCGCCGGCGCCCAGCCCCTCCACTGCAACGTTCTAGGTCTCGCTTTGTGACGCTCATTTACCTAATCGTGACGCTCGTCGCATCTTACTTTGTGAAGCAGTACAAAGATGAATCGTCTGCCATTGGTTACTGTGATATTGGCAGCAACACCAATCAGGCTCTGCGGGACCTCGAAGTGCAACGGGAGGCAGTCCAACCTTGTAACAAAGACAATAGGACAGTTCTATATCTCCCGTCGGTTCTATCGGACACTGGACTGTTCGAGGACGGAATATCATTTCCGCCGTGCGTTCTAGCCCTACAGCCTTCAACATGTGCTCCTTGTCCAGAATTTGCTTCTTGCACACAACACTCAGTGGTTTGCAACCCTGGTTATGTGCTCCGTCCACACCCTGTTCTTGGTCTCTTATCACCTTTCGGCTCCGTAACCCCTCTCGCGGAAAGCATATGGAGCTTAATTGGTGACGTTACCAATGGCTTGCCGGGTTTGGGACCTGTCGCGTTTCCCCCGCGTTGCATCGAAGATCCGAAACGAAAAAGGAATATAGGCGCCCTGGGCAAAGCGATAGAAGCATTTCTTGGTCAGGAACGAGGGAGACGCGTGTGCAGCGGGGAAAAACAAGTACGACAGATTGTCAACGATAATGAAGGGGGTGAGGCAAATAAATGGGGTCTGGAAGTCGAGACGCTGAGGAACACCATGAAGCGCAAAACAGCTGTACGTTTCTCACATCCTTTTTCCAGATGACCGAATCTCATTCTTCCGGCAGCCGCATCTTCTCGCCACTTTTGATGACATGTTCAATGAAGCCATACAACAGCTAGTCCAATGGGGTGGTGTAATTTTCGGGGAGGACGCCGCGTAAGTCGATCCATTGCATGCGCATGTTTAACGTTCTTATTGAGAGTAGAGGCAATCGTTATTTGGCTCACAAGACGCCACAATTGACTTGGAACTGCCAACTTACTGTCAAGTCTCGGGAGTTTTGGGAACAATGGCGAGCGTCTGTGTATGGTAAGGTGCACAAATGTATCTTGATGTTTCAAAATTTCATGGACTTTTTGTTCAGCCTTCATTGCATGTATGGGCGCGTTCTTTGTCATGAGGCGGTCCCGTACACATCGCCAAATCGAGGGGAGACGTGTGGCAGAATTAGTGCAAATCGCGCTTGATACTTTGCGTAATCAAGAACTTGCGCACCACACGGACCCAGTGACGGCACCGCACCCATATTTGTCTTCTCTACAGCTTCGTGATCTCATCTTACAGGATGAACATTCAACATCAGTTCGAAGAAGAGTATGGGATCAGGTGGAGCGTGTGGTTGAAGGGAATGCCAATGTGAGAGCAAACCTTGAAGAAGTACAAGGTGGGGACGAACTACGCGTCTGGCGATGGGTAGGAACTACAGGTGGACTGGACTTTCGGAAGAAGGTTCAATTTGAGACGCAAAAGGATGAAGTGAAAAACTAATGCCCTGTGAACCACGCTGGTTCTAGTCACGATGGTTGATCGATTTATTGTTGTCTAATACGCTTCTTATGTCCTGTATATCGGGATCGTTGTTCTGTGCTTTTGGTGTGATAACTACATAGCGTCGTTATCCCGTTCTCTTATTCACAACCAATACTAGTGTGCCAAACTCTCGTCCAACCAATCGGCGTTTTCCAGTCGAATCCCGGTGCCAGATCTCGCACTGCGCCCATATGCCAGCTCGCAGGCACACATAGCTCATCCAAATCCAATCCAAATGTAAACCTCCGTGAATCCACGTGAACCTAACGACCTTTGATTGGTATATAACTTCAATCAAAGAGTCTCGAACACGACGAATAAGGCAAATACACTATCGAGCACCCCATAGAACCCAATCAACATCAACTTCTCTTGGTTTCGACCCTGATTAATACTGGAACTAGCTGTAAACTACAGATGTTCCCGTTGGAACGCCCAGTTGGATCTTTTCGATCAGTGCCCTCTTTGTAAACTGTTCTTCTGCGAGGACACGAGTAGTCTGAGGGCATAGATAGAAGAGATAGAAGAGATAGAAGACCCGTCATCAGTGGGATGTGACTGTGACGAAACCTTGACAGACCTACCCTCAAAAAACGTTCTAGATCAATGCGCCCGGTATTCAAAGCCCTATGGAGATGATATATCGTGTCTTCTATAGCGTTGTCTTCAGCGACCAAATTGATGAGTCTGTTTGGAAAGTCGAATTCACGCCGGTCAGTAATGGCCGATGATGTTCACGAGAAGAAGATCCCATACTGATTATGTACGATGCTCGTGGAGCAGATCAATTCATCGACTTCAGGATCTCCCTTCCTTCGCAATTCAGCTATGTTGCGCTCCCCTTGATCGACGGTATTCCGCAGTCTGCTAGAAACATTACTACAAACGTCCCGAACTGCTTCTAAACGCGCCATCTCGTCCCGGATTGCAGGTTCTCCGGCAAGAAGGTCTGTCTGCTGCGCTCGCAGCCGTTCTGCATCCAGAAGCATGACCTGAGACAAAGAAGCAAGCTCCGAGGCAATTTTGTCATGTACTTGGGCGTGCAAGCGGAGTAACTCTGGGTTCGGTGGTCCGTGGCGGTGCTGCTGTGGGAAGCTGCGGCACGGGAGGCGACGAATCGGCAGTCTCTTCATCTAAGAGGTTCGGCGTGGTAATAGTGGATACTGGCGGTCGAAGCCACAAGTTTGGTGAGTGTGACGGCGGACCTTGAGGATGCTGTGATGGGCCAGGAGGGGATGGCGTGCTCGAGGCACTGTGAATGATTGAATTGACCTGATACGGCTGGGCCAACGGGTGGTACAGACCAGCGGCTATTAAGATCCGGTGGCGGAGCGGGATCTCGTGGTACAGCAGGCGGTTGCAACATAGTGCCGTCATTGAAGTTTTTGACCGTGTGCTGATAGTTCAAAGGGCGGCTATAGGTTGGTGGGCCTGTAATTTGAGGATGAGCAGAGGGTAGAGGCGGAGGTGGCCGGTTAAGCAAATTTGTCTGTTAGCGTACATTTCGCGAGATTAATGAACTTCATGAAGACGTGATCAGGGTCCTTACCGTAGAAGGGTATTGAGGAGATGCATATGGAGCTGCCATCGGCGTCTGTGATAAGGCAGATGAACCGGGTTTTGGTGGAAGTGCCGGTCGATCATTGGCTAGGGTGATGTGGCCAGGAGATGAAGGATGATGCCAACGGCTGACCAGAGCCTTGTAAAGGAGAAGATGAGGAAACTGCAGTTGGCTTTGGTTTGGCATAGACTGGCGGACCACGGGAGAACTCTTGTTGCATTGCTTCGAGCAATGCTGATAGATTACATGCCTTGGTTGGGCATGAATTTGGACTGATTGGTAGTTATTTCACTAGTACACTTACCTCGCTCTTTTTTTCCCAGTGTTGGATATATTCAATGTTACATCGACCACTCACATCAACATGTTTACTCGATCTAACGAGCATATCCTGAGTTGGAACAACATATACTATTGGGGGTTGGCGTGGATATTCTTTGGTCACCCATGCAGCTATGGGGATATTATATGAAGCGCCACGGAAGGATATGGGAAGGACGCCATGCAGACATAACAAAAGTTGGGTACGACCATCATCGTAGGCTAGAGTAGGAAGATCAACTTGTGGGTTTAAATGTGCAATCTAATGATTACTGAACTGTACACATCAGATTTTGGACGAAGAGTTGAGAAACGGGCAAGAGCGGTATCCAAGTCAAGAAAGACGCGATCTTTCTGAGAATATGAGCTGACGTTCTGTCGCAGCCATCTCTGGATCAAGGATTCGGCACTCATCTGACTCCAGGGAGTGGCTGTGGCTGTGACGTTGGGTGAATCATATTTTATTCTCCGCTTCAAGTTCAGTTATCGGGCTTCGGTGACTTGTCAAGTAGGGTTGACCGGCAAATCGCAATATTGGACCGATCACACTGGCCAAGGCCTTGACAACTCTTGTCAGGCAGTGGATCCGTATGTGCAGATATGAGTCAAGTTTCCACCATTACGCCCCAAAATGCTGGGGCATTACATTTTTCGGTTTGGTCGGTCGTTCGAGACGCTACGAGACCTCGAAAGACTCAGCTGGTGCAATTGCAATTCTTCCTGACATCCCCAAAACTTTGCTTCACAAGAAGGGTTGGTTCCGGATAGAACGCTTTTTGTTTATGTGCTCTGGCGCTTAGATCTTTTCAGATCCTGTCCACTAATTTCTCAGCCTCTGACTCCACTAGGATGGCCGTAAATTTCCCTTTCTGTGACAAAGAACCTAAATCGTCAATATGAAAGAGGTTGGTCTCGAAAGTGGGTCTAATTTCTCACCACCAGTTCCTCGATCCGTTATCTAACCAGGGCATTCCAATAAGGTACACCCGAACTAGCGGACCCCTCATGCCATACCCGGATCTTTAGCCTTGGTCGTCAAAAATCTGCAAGCTATGCTGATTTCGTTCTCATTTGAGGAAAGCCCTTCCGAAACCGGGTCTCAGATATATAAAGCTTCCTCCTTGCCCTCCTTTCCTTTTAGTTATCACCCGTACACCTACACTGCGTACGCAGCACTCCCCAACTTTACCGCTGCAGCATCGTCTGCCATGCGCACTTCAAGAGTATCTGTCTCCCGTGACCGAGATGTCTCTCCAAAGACCCTCACTCCTCAGAGAAAACATCGTAAATTACTCAAAGATGGCTCTAGTGAGGTGTGGCCAGAAGAGATCGAGAGGATGTTTGTTCAAGGTTCGTGCGCCACCATCATTCTCAACTGCCTAACTCATCCACCACGTATCCAGGTCTTCGAGAATACTGGGAATCCCCTTGGGCAACATACTCTCGCGGTAGAAGTCGTTGGAGAAACCAATTCTTGGTCGATTACTTACAGCGGGTTGGAATAGACCGTTCCAAAAAGCAGGTTGCAAGCCACATACAGGTCCTTCGCAATATGTGGAAGGGCGAAGCAGGTCAGAACTTGTTTGAGCGTCTAACAATGGGTTGTTAACCAGATACCGTCGTAGAATACCACTTAGTAGCCGGTGGCGAGGAACTATTCTTTGACACCGGTCTCCATGCACCGGTCAAAGCAGAGGACTTACCCGACTCCCATCTATTAGCATCGATGGTCTTTGATGATCACTCCCCAGCATCCGATCGTTCCGGTGTCTCGGTGTCTCGCACATCCCGCTCCACTGTCCCCTGCGCAAGTCCCGCGATGGGTTCCAAGATGGAACCCGCAATGTCACCGTATCCGAACTCCCGGATGCATACGGCCGACGACGGGTGTCGTCGCGTGCGGTCCATGTCCACTTCAGAAATTGCCTGCACTGAGCCTCGGCGACTTTCGCCGCTGGCATCTTCGCTCTGGACCCCCGATATGTCGGTCCGGCCCACAGCATCGCAGTCGTGTCCACATGTTCCATACACTGCCACACGCGCGGACCTTGACTTCAACCGTGATTATCAACGGCTGAATCAACCCATGCTCACCGCTGACCCAACGTTCCCGGATCTCCTCCTCTCGGATTCTCCTCGGGTCTTCAACTCTTCATCACTCTTCTCTAGTATCGTCCCAGGGCTTCGTCCGCCAATATTGACAGACTTGTCGCTTTGGGCAGAGGGCATGCAGCCCGCCACCGTACCGGTGGATGCGCTTTCCTCGCGAACACAGCCAGCTGACCTAAATGCTTCGGTTGTGGCGCTGCGTGTCAAACTCCATCTCCCTCCCATAGAAGCTCCTTACTCTCCGGCCCTCCACGGCTTTCAAGGATCGATCACATGCGACGCTCCATGCGCCTCCAGTATTAGGTGCTCCACAGCTGTTTTCGTCAGAAACCAGTGTGTCTCTCGGGAAAGTAGTTATTGTTCCGTAATAGCTACGGATTCAACCGGACCTGAAGTACTGGATCACATCACCTTACTCTTGCCCGATTCCCAGTTAAGTTGTAGTCGATGGTTGGATCCTAGTGAGTACACATATTGAGCCCCGCTGCCTCATGTTAACAACGTGTTGTCCAGATATGCAAGCATGCATCGTGCAGAAAATTGTCGTCGATGAACACGTCATAGCAGTCATTTACTACGATCTCGACAGAGGGCAGTGTGAAAATTTGCCGTCTGTGGAGCTCACTGGGTTCCAAAAATACACTGGTCATGCGGACGATACCCAAGTACCAACGACCAACGCATTCATACCCAGCTATACCTATACACCCGGACACTGCATCCCTCGTACCGTCCATGCCACTCCGACTTCTCTGTCTCATGCGCTCACTCCACCTATTACGAACTCTCCTCTCCGTCCAATACATGAATCGCCGTACATGATGTGTTCATGAACTTTACGACCCTGTTATTTGTTTATCATCGTACGCTTTTCGTTTGAACTGTTTGTTCTATCAAAATCGTGGCGGAAGCCATCACGAACCATGTTAATTCGTCGATTTGGACTCGCGAACAGCTTTTAATCTGCTTTGCTTTACTTCAAACATGTATTTTCTACTGTCTGTTGACAATAATGTAGATATCGTGTACGACTCACACCATAATATGTCATTCTATGTGTTGTTACGACCTTGTATAATTGTACAAACTGTGGGCGGCGTCTCGTACTCGACTATCGTAATGGTGTTGTTGCAGAAGGGACAGTTCCCAAAAACTGGTCCCAAACGGATAACACAACTGAGGGTCATCAACTTCCGGAAGGTATACACCATCAACTCGCCGGTCTTCAGTTGATAACAGAGCCTCGAGTTTCGGATCCTTGGCGACCAAACTTTCCACGAATTCGAGTGCGCGGAGGGCGCAACTGGGCGGCCAATTTAGAGACGCAATCAGTAGGCGTTTGGCAAACGCTGCCGAACGCCAATGGATCGCTGTATTTCCAGAACTCCGCGGAGAAAAAATGATATTCAGCGCTCGAAAGAGCATGTCCGCGATTGATGCCGACTTTGATGTCCCGAATTTTGAAACGAAGACGCTCCGCGGAGGTTCGTCGACTTGTATCAAGATACTGACTGGTAATATGATAGTATATAGATGATTGACGAAGTCGGTAAGGTCAATATTGAGTGATTCGCCTAGAGTACGGCATTCAGAAGCCTGGAGTAAATCATTTGGATTTAAACGAACCTTGTCCTGAAAGAAGCTCAAACGCGGTTACGATACACAGTAAGCGGTGTTGAATGTCAGTAGTGGCATCAACACCAAATCGTTGTGGGTCATCAGTGGGGTCTTGCCCTGGTGATTCGCGGATGATGAGATCCTTTAGGACCTGCATCAGATCTTTGAAGAAGTCGATATTGATGAGGTGAGCAAATTTGGAAATGCCTCGCAATGCAGCCGGCAGAAGAGGCGTTGGACGGGGATGTTTAAGTATCCGGAAGTATAGGACAAAAAGAAGTTTCAGGGTCTCTGTGTGCTACGCCGAAACTGTCGGTCAGGACCTTATATCGAATAGTTACATAACTCACTGTGTTTGCTCGCTCCTCCTTGTCGACTTCTGCTTCTGCGTCGCGCATTTCGCGTTCGATCTCCTTCCGCTCCTTCAAGGCTTTTTGGGCCTTTTTGCTAAGATGAGGCTGTTCTGTTGGCTTGCCTTTGGCTCGGCGAGCCGCGGCCTTGCCCTTGGATTGAATGTTTTTGTCTACCTTGGAGTCTGACGCGCGGATATTAAGTTCTGTCTTGAGGCGTAGATGCAGGAGACACGTAAGTACTTCAGGGTGCACATTAAAGTGTCGCTCCTTAATCATACGGTTTAAGAGCTGGACAGCTTCTAGGGAGGGGGTGCCAGTTTGGTCCTCTTGAAAGATACTGATTAACGTGTTCATGCAGAGATCAGAAGCCTGACATTACAATTGTCAAGTGGGGCAGGTACGGCATAGATTGGCTAGCTTACCACATCCCACGACTTCTTGCTCAAGCGCGCCACAATACATGTTATCAAATTGGTTCGAAAATTGAAGTGGGTGACCTCAGTGGCCAGTGTGCACATACACTTAAGCGCAACCTCCCCTAATTCGCTTTTAGCTGTATGGAAGTCTGTCAGTACGCATCAGAACAAGACGGCATTACAACCACCTTTCAATTCAGCCTCAAGCGAGCGGAGGTAATTTTGATACACAAGCACAAAGCCTTGTTCCCACTCCCGGGTGCGTGCCACCATTTGGCTGACTTTTTCGGCTTTCTCTTTATCGGTCAATCCTCGTATCCGGTAGCCAGGTATTATGTCCTTGAAAACAGCGAGCTGTGAAAGTATAGCCAACTTCCGGATAACGGTATCATTCAGAACCGGCTCTGGGTGAGAAGGAGTCGTAATTTTCTCCAGAGAGAATGTATGAAGCCGGCGAAGTAGCCCTAACTGTCAAATGTGTCAAAGGAAGAGCAGACCAGTGAGGGCGAAGTACGTACACTATTCTCTGGCTCTGCAATTATTTCCTGGCAGATGCTGGCAATCTGGTCTTTAGCACCCTGTATGCGTGCCGTCCGCGATTTCCGGCCGACAATATCAATGACAGCGGGACGACCAAAGCGGGCCCCTGTCGCAACATCATCAATTTTATTTACTTCAGCGGGTATCTCTTGCTCTTCAGGGGAGTCGTCGGTGTCACTGCTTTCTTCATCTGAGGAGGGAGGAACTGCGATTTTCTTGCCTGTCGCATGTATTCGGCCATCGGCTGACTTGATTGGCAGACCTTGAATGTGACGGTCTGTTTTTGCCTCGCGTGATTCTTGAAGTTTCCGGGGGACACGTTCATAAGACATTTCAGCGTCGGAATCTAGGCCATCTGCACTGGATAAATCCCGATCATTGTCATTGGCAGAAGACTGGGAAATCGTGTCCGTATCATCGTCAATACCAGAGCTCCAGGACTCCTCGTCCTCGTCCTGGGAGTCGACGGACGGCAAATCATCAACTTTTGGTTTTCGGACTGGCTTGTTCAATTGTTTCAGACGCTCAGTCTCCTTCTTGCTCCTATGAGAGGCGTAATGGGCATTCAAACGCCGTGTAAGAGAGAACATACGTTGATATGCCTTTACGATCGAGCGTATTTAAGAATCCCGCGCCATCTCCAAACTCCTCGAGGAGACCAGCATCCTCTTCGGAGAGATCACTGTCTTCGGTCTCTGCATCACCGTGGTTTCCGGGCACTTCGATATAGCCTCTGTCTGAAGCTCGTCCCTTCCCTTTCTTTGATTGTGTTGTGCCGGTCCTTGGTTTGCTGCTTGCCTGAACCTTTCGCTTTTTAGAAGGAGCCTGTGCGCAGCGTGATCAGCGACAACTCCACGGTAAAAATCATACAAAGCAACGCACCGGTGCAGCAGGAGCTGTCCGCTTTTTACCCTTCAACGCCATGAAGTTCTGCTAGTCCCTTTGTGGTCTCCGAAGGATTTTAGTGAAGCTGCTGCAAACCTGATCAAAAATACGCCTATCCTAGAAAGGAAACAGACTTGATGAACGCGAGTCCGACACTGCCACTAATGCGTTGGGCAGTCTTCCACTGCAACTTGAAGCTTGCAGTAGCTTCAACTCAGGCCCTTACTTCTAAGTACTTCCTGTCTTCTCACTGTGGTGCCGCATCGTGCGATGGATGGTCGAGCCACGCCGCCACCTGTGCACCATGTCCTCAGGCCGCATCATATTGATCTCATAGCAATGTTATTATTGATTTTCAAGGAATACGAGCTTCAGAAGACCTTGCCCAAAGAATTTTTGCTCTATATGTATCGAGTTCTCTTGATGGAAACATCTGAGGTGTGTTCGAGCGGCCCACTGAGGAAGTTTGTGATCATTATGTCCGCCTCAGGTGATCGAGCATAGGTCCCATCAGCACATGCTGGGGATGGTCAAAACCGCGCCTAATGCAGATATGCCCGTGGTGCAGGGACTTATAGGCGCTCTGGAGAATGTGGTGGGTTCATAAGTGATGTTACTCTTGGCTCTCTCATCGGAAGTGTGATCATAGGCCAACCAGCTACGAGCGTTTGACCAGCTTACTAACTTCTTCCTCAGTAAGTTCTAGTTTTGACTCACCTTTCAGTCACGAATATTTTCCAGGCACTCCTTCAATATTTGTTGAAAAAAGTGACGATCAAGTGAGTTGAAATCATTCCTCAGTTGAGGGTGATGGATAGCTGATGGTCGCCAGCCGGCCGTTCTGGTAGGCAGTTGCTAACTCTTATAGCGTTATAGCTGAGAAAGTTGGCCATAGCGTCGAACATCCCTTTTCGGTTTCTTTGTGCGCAGATGCTTTGTCAGTTTCATCAAGCTGTCGTTCTATGGCGTCGTGCAACTTCAAAAAGACTACCAGGCGTGGGTTGCTGGCTCCAGCAAAGCGGGTTATGGACCTATAGAGAAGGACCCGCTTACTTCCGATATATGGCTATTCAAAACGACCAGTGACCTGAAATCTTGGGCGCGGCCTGAGCCATTTGAAGCGTAAGTAATCCAACCCTCTTCTAGCAGACTAGGATTACACAAGACTCATTGGGAAATAGCTGGGAAAAGGGTCTCGCCACAGGAGATGGTGTCATAGGTCCGGAGAATTTGCGTAGATATTTTGAACAGCACTTTCATGAACACAACGATTCGTGCGTTGTGTTAGCTCTACTTTTCGCGTCCTACCTCACTGGGTGTCTCACAGGGGTGTTCGACAGCACGCGTTGCTGAATCTGGTACGCATGCACTATACTCGAAAGGAATATCCTGCTGCCAGCAAGGTATTCTCCGTATTATTTATCATTCTTCACGGCTTCTCATAGGCTTCATATGCAGTTACTTCGTGAAGCTATTGCAGTCGCTAGAACAAGCGGAGATCGTATAACGCTCCAGCATTGTATCAGGTAATTTATCTGCCCGCTTAACTGTGGAATGTTGATTTCCGGTGTAGTATGCTTCATCGCCTGCCATCCCTGAATGACACTCCAGTGTTAAACGAGATTCAGCCTGACCTCCATCCGATGGAGGTGTTGTTTGACGTGACAAAGCTGCTTGATCCCCAATATGTGAATGAAAACCCATGAAACTTCACGATTCTCTTGCTGATGCCTTGCGTAGGGACAACCACTGACCTTATGCTTTGAGAAATTGACTGAGGCTATTGCCCTGCACAATCACTGGGTAGATGCCAAGCAAGCAATGCCTCGTGACGCAGACATATGTAGTCACAATGCAATGCAAGCTGTACTATGGCAAACGTTAGGTGAGGTTGTCTGGAGAGCTACCATGGTCGAGAAATTGAAATTCGCAGGATGCTACGATCTTGCCAATGTTGAGGAATCGTTCGCGTTGTTAATTACGAGGGCCGGCAAAGACGACCCAAACCGTCTGAACACGCTTATCAATCGCTCTTATAGGGTATGCCTCTGACTGCGAACCAAGCAGTGGATGAGATGCTGATGTTTTCTGTTTAAGCACGCCAGAAACGGGTTGTACTCCGAGGCTTTGGCACTGCTGCTGCATTCGGAGACGTGGCGCGGCCTTTCATTGGACGCGTACCACCAATGGGCGGAAGCTGTTTGGCATATACTAGCGTTGAGGACAAGTCGTCGGTCCGTAGGATTTTTTTACACTTCTATTTGCCTAATTAACGGTTATTCACGACAGTGGACAACGGCGTTTCTTTCACGACTTTCTCTTACCTCGAAGGCCTTCGTCATCAACGTTTGTCTCCAAGGAATATTTCTTTGACGAAAGCTCGACGGCTCTTCCTGCCTTAAACATGGAATTGCATGAAGTAATGAATGCTCGAGTAAGCCAGGTCTTGTCAATTCTCCGACCCTTGCTGATTAAATACCAGCGGCGTGGCCAAGCGGTGGCTGCGATCCAACCGCTTCTGCAATCTCTTTGGCAGGCAGAATTCCAAGGCAGGTTTCCGCTGTATAGATTAGGCATCATACTCCTCGCAGATGTTGGCTTGGAGTTCGGAATGTCAGATCACTGTCAGCAGTTGATTCTAGGCATCATGCCACAGGTAAGTTCTGACGCACTAAGAGTCGCGGTGAATACCAAGAAACCTTTGGCAACAGATCTTGTCCGGACAAGAAGTAGAGCATCGTGCCTTTGCAAACCACACGCTTGCAAGATGCATGATTGCATCCATGGATTCATCAAGTAAGATATCTAACGCGTTCGTGCCTGGCACTTATATCCATGCAGAGGCAGGCCTTCGAGATGCGCTGCCGTGTTTGCTTATGGCAGAAGCTGACTATGTGTCCCTGTCCATGCTAGAAGCCACTTCAGAAGTGCAGCAACTACTCGTAGTTGTCTATCATAATCTCGGTATGACGGCTGAAGAGGAGGGGGCTTTTGAACGGTATACGCAGTCAAAGAAGCTGGCTCAAGCTTTCGAAGAGAACCCTGCCGATCCGGAGGTTGCGAGGGTATGGGACACAGTTACAGAAATCGGGAAATCCTTGGCGTCTAGATAAACACTGTTTGATACAGAATACTTAAAAAGATGAATATCACGCGCGTTCTATCACGTGCATCTGGATTGTCACACCGCAGTCACATTCTGACGTGACTTAATGGGAACGCGTCTCGACTCTCGGTGGTGTTCGACTATCAATCTCTCCTCTCGTTAATTTTTAAGACTGGCATGGACGGGCCTCCGCCTCAGGAGGAAGACTTCTCTTCCCTTCCAATATCAGAGAGGCTCAATCACAAGAACTGGAAAGCCCGTGTAAGCGGATACGAATCATTGATCAAGACTTTCCAAACCACCGCATCCGACACCGACCCCGCATTTAAGCCCTACGTCAGCAATCCTGATCTTCTTAAGAAGATTGTCACAGATTCCAATGCTGTAGCACAAGAGAAAGGTGTAGAATGTATCGTGGCACTGGTCAAATTTGCTGGAGAGACTGCCGCAAAGACCAGAGAAGCTGTTGTGCCGGCCTTAGTAGACAAGTGTCTTGGGTCTGCGAGGGCTGGGACAAAGAACCAAGCAATAGAGCTCATTCTTCAATACGTGGAAGTTGGGAATTCCGCTGCTGGTGTCGTAGTGCGTGCAGCATTCGCCTTCTCCCGATATCCAGGTTCTCACAGACACATTCACTCAGACGGATATCATACCAGGTCTTTCTGCAAAACAGCCAAAGACAGTTGCTGGAAGTGTATTGGCCTTGAAAGAAGTTGTTCGGTGAGCCGTCTACACCAGCATTGGCGCCTCGGCCGACACTCTGAAACTGAGCTTCCGAGCGAACTGACTGTTCCTTCTGCGCAGGACATTTGGAACTCAAGTGACTCCTCCGGCCCCTGTTTTGAAAGCACTCCCTAAGATATTCGCGCATGCCGACAAGAATGTCCGCTCAGAAGGCACGCAACTCACCCATATATTGTATCAGTACATCGGTCCAGCGATAGATCCTTGGTTATCGGAGCTTAAACCGGTGCAGGTCAAGGAATTACAGGAAGCCTTCGAGGGAATGGAAAAAGCGGGAAAGGGCAAAGGAACCTTGAAGTCTGAAAGACTCACGCGAGAGCACCAGCGTGAGGCAGAAGCGGCAGGCGACGCAGGCGATGAGGGAGAGGCTGAATCAGGCGGGCAACCAGAAGGTCAGAACATTATCAATAATCTTTGAGCGAGACGAGATTAATTCTGATCTCTCACTTCCCAGAGCTGGATCTTCCCGATCCTCGCACTCTGGCGGAGCCAGTTAACATTGTTCCAAAACTTCCCTCGAACATGCAAGCTAACCTCACGTCCTCCAAGTGGAAAGAGAGAAAGGAAGTATTGGACGAGCTGCTTACACTTGTAAATGCCACCCCTCGCATCCAGGACGCCCCTGAGCTGGGAGAACTCGTGAAGTCACTTGCCGCGTGCATCTCAAAAGATGCAAACATCAATTGTGTCATGACTGCCGCTCACGTCATGGAAGGCCTAGCGAAGGGCATGATGTCTCCATTCGGTAGGCTTAGGGAGACAGTCATTCCTTTGATGCTAGAGCGCTTGAAAGAACGCAAAGCGACTGTTACGGACGCAATTGGAACTGCATTAGATGCCGTTTTCTCCACTGTACGTGGTTTTGAATTGATTTTCTTGTCGTAGCTGACGAGTATTCTGCAGACCACGTTGCCCGATATGATACCTGATCTGATACCAGCTTTGGGAAATAAGAACCCACAAATAAAGGAAGGGACTCTCAAGTTTCTCGCTCGCTCGTTGTCGACTTCAACGACGCCGGTGCAAACTGGTCAGATGAAAATGCTGACGGACCCGCTTACTGTTTTGCTCGAGGATAGTTTTGAGAGTGCACGCAATGAAGCTGCCACCTGCCTGGGTACGCTCATGAAGATGGTTGGCGAGCGACCGCTCAATGCTCTGATGGATGGGCTCGCCGATGTTCGCAAGGCGAAGGTGAAAGAAGCATACGAGAAGGCTACAGTAAAATGCAAAGCTGGAGCTGGAGGACCGCCAAAGGCTCCCGCTGCTGCGAAAGAAGCTACAACAAAAAAACCACCGCCGTCCAAGAAAACAGGAGGGCCTACTCTCTCTAAAGCGGAGGTGACAGATGCACTAGTGATAGACGAAGAGCCTCCAAACAAACCGTCTGGGAAACCGCCTGCTAGGCTCATGGTTCGCACTTTCTTCATCTTCTGTAGGAAACTTTTAACATCTGACTACTACAGCAGAAGAAAGCCCCGCCGACTTCTGAGGCAGCGGAAGCGAGTTCCTCAGCTGGAGGACCTCCAGCCAAGGCTGCTCCTGCTGCCAAGAAGCTTGCTCCCACTGCTGCCGCGAAACCGTCGAAACCTGCCGCTCCTGGCGCTCTTGACACTTTCAAATATAAACACACTCCTGAGGATGCTGAGGGTCTTGCGACCGAGTTAATACCAGCGAGCATCATGGAGGGCTTGGGAGATGCCAATTGGAAAGCCAGGCTTGCTGCATGTGAAGAAATGCAGACTTGGATAGATGGCGTTGTTGAAGATGTTGATGCTGAGGTCGTTGTCCGAGCTATAGCGAAGAAGGGGTGGTCCGAAAAGAATTTCCAGGTTCGTCGATCTGGCCTCAGAAGCGGTTTTCCATCATGTAATCTTTTCTCAGGTATCAGCAAAACTGTATGGTGTCCTGACCATCCTTGCCGAGCGCTGTCCGTCATTCGGAAGGTCGTGTGTTGCTCTGTCGACAAGTCATCTGTCTGAGAAGTTGGGCGACATGAAGCTTAAGAAGCCAGCTGGTGATGCATTAACGGCCTTTGCAGAGAATACATCTCTGCAGTTTGTCCTCAACCAAGGCACGTTCATACTCCTTTTTGCGGACCTGCCTTGTGATGACTTTCGAATATAGCATACGATCCGCTTGGAAAGCAGAAGGCCCCCAAGGTCCTCGCTGACGCACTTGGATGGATCGATACCTCCATTGTCGAATTCGGCATTGCTGGCATTTCCCTTCGTCCTCTCATTGAATTTTTGAAGACTGCATTGAAGAACTCTAATGCAGCTGTGAGGACCAGTGCTACAAAGACACTTGTCTCCGTCAAGTTATTTGCAGGATCTAGTAAGTGCTATCAATTTTGGAATTGAATCCTCCAACACGATCCATAGGTATCAAGGACTTCCTGGAAGACCTGAACTCTCAGCTTTTGGTGACCATCCAAGGCGAGTTCGACAAGGTTGAGGGTACACCAGCGCCAGAGCCAAGTCGTACTTCTGCCGATGTTGCAGCCTTGGCACCTGTGACTAGTGGAGGAGCCGTCAAGGGTCGAGACCCTTTGGATGACCTCTTTCCGAGAGTGGAGATTGAGGGGCTGCTTAAAGGCACGACCATTCTTGCTGATAGCAAGAGTGATGCTTGGAAAACTAAGAAGGAGGCTCTGGAGACGCTACAGGCACTTCTGGACCAAGGAGCAAATAAGCGCCTGAAACCAACTATAGGTAAGGATGTTCTTCCGGATGAAGGCTAATGGTACTGTTACTCATGCGTCTTCCAGGCGAGATTGCACAAGTCCTGAAGGCCCGAGTGCTGGACACCAATAAAGCTGTGCAAAGTCTTGCACTTGACATAGTCGCTCGTATCGCGACCGGCATGGGCAAACCCTTTGAGAAGCAAAACAAGCTTTTTGTAGTACCAGTGGCGACTGTTCTTTCTGATCAAAAGGCACCTATCCGGGCGGCAGGAATCCAGACTTTGACCGCGATGGCAACCGCATGTGAAGGCTTGGATTCCATGGTTCATTTTCTGGGAACAGCTTTAGAAGCGGTCAACCCCACCCAACGAGCCTCTCTGCTTGGGTGGATAGCCGACTTTCTCAAAGACCATCCCCCTACCTCATCGTTGGACCTAAGTAATTGGGCTGGCACCGTGGTCTCATGCCTCGATGATCGGAGCACCGATGTGAGGAAGGGCGCGCAAGCCCTTCTGCCTCACCTGATTACCTTTGTCGGCTTTGACAAGGTCATGCAACACACCAATTCATTAAAGCCAGCGTCGAGGAAGACTGCTGCTCCTATCATTCAAGCAGCTCGAGATAGTGCGGCTCCACCACCCACCACCACACCACCCTCCGCACCAACACCAGCAAAAGCTACTGCTTCAAAAGCTGCCCCCTCAGTTCCCGCAAATTCATCGCCGACTCCCCCTCCACCCTCTCCATCGACTGCCCAAGCTCCCTCCACAGCAGCTAGTAAACTCACGGGTGTCCGACGGAAGTTACCACAAGGGACAAACTCCCGGCCGGACTCTCGAGCGGATTCAGTGGATGAACCTGCCACCTCTCGCCTTCCAGGGAAGTCGGGAACCGGTGGCCTCAAGCGCGCAGGAGCACCAAGCATTGCTACGAAGAGTTCCGTGGCACTTCCTCCGGCAGTGGTCTCTGCTCTTCCATTCTCCAGTATGAACATGGAGGCTAAGCGTGCGAGATTAGCCAAGGATGCTCAGCGGTGGATTAACGAAGGTGGAACTACCAGGAAGGACCTGGCCGATCTCCTGCAGCACCAAATGGAGCCACACGCATCCAAGGACCTTGTTGCTCAGTTATTCAGCCACGACCACAGCGCTGTCAACGATCATGTCTCAGGACTGACTACGATGCACAATTTCTTCTCTGCTGCGGAGTCTGGAGACGACAAATTTGGAGTCCCTCCAGACGATCTCAGAGCCGTCGCTTTAGCCTGCAGCGATCTTGCTCTGAAATACGTTTCTATCAAAGCTCATGAACCTCAGTCCAACTTAAGTGCCAAATGCTTAGAAGTGGTCGAAACTGTTCTTGCGTTCCTACGTAGTATTGACGCTCAAATAGACGACCCAGAAGCTCTCTGCTTCCTCCCGACAATGGTCCACAAGGTGCGGAACTGACGATCGTAGTGTTTTCTCTCTCTCTAATACACACTTTCGCTAGCTCGGCGACGCTCGCGAACCGGTGCGCGCCCGTGTGCAGCAAATCGTTCAAATGATGCCAAAGGTGTACGCATTCAGCCGAGTCTTCGACCTGCTTCTGGAGCATGGCCTGAAATCTAAGGTGGCAAAAACCCGTCAGGGCGCTCTCGATGAAATCAGCAGTCTTCTGAAGCGTAACGGTATGTCCGCATGCAATCAGCCCAGCAAGGCCTTCCCTGTCCTGGGTTCTATGATCGCAGACAAAGACTCCGCTGTGCGAAAGTCTGCTCTATCTGCTCTAAGGTAAAGTCTGTTGTTGTCTTTTCTTCGACCTTTGATAGATGAAACCTAGTGAGGTATATTCCTTGATTGGAGAGAAAGTCTGGTCGCTTGTGGGACCGTTGTCACCAAAAGACAAAACACAGCTTGAAGAGCGTCTACGCCGCGTCGCAGGGCCTAGTAGCCCAGGCAAGCAAGCACCGCAGACACCCGTGCAGCCTGCAGCCATCTCCCGTTTGGCAGGCGCCGGTGTGCGTTCGGATTCACCGACCGCACCACGCCCAGGAAGTCCAGCTGTCTCGGGTATCTCTCGATTTGCTAGACCCGGTTCCCCTGCAATGACACTGCGGTCTGCCTCTCCAGCTCCTTCCCAAATTGCCAGACCCTCTTCCCCAATGCGACCGAAACTCCCTGGCCCGTTGGGCATCGCCGTTCCATTGGCTACCGCAGGCTTTTCAGGTCTTGCTGCGCCGACCTCTCCTTCGGGCCTGCGCCCAAAGAGCATGTTACCATCGCGTCTCGGACCACCTAAGCCTCGTCCAAACTTTTCTGGATTATCCTCGAATGTGGCCACGCGTTCAGAAGAGCGTTCAGAACTGCCGTACACCAACCACGCTAATGGCCGCCCAGATACCAATACTCCGTCTATGCCGTCCACGGAGTCTGCGGAGACTCTGGTAGATAGCGCCCACACATATGACGACGCCCCCGTGTTCGATGTTCCCGATGACATCACAATTACTATCTCCAGCATATTGAGCAGCGATCCGTCTCGCAGCGTAGAGGCTCTCAAGAAAATCCAAAGGATCCTGGTTACAAAGCCAGAAGATGGGCACGCATCTCCGGAGTATCGTGAATTGGCGGAACACACCGAAGGTCTGATAGAAACTATCACTCTGCAAATGGCGCATGTCTTCGAACGTCCCGAGGATCTAGTTTCTGACGAGAACTTCAGATTGGCGAAGCACCTCATCCAGACACTCAACACGTTCTGTGACCACATCTTCCTGGCTGAGTCGCTAACCGTTGACATCCTCACCCCACTATTAGAGGAGCTTACACTGAGATTATTGGAGACTGATGAGAGTCATGTCACCAAGGTCAAGGATCTGTCACGATTTATCAATATGATCATCTTGAGGCTGTTCGCCACAGGACGCAGGATGTCGATATTCCGGTGTGTGTCTTTGACACCCATGACGTTACCTTCCTGACATGCTACGGTAGTTCCCTATTTTCCCTGCTTCTGCAGATCGTAAAGCCGTTTCCAAGCAATGGGACACTCTCAGACTCCAAGGAGGCTCGTGTTGCTGAGCTTGTCTTGAAATGTGTCTGGAAGCTAGCTCGGAACATTCCTCAAGACCTGAAGGAGCAGAAACTTGATCCAGTTGAGCTCTTGCCTGCGGTCGAGCACTTCTTACAGTCAGTACCTCCAAACGAATGGAGAGCTAGAGCCACGAACAAGGTTCCGTGTGGGGATATGCCGTTGAGGACCATCAAGGTTATCATTCAGCATGTAGTTGGTATGTGAAGTATCACAGAAGTAAGCTGTTGACTAACCAAGTCTTAGCGCATTATGGCGACGAAGTTTACGACTTCCTTTCCGCATCATTCGACGACCCATCCGCAACTATTGTATACCCCTACGTCTACCGCATTCTCAATTCATCCTCTCGAGCAGCAGCAGACCTCCCAATACGGTCAAATCACAGTCCACCAGAGCCTATTGGGCGCCCATACTCAGCAGCTTCCAGTCGACCCATATCACCAACAGGCTCTTCTACCAATCACCAGCAGTCTTCCCCCAGTCATCGAACAAGCCCGAGTGTCTCCTCGCACAATGGCTTCTCGCCACCCGTGGAAGAGCCAGATCCGGAAGCACAATTGATCACCATCATAAACCACATCTCCAGCGAGACTACAGGAGCGATGCACAAGGAGGGTATCACTGAGCTGCATCAATTCTTGAAGAACTACCCGCATAAGCGACCACGCGTCGAGAAGCTACTAGAGACAACCGGCCCTGCGTTTCGGAAGTATATCAATCGCGCACTTGCGAGTAGGGCGGCCGAAGATCTTGAGCGAACCGTGGCGGTCGCAAGTACCCTGTCGAGTGTGTTGCTTCATCTCTGTTTTTAGTTTCATTCTTACGAAGTTCATCAGAATTGGAAGCGAATGGCCATGAATCACCCACTCCTGGTTCTCCTGTTCCGAGCCGAGGGGACATGTCGCCTCGATCTGCGCACCATACGCCCGATCCACCCGGAGAGGACCGCTTGCATCAGCTGCATGGCATATTCCATTATAATCGTGCGAGCACAGCGAGCAATGGATCTTCGCAAAGTGCTGCGAGGCCTCGGATATCGGAGAGCTGAGACTGATTGCATATGGATTCTTTCAACATCTCACTCTTTTTCACCTCTGCTTTGTTTCTGCAATTCGATCATTTACGACACTTCAGACTCCCTTTTAATAGGATGCGCGATTTTTTGGAGAGCTTTATGAATTTTATGTGTATTTCAAGTCATAAAAGTCGGAAAATGTACCATCATCAGCTGAGGTCTTCTAGCAACGCAGTGCAGGCAAAAATATAAATTTAGGCTGCAAGCCGGTCGTAAGACCTTTACACATACCAGGTGCTCGTCGGGTTGGGAAGTCGCGCCCGCACTCCACAGGTGACTCAGCACGAGTAGCAATGATCGCCACTAGCAGTAGACACAACGTTAGAGTAGACATCACCATATGATAATCCACTCATACAGTCACGGTGATGCTTGTGTCATCGGTTACATCATGAGGAGCGCACAAAACGGTGGGGTACCAATCCAAGTAACTTGCAAATATCATGAGGGTACACTTATATAGACATATATCCGTCACGCGACAGGAGTCTATTTGTACATGTTGTGACACCCCCAAAAGTTGGATCGCAGTGGAAGGTGCTGCAATTAATCCCCTATAGCACGGCGTAACGCCAAGCGAGACGCCTCTCTCTTTATACCACCATATACTATATGACCTGCTACTGACATCGTCCTGAAATTCATCAAAGTTTGTTCGTAATGTCTCCAGCAATCACATATGAAGCTGCGCTGGTATTCTGGCGCATGGTCACCCAGATATTTTTCAGAGAGATACGACCTCGGGGTGCCTTTAACATTCCTCACGATGGTCCCGTCATTTTTGTCGGTGCCCCCCATCATAATCAAGTGAATGGTCGTTCTGCATCTATGTCTATTCCCACTGACCCTTTTACTAGTTCCTTGATCCCCTCCTTCTCACTTTAGAGGTTCACCGCGAGACGCACCGTCAAGTTCAATTTTTAACCGCTGCTAAGAGTATGAAGCGGAAGGCAATTGGTTTTTTTGCCCGTCTCATGGACAGTAGTACGTTCATTCCATCATATTTTCTGTTCTCCCTGCTGACTTTTGTTCAGTTCCCGTCTCTCGAGCTGCAGACGAAGCGAAGTCGGGAACTGGCCTGGTATCTCTCTCTCCGGATGACCCGTGTATAGTCCTGGGCGAGGGCACCAAGTTTAAAACTGAGTTTAGTCCTAAAATGCAAATCATGCTCTCAAAGTCCCTCAACTCAGCCATTGCCGAGGTCGTCGAAGTCATTTCAGATACAGAATTGCGCGTCAAGAAAGAATTTGGAGGAGACAGTGGCAAAGGAACTGCTCGTATCCGGGAGAAAGTTGGAGAAGGTCGAGAAGATGGGAGGAAGGGCTTAGAATTCAAGGTTCTGCCATTCATCGATCAGCAAGAAATGTATCGTGGCGTATATCAGAGACTGAAGGAAGGAGGGTGCATTGGCATATTCCCCGAAGGCAAGTCTACTCATTATTTTTCATCGCAGCGTTTCGTTACGTTGTTGGCCTCTTAGGTGGAAGTCACGACAGGACAGATCTACTCCCTCTCAAAGCTGGTGTCTCCATCATGGCGCTAGGTGCCATGGCCAACGATCCAACTGTGCAGGTCAAGATCGTACCGGTTGGCTTATCATATTTCCATGCCCATCGCTTCCGCTCTCGTGCCGTTGTGGAATTTGGAACTGCTCTCGATGTGCCTGTTGAACTCGTTGAAATGTTTAAAGAAGGTGGCACCAAAAAACGCGAAGCTGTAGCCAAGTTCTTGGACCTTATCTACGATGGGCTAAAAACTGTGACGATCCGTGCTCCAGATTACGACACACTTATGGTGCGTTCCTGTCGCAATTTACTCCAAGTAGGAGAACTGAATGCCATACAGCTTATACAAGCCGTCCGCCGATTATACAAGACACCGGGGCAATATCTGACCTTGGGACAAGTAGTTGAATTGAATAGGCGTTTCTTGGAAGGCTATACAAACTTCAAAGATGAGCCTCGAGTACAGAAACTTCGGACAGACGTTTTGAAGTACAATCGTTTGATTCGTGATTTGGGAATTCGTGATCACCAAGTACGTCTCATGAGCGATTTCCAATCGGTGCACAGACTCACGTTCTTCACAAGGTCCCACGAGCCCAAAAAGCGAGCTGGAAAACGCTTGGCTTACTCGTCTATCGTCTCGTGCTTCTGATAATCTGGACGTCATTGGCTTTGCCGGGAGTCATCCTTAATGGTCCCATGTTTATCTTGGCGTCAATCATTTCACGTCAAAAAGCCAAAGGTACTTATTCGCGCTTATAAAGTTGATTGATTACTCAGACTAACAACTTTCACTCAGAGGCACTGGCTGCATCAGTAGTCAAAGTGGCCGGTCGCGATGTCCTTGCGACATGGAAGATTCTTATTTCTCTTGGTATCGCGCCACTCATGTATGCATTCTACGCCATAGTTGCGACAATAGTTGCAGTTAAAGCCAACACATCTCTGGCTACGAGGATATGGACTCCCTTCCTGGTGATTTTGGCTTTGCCATTCATGAATTACGCCGCCCTCAAGTTTGGCGAGGCTGGTATGGACGTACTCAAGTGAGGTTTTAATAGATTTACTCCTGGATCATGTACTGACGTGATCGATTTCCTTAGATCTTTGCGGCCCTTGGTGGTGGCTTTGATCCCCGGTCAGCAGCGGTCATTTGACAAAGTGAAAGCTATGAGAGTTCGACTTTCTAATGAAGTTGCCGAAGTTATCAATGAGTTTGGCCCCAAGCTTTATGATGATTTCGATCAGTTCCGTATTTTAGTCCCTGCAAGTGCACCTCCTTCAGCGGGCAATCCCGGGGTCTGGCGGCGAAAGAGCAGCGTGGGGCAAGTGGATGCTCAAGGTAATTTGCTCATCCATCCCATGGTAAGTATTTACAGTTTCTCTGGTCGCACCCTCATGACCGTTGCACAGACATGGATCGATGAACGTCTCTTCGGATGGAGCCGTAGTGCCAAATGCGGCACAAGCGCATGGGGAGGAAGCACCCCGACTCACGAAAGCAGCAGGCCAGTGACACCTGACCTCTCAGATGACGAAGACCATGGAGATTACGACCATGCCGTCAACTACATTTCCGCGTATGAGGACGCTTCCCGGCACAAGGCTCGAAGTCGACAGGGATCGAGTCGACAGGGATCATACGCAGATCTCCAGAGACTTCGCATGACTGCCGCTGCTCCGCTCAATGTTCCTTCGAGCTCGAGTAGTCTCCGCACTAATGACTCACAGTCGCTGCATATGCGGCAGGGCTCACGGCAACGAAAGCAGAGCTTATCTGACCTCGTTCCTGTTGAGCGCATCGGGTCCGTAGATCGGCAAGAACCATTTGAACATGTGACCACGAGCTTGAACAAAGAAGCAGGCGGAGAATCTCCGAGTGCGTAGATTCTGGACATTAACTGTGGTAGAGGACCGTATTGCATGTGATGTACATATGAGATATTACATTGCGATTGCCAAACTTTATGGGGTCTATTCCAGGTATAGTTGTTCATAGCTATTCAACAGAGCAACGAGGATAGCGGTCATGGCGAGAATAGTAACCGAACGTCGAAGGAATCAAGAAGGGAGGCCTCTGATCTCGATGTACGCATTCTGGCGAAGCATGACTTTGGAAAACTCCATGCCGCACCCAGTGCAACTATGTCAAACATGTTAAGCTTCGTCAGTGTTGCAACGGAAAGACACACTTGAGATGTTCAGACTGATTGAAGAACTGGGACATGTGGTGATCAAAGTTGAGATACCCTTGCAACGCGTATCAACGCCACCCACCTGTATATGTGTGCACCCTCCTTGGCGAGCCTTATAAGAACCAAGAGCTTCGCCACCTAGATCCATGCATCTGATTTCCCTCTAGAAGCCACGTCAGAAGAGCATCGTAGGAACAAAAAAGTGAAAAGTGCCCACCGTCCTACTTGAGTAGCCGTTGCTAGCGCTGGCATGACACATTAGCCCCTTCTGCAAACCACTTCATTCGAGTACACTGACTGACGGGATGTACTTTGTGATCACATAAATTGGATTTCCTCGGGTCGAGCCGCATTTCTCGACGAAAAGATACGGTTCACTGTCGTTGCCCGACATCTCGAGAGTAAAGAAGATACTCTGTGCTTTCACAAGAAGGGCGATCTTGGAGGTGGAGGTGGGAAAGTAAGGGATGGAAGGGTATGAGATACCCAAAACACAAACGTGTTCCCCACCCATTCGCTCTATTACCAAGGGTCAATGTCAGCGGGTGTATTAGCAGGGATACATATTGAAAGACGAAACGATAATTTTGCATAAGGGGAAACGAGGAAAGATAAGGGTACACATGTCACGAGCATAAATGTCCGAATCCGTTCAGTCGATCTCGAGATATGTATGCTTCGATGTGCCTTGCCGCTGAGGGGAATATTGGAGCGGAGAATGACGGAAGAATTCTGACGAAAACATGTAAGTATATATATCCCTGAATGCGTGCTTGGCAATGATAATGACAATTGTTGCTATAGATCCGTGCTCTTCCCCGCAGTCAAAACTTCTACGCCGGTCTCCGTGATACTGAAACATCGATGAGTAACCTTTCAGGTTAGCTCCGAATGACACTTACAGCAAGGTCTCCTCAAACTGAGCGCTCCGTTTCCCATCTACTGTGGTAGCAGTCCAATTGTCGGGCCAGTGTTGTACGTCCCAATTAGAACCCAAGTTAATCATCTATTGCAACCGTGCATGAGGTTCGGCTCCGGGGGCAAAAATGCGATCGAGAGAACATGAGGCGGCTTACCGGCTCTATAGTAAAGCACTAGATTCGATGAGGTTAGTAATGATCCAGAAAAGTGGACACTAGCGTCCTTACCATTCCCGGTTTCATGGTCCCCACTGCTTTATTCTTTGCATAATGCGGAATGTTCGGGGCTGTGTGGAATAAGTCGTTGATGCCGTGACCTGTGTACGTTCGTACGACAGCACATCCATTAGCGCGCGCAATTGGTTCGCTAGGACCAAAGTAAACTTTAGTCAACGGGGTTGAAGGGAACACTGACATAACTTTGCCGATGTCACGGAACAATGCGCCCGGTTTGCAAACTTTGATCGCTTCATCGAGACATTGACGAGTGGTTCGAATCAATTTCTTGGAGTCTTCGTCTATTTCACCAACGGGGTATGTAGCATTCAAGTCGCTATGAAAGCCTGACCTTCGACTTCAAACATGGGATAAAATGATAAAAAAACGTTCCACTTACCGTCGTAGTAGAGTGATATATCTATTGCGACGTCAGAAATACTCAAGAGGTGGTGTAGTGTCACGCACCAAGATTGATGATATCGCCTTCTTGCAATTTCCTGCGATCGGGAATGCCATGACATATGGATTCATTGATGGAGCTGAGGCGACATTAAGAACAAATCAAAAGCTAGGCTCTAGATAATCTTACGTGCAGAGAGATTTTGGGAAATTACGATAGTTCAAGGGTGATGGGTATGCATTACGTTCGATTGTGGCTTGGTGAACGACAGCATCTATTTCGTCAGTGGACACACCCGGCCGTACCATTGCTGCTGCAATATCCAGCACTTCTCGACCAAACTCGAGAAAAAATGAGTATAAAGTCTGGGTCCATTAAAAAGGAGGTTTGGCTTACCCTGCACGCAGTTCTCATCTTTTCAATTTCCCCTGTATCCAGCAGACGAGGAGGTTGACCCGATCGTTTGATCTCTGCGGTCGGTACTCCTGTAGGGGGGAGTGGTCATTGGTCATGTTCATGCTCAAACTGCGTACTCGGCTGTTGAGAAGGCCTGATATCTTACCATCTTCGCTAATTGCGTAGTCAGGACGCGGAATATGTGCCGGAACTTCACGTTTTGGAGTGAGTGGGTATACGGGTCTAAGAGTACCCGTGTAATCGTAATTCACGAAAGGATTGAAAGTGCCGTCTATTTCACATCAGCTGACTCACGACTGGCGAGTATCTCTATCAATTTACCTTGCAATGGGTTGGCCGTGGTGGCGGGGGGACGTGCAAGATCATGAATGATTTTGTGGGTTTTCTAGTGGATGTGGAGTGAATGTACGTGAGTCGCAAGTTGAGCCGAAGTTTACATCGTACTTACCCCTGTCAAAAGTGTGACAATTTCAATGGTTACATGCTGATTGATATCGCGATTTACTTACAGTTGCCTTTGAAGCACTCCTGCCCGCAGAAAAAGGAACCGCGGATACCAAGCCTAGGGTGAGTCGATTTCAGTGCTGACAGCAGGATGCAACATGGTATGTGACATACTTATTGCACGTGGGGCATTCTAGCTTTGATGGTGGGTTCCCGTGTGGACAATTGGTGCTCTGGCAAAGCACCGTGACCGAACTCATCTTCCCTGTCAAGCAGAAGAAGTATAGCCTTGAAATTTCCAGAGTGACTACGCAGGTAACTCGAGATGCACGTGACGCGGATTTCTCCGACGGCTTGAGTGCACCTCCAACGGATTCTTCAACGCAGGCTAAGTTAGATCCTGTCACCTCGTCTCCTGCAATTATGACGTGATATGTTTGAATTAGCAGTTCTTAACAAGGACGTGACTGTCCAAAAACCAGTCTGCCTCGCACACCCAACGTGCCTCTGATCTCACTGTTTGTGCGACCCTTCAACGTGTTCTTTGATGGCGATATCCCCTATCCCGGCGGAGTCTCATTATATCCGTTTGCTCACTATAACATTATCTACGGGTGCATACTCTTTCTAAGGTCAGAATGAACCTCCGACGCTAACGCTGGCACAATTGGCGAGCGCAGTCCCCCATGTCGAGATCACCGACTGCCATGGCATAGGGGGGACATATAACACACATAAGCTAGCCATGTGTTAGGCTATACTTGAACATCTGTCCCCTTGCTGACAATATCACAGTCGTGCTATTGGACCACCATGACTGGGTTGAGGGGTGCACCACGCTTTTGGTCTTACTTGGCCTTTCATCTTCATTGACAGGCCTGTCAGCTGGTTGCCTATACTAGACGCGATGAATAATCGATCAAGGTGAGCGTTTGCATTGTAACATTAAACAGACAGTGGTGATGCTAAGTATTCGATTGTAACGATATGATGGCGGGTATTAAACGTGATCGATGATAGGTATGTATATAAAGCGAATTAACAATATGCGAGTCGTCTACGTGGGGATATAAAAATTATGTGAAGTACGCGTATGGAAAGCAGTATATCACAACAATGCGGCGAAGGGCAAAGGAGCAAACTAGGTAGCGGAAGCGGACCACAAGTGGGGAAATGAAAGATGGAGATGGCGCTCGGAAGAAAATACACGAAGGCGCTTGCTACACACGAGCCTTGACCCCCAGGGTAAGGGCTTTTGTGCCACCCAACGATCAACGGCGCCGAGGCTCAAAGTCAACTTTGAATGACGTCGTTCTGTCGTTGGCGGCCTTCCAAAGTTGTTTGAAATGGGCATGCCCAAAGATTTCAAGGAGGGCAGCCTGGTTATTGGTTATCCACTGCACTGACGGGAGACCCCGAGTGGTGGTATAGGTGCCCTGGGGTAGTTGCTCCTCGTACACGAGGGTCACGACGCCAGTGAGTAGGCATTGGATGAGATTCAGGATATCGGTGATGGGTTGGACAATAAGTCGCTGGGTGGCAAAGATGTCACTGTGGAACACCATTTGCCATTGAACGCGTCGCTCTGGGGAGAAAAAAGAGGATGCATGTGTGGGGAGCTGTAGTCGCAACTTGGGACTCAAAGGGAGCCCATTTGGGGAGCGCCATGGAGAAGGCGCTTCTACGGTGAAAAGCATACGGGTATCGGCAGGTTCAGCATCCTGCCATCCGTGGTCCTGAATTAGTTGCGCTTTGAGCGACATCAACCATTTATGAGCACGAGCATATGTAGTGCCTAAAGCTTCCGCTGTGGTCAACGGGATGCCTGTACGGCGGGCCCAGTTATCCATGTTGCGGACATCACTGGAGAAATGAACTTGAGCAGTCGATGATGGAGGTGTCTGCATGATGGGGGTACTGGGTAGATTGAGCTCCATGGAACTCGAAAGCAAATTTTATAGGCGAAAAATCGTACCTGGCCATGGTAAGACAAGTCAAATTGCTCGGGAAAAAGTGGCGCCTGCCCTTTACCAGGAGCAAGGTTTAAGTATCGATAAAGAGACAGCAAGGAAGATACAGGGCAAGATATGTGACCTCGAGGAGAAAGATAGTGAACCTGACTTTTGAGGGTACAAGGGCACCAAACGCATGGTGTTACCGGCCTTTTGAAGGGTGCGCTGGCGGGCGTGGGTCCCGCCACTATAATTGGCCCTTAGTAGCGATTGCGACCCGACATGTCCAGAGAACGAAACACGTTTTTTCGTCTCCGGCTAACACGTTTTTTAACTCTATATTTTGTCATAATTGTTTTATTTCGTCCGTAATATTACCTAAACTTGAAATATTTGGTATAAAAATCATGGATCCGTCAGTGCAAAATTATCTTCGATAGTAGTCCGGGACTCTAAACGTTCTCTTTGTTGCTTTGTCTTGGAAGACCGCGGCGCTGGTATAGCGCTGATATATTGATTACGTTCTACGTTGCTGAGATATATACCTTCTAAAACGCTTTCCCCGACGTTTTGTTTAGTGAGCGAATCCTAGCAGAATTCATTTCTCGCAATAACTACGGGTCACGGATCGACTCTGACACTGCCCATTGTGACCACATATGGCTCCCTGGCAACGGAAATACAACTGACTTGGCGAAGCTAGAAGGACGAAGGGTGCCCAAAGCTAGAAAAGACAAAGAGCACTAAAAGTGACGCCCAGCGTTCCCGCACTAATGTGGCCGTAACTTGGGATAAATGGTTTCGCGGCTGCGCCGGGAGCAAAGTAATTTTTGATGTCACATTGTCAAACAGTCATCCGCAGGGTCAGGCCTGTCAGTATCGTAGGCAGCTTCGTTCCCAGCAGTTCCGAACAGCATGCTCACTTCAACTTGTGACAGGAACAGTTTTGGTGATCACAGCGCGTGTTGCGTGGATGTCAGTGAGACTGCCTAGCTTCAAGGATATGCGTAAGGGTAGTTCGTTTAGATAAAGTCTGAATAAATATTGGTGATATATATCTTTGCAAAAAAACTCAAGCTTAGACTGAACACGTAGATTGAGTGATCTCCCGTACCAGGCCATGGCATTTTAACACTAGTGTAAGTACTAGCCAGGCCTAGAATAGTGGTCTCAGACTTATTCCAAGGGAACGACTATCTCCCTGACTATAAGCGCCCATTATGTCCCTGGCACGTGATCTTAGAGTCAGAGCGGAGTCGGAGCTGCAGTGAATATGATGCTCGCGGCCCGCCTATCATCATCTCTGCAAGGAACATTGAAGGAACACGCAGCACGCTAATCCTTTCCCCTCCGATTACTTTCAAATTACTCTTTTTGTGATGCCAGGCCTTGTCATGGAGGCAAATTCATCAGCCTCTGCATCCTCTACGGTTTCTTTCGATATCTGCGAAACTTTCGCTTCATTCCTGAAGAATGAGGAGGTGCCGCTTTTTTATATTGTCATTTCTTTGTAATGCGTAAGCTCATATGAAGACAGCTATCGGCTCCCCTAGCCGCGATTTTAGCCCTTAGCAAGCTGATTGAGATATCCGATGGTATTAAGCCATTTCCTTTCGCGCAGGGCCAGGTTGACGCAGAAGGCAATAGCTGGAACCATGCTCGAGCTGGTGAAAGCTCTAAACGATGGTGCAGAAGCTTTGAAGGCGTCAACTTCCAATCCGATCAGTTTGAACGCTGGGTGCGAATTATTCGTCGCGTTTGTCACACTGCTCCCGCATGACTCCGCAGTTAGTACCACCCGTCTACCCTAAGTGATTCTTCTTTTTCAAACTGACAATTACAAAAGAGCTTCTCCGATTTAAAACTAGAGCTTGTTAGACAAGGCCAAAAATATGCTACTGAGGCTCTCACTTATCGCGATAAAATTGCAAACCTGGCGCTGGGGTTCATCAAAGATGATTCGGTGGTATGTTATCCGCGTGCTCCCTCGTTGTATGATCCCTCATGTCATCGGGAAGATCCTGACTCATTCCTATTCGAGAGTCGTGATGAAGACCCTACTCCGTGCCCATGAGAGAAAGAGAATATCGGTCTACGTGACGGAAGCACGGCCTCGTGGCTTAGGGTTCGTATTTATCTTCTGTAACTTCAGGATCTCCAAAGAAGACTAATGCGCTCATTAAAAGCCTACGAACCTATGAAGAACTTACTGCCGCCGGTATACCCTGCACAGTGGTGCTAGATTCGGCGGTATCATATGTCATGGACAAGGTAGACTTCGTTCTAGTGGGATCAGAAGCTGTCGTAGAAAGCGGCGGCTTGATAAACGCCGTTGGCAGTAACCAGATCGCGATCATCGCTCAGGCTGCGAATATCCCTTTTTACGCCCTCGCTGAGAGGTAGGTTCATATCGTCATGCACTTCTTCGGAATTCATAGAATCTTATTTTTTCAGCTACAAATTCCACCGCCTATTCCCGCTATCCCAGTATGACCTGCCCACACACACAGCTAATATTCTGTCTTTCCCTTTGTCGCCGGCAGGCAACGTTGCGTCCCCGTCGACCACGGACGCGATCAGATCACCTGAAAGGTCCGGCAATGCTGACAACGTACGACAGATGACGCCCGAACAAATTGCGTGCAACCCTGGAGTAGACTACACCAGGTGTGAAAATTGATGATATCATGACACCTTCTGATGGATGGTACTAGGCCGGACCTGATTACGCTGGTTTTCTCCGACGTTGGCAGCTTGACTCCCGAAGGAGTCAGCCAATATGTTGTGGGGATGTTTGCAGGATGACGAAACTGTCGGTTTATCCTCATCACCGAGACTCTGTCTCCATGCGGCGATAGGCCCGATAGAGTTTACGATTAGCCTTTGTCACTTTCAAGATCAGTTGCAGATCACCATGCGTGTGGGTGGATCATTTTTGTGGTGCAAGGAGGTTAATCAAGAGGACCTCATATTCTTCTGGCGTTCAAACGCATTTGCGGCCGCCCTTGAGATGAAACATGCGTAAGCCTGCGGGAGGGTGCCCAACCAATACTTCGGGGCCATCAGTCTGATTCTAGATGATAAAGGTGAGTATTTTCGGGAATTACTGACAGTTTGCGATATGAGCGCGAGACTGGTCAAAATATTCGAGGGCAATCTTCCAGAGGAGCTCCGAAGACTGCCCAAACCATTTCGAAGTGGATTTATCAAGAAGACAGTAAATCTTTCAACCTACCAGAGTCTTCGCATCATATCGCGACTCGAAAATCCAATAAAAGATTTTGACGGAGGTTGGATCGATGTAAGATATTCCGGATGCCGTCCCGACAGTGAGTAAGTGGACACATTGGTACGGTTTGATGTGCTTGATCCTCGAATTTGTCAGAAACATCCCTCCGCTAGATGAGTTCGGCCGTCCCCGATGGGGAGACTCATTTGGGTTTTTAGCTTTTTAGCAGGCCATCCGCTAGATAAACGGGACCAATTTCTTTACCCGCTACCCCGATTTGTATATTGCAGAATGACTGGTGAAGCTAAATTCGATGTTCCGAGGAGCATCAGTGGGTTCCTCCGTGCCACAAGTTGGCGCTGCAACTAGTTGGCTATAGATCTATTCCCAAGGATGACAAACGGTCCGATGGCCAATCAGTGACACCCGACGAGATCTGCACGATCTGTTCTCGAATTTTCGCATGAATTGTCCTGATGCTTATAATGGGCAGTCATCTCGTCCAACACCCCCAGGTCCCCTCTCCACTGACCAACTTTCCTCCATGTGCCACTGGCGAAGGCAGGTCATTCACTGTCCCATGACTATGACTTACTCCTGGTCCTTGTCCAGAGTTCGCAATACGTACAACCAGTGCAGTCATGTTTACGACTTGGTGAGCATATCCGGCTCGATGCCTTTGCTTCGACTGACAACTATTCAGGACGATGAAATGGTTAGCTACGCCCCTGAACATTGAAATCGTACTGCTCACACGCTTCCAGATCCGATGTGATGACCTCTATTGCAAATTCAGTTCATCCCACCCAAGCACCTGCGTGCCGCCTTCGTGCACGACGACATGCTGGCAATAGTGAGTACCTCGTGGCGCTCCTTAGCACGGGTCACAAAGCTGACCAAATCCTTTGAAATGTAGCCGCCAGTTCCCCCAACAATTTAGTGAGACTTGAACGTTATGAGGACATGCCAGATTTAACCCTGACTACCATGCTGCAGACCGTTTCATAGACTCAGTTTGTCCTGCCTGTACACAGCAAAGCCAAGGCCGATAGAGCGCTGCGTCAAGAGGCTGTAGAAGCTGTACAGTGGATAGGAACGGAGAGATGCTGGCGGTATGTCGGTATCTATGGATGATGGTGATGAAGATGGCATCGGTGATCGGTGATTAGAATAGCGGTGCGGAAAGATCGATGGATATGACATTTACTTGTATTTATATTTGCCAGATCTTGGAGACTGCTCCAGTAATTTAGGAAGAAATATTTAGTTTGACCGCTTGACAGGCTAGTGAGTCTAGGAACGAAATGTGAAGCCGACTGAGGCGAACAGTGGAAAAGAGGGACAAAAGCCACCGTGTTGTAATTATTTCGTAAAACTTGTCTCATTGAGGCGGCGAGGACAAACGGAAGAATCCCCACCGCGACGCGTGCTTCAATGATACCGAGGACAAATTGATGGCATTTACCTTGGGTTGGGCGGTGGAGAGAATACTTAACTTCCGCAATCTTCGCGTGAGACAGGGACGGCACACAATGGAAAATTGAAAAGTTCAAACTTTGAGCAACGCTCATTAACTGAAAGGCTACAAATGCTTCTACTCTGCGCGTCAAAATACTCGGAGCAAGGCGAGTGTACTTAGTAAATGAGCGGAAATACAAAAAACGATCATAAAGAAACATTCAAGGATTCCCCGATTTCCAAGCCGCCACATCATGGGGGAGCTACCAAGAGGAATGTCCGGGCAAATTAAGCAAAAATTGAAAGAAGGCACGAGGCCTACCTGGCTGCGGTGGGGGAGATGATTTCCGCGGCTGTAACTGTCAGAAAGAACATCTGACTTCAGAATCCACTTTGCTGTAATTCTGATTGTCTCCGAAACGCGGGATTTGTTAACTGTAAACCTGTGTCGAGACAGAATAAAATGAGAAGTGGAAATACAACCTGCCTGCCGGACTGGCGCGTGAATGAAGAGTTTTTCTTTCTTTATCATCCGCGTGCTTTCGCATGTTTCACGCGCTTAAAAACATCCGTACGCTTGTTAATAACTCAAGGCAGCTAACGAAACAGCAGGGGGGCTCCATCTTGAAGAACTTGCACAGCTTTACGTGATCTTTATCCAATTGTGGCGTTGTCACTTCTTGCTTCCTGCCTCTCCTTTGAGGGACAACATCATATCATGCAATCCCAGTGGGTATTTCCGATATCAGCTCTACAGCTGACCCCGAGTGTCGTCACATCATCATACACGGTAGCGAAGGAATTGTATGATCGATCCAGGGGTGTCGAATTTTTGTTTCGTTTGGGTTCTTCCCTAGGACTGTTAGCCCTTTGTCAATTGCTGTTCTGGATCTTCTATTCACGCGTGTTTCATTCCGCAGGCCCACTTCTGCGATGTTCACAGCGGCAACCTGGTTTCATCGCTTTTTTATGAGATATTCCATGGAAGATTATCACAGACAGGTATTCTTCTCTCACAATTCATTGATGATGCGGACGACGTTCCTTCTAGGACGTTGCAGCTTCCTGCATATTCCTTGCAACTAAGACGGAGGAGTGTGGACGCAAGCTTCGCGATGTCGCCAGAGTGTGCCAGGCCAAGATAACAGGGAAAGACGTTTCCCTCATACACAGCGAGAGCCCAGCATGTAACGTGTTTTTGTTGCTCAAACTGAACTCATTTTGTCGCCAGGAAGTCGATCAACTACAAAATGTCATTCTTTTCACAGAAGAAGTCCTCCTTGAGGCGCTATGCTTCGACTTTGTAGCTCCAAGCCCTCACGCAGAATTAATCGATCTTTTTGATGCCTACCAGGAAGACTCTCGAGTTCAAGATTACGCATGGAGTATTGCTCATGATTCGTAAGTTAGTCGTCCCAGACTTCCAGAGGCTACTCGTTGTCTCAACGCATGCGCCAGTTATCGAACACCGTTATGCGTCTTATTTTTGCCCCGCATCATCGCAAGTGCTTGCTACGTTCTGGCGCAGAGAGCTGTTGATGGTCCTCATTCGGCTTCTCTGGATGCCCGAATCTCTGCATCTCCGCCTTCAGCATCGCTTCCGACACCTCCTTCTCATAAACCCGCTTCACCTGATGCTTCCCGTTTCGCAGTCGAATATTATGGGTTCACAGAAGAAGACATTGCCAAGGTCTCAGGTAGGTCACTCGAAACTGACCGAAAACCATAACTGAGGATTTCTGGTACGTCCTAGATGCCTTGAGCATACTGCTTGAATACTATTCTGTCCAAGACATGCATAACGCGCCTCATGTGGTACCTTTGACGATGGTTTGATACCCACTCTAGTTTTGACCCTACATGGTCTGAATGGTTCACAGATCCCCCCTCCCACAAATTCTTTGCGCCCAAAACTCTATGAACCTTTCTCTCAGGTCCCACAGGCATCATCGCAGTCGGCATCCGTCCCCCCCGCAGGCACCAGTAACAGGACACCAATTTCATCATATGGGGGTAACACGCCCGCCAAGACACCATTGCACGTTGCTGAACAGCCGGAAAAGGCCATTCCAGAATCGACAAAGAAAGTGATAGCCCGCTTAGACCTTAGCTAGAATGATTACAGTTATTCCATGGCTTCGCAACAGAATTTCTGACGCAACGTTCACACTTTTAATTATGGCTCGATAGTGATTTGCTGCTCGTCTGGGAGACATACTTATCGGGAATTCTGGCTTGATAGTGATTTACTGCTCGTCTATTTTTGGGATGCGTTACAATGACCGGATCTCTGAAAATCCTGCTATTAATCGTAGGTGCCTTGGCTGTTTTTAAATTATCGGGGGTACTACGGATAGATATCATGGTAGCTAGGCTGAGATGAAAACAGAAGCACTCGGCGTAATCCACTCAAAGCGGAAGGGATACATCAAAACTTTGGTAGCTCCAGCCTACGATAATGGTGAGCATGCATATGTAGGTCCGCTTCAATCAAATGGAATCGAATGACGCGGATCTAGTCGTGTCCATTCCAGATGGCAAATGCTGGCGTATCAGCGGTCCAACGGCGAGATCGGAGACCGAGGCCGTGAGATGCTGGTTAGGATACGCTGGTTCGATGCGAACTTCCGGGACCACCCAACCACCGGGGAATCCCATCGCTGAACAAAGCCAGAATAACAGGAGTTGCAAAACAGAGGGGTCGTGAGAGTCATAGCTATACACTGGAGAAACAAATGCTGCAGTCCACCCTGAATTCCGAGGCTCAGCGGAAAACGCTGGTATGCGACTATATCCAGCTCACCGTTCGAGAATACTCCAAAGACCCAATGCGTGTAAGTGCTTACGACAAACCATGGAGAGCTTCTAGTGATGCAACAGTCCCATAGCTGGTGGCGTGATTACGTGACTGATTAATGAGTAGGAACGGCGGCGTCAATTCTCACCTTGTACCATAGCCTTTCATGGGGTGTAGTAGGACGTTCGTGAAAATTTTCGGTAGACGATGACGAAGATGATCCAAAGAACTAGTGACACAAGTCAGTAGCGAATACTTCGATATTGCTAGTCGTCCATACCGATTGACGTTCGCAAAACAGCTCAAGATCGCGGACAGAGAGGACCCAAGGAGGCTGAACGAATATGCTCATGGCACCCCGGTAATGCCGTTCACCGTCGTGATCCACTAACCGGGACCACGTTATACATTTGAAGATTTTATGATCCGTGTCATCTGCATCAGAAGCAAAGGACCAGGCTTTTGTCTCAGGGTAGAGGAGATGTACGGTTCGTCGCACGGTTTCCAGTGGAAGAAGATCTATCCACGTGAACAATCTTTAAGTATGGTTAGCTCACGGAAGGGAGTTAGTCGCATGGTTTACCGCTTGAGGCTGTCAGCTCGGGCGAGACTGATAGGGGGGATTTGATAGAAAGGTGGACACGGCACTGTGAAGCGTTCGCCCGTCTCCTTATCCTCGTCTTCTTCACCAAGCGACACACATGGAACAAAATCCTCTGTCCCTAAAATCAATTTTAGACCTGGAAAAGTTATAACCTAAAGATTCGTACATTCTTGACAATATTCGTTGAAGAGGGCGAGTCGAAGTGGATGGATTGCTCGTAGTTTCCTGTATCGGCGCGGAAGAGCATGCAAAGCAACATCAACGCTGGGCCGAGATGAGCCCAGATTGATAGACACGAGGCGTGCTTCCTGTATGTAGAATCTCAGATTGTCAGGAGCTCTCCAAGCCATATGCGTTAAGCTTTAACTGTGAGCAAGTCACAGAACACACGACGATTAGATGCGCGTGGGGAATCGCGGCAAAGGCATGCTATTAGTTATTAAATTATATATGTTGTCTGGGCCTTCTCGGCCCTCGTAGACGTATGATTGTTATTGTGCCCAGCCAAACATGGGCCAGGCGCAGAACAACTACAGGACAAGTGGATAGGCAACCAAGAACAAGGACAATTATGACGAGTTTGGCATAATTATCATGGCGGCATTACTGTGGGATTATTACGTGGTTTGTAATTATGGGGAGCTAGACTGAAGTCCAGACCTCACACCAAGGCGTACGTTTAATTATCGAAAAGTCAGCAGAATACAATATCGCAATTTATTAACCTTCGCAGCATGGTGTCAGTAAGTTACGGGGCAATTACGGGGCGGGGCGCCAGCGCCGCCAATATTACAGCAGTTTTCGTATGATATATCTATCTTGGGATCAGACGGTAGCCCACTAACGCATCCCAGCAGCTACTCGGACCATTAGCGTTACTTCATCTCTTGTCTTTAGGACACAGTCGCCGCATCTTGAAGGACTTATACGAATAGGGTTCTTCATTGGTAATGCCATCAACCGTATGCAAGCTTGTGATTTGCATGCTTTGAAGAAATCAGTGTCTTGCGAAGCGGAAATAGTCGGGAGGCACACCTGTAGGATGGACATGTCTTGTACTGAAGAGACAATTTGGTCGCAAGCAGTCCTGGAACTTCGTCGACATGGCAATGAAATGAGTACATTCGGTGTGGTATCGACCGTCAATGATCTATAGAGAAAAGTAAACATTAATCTGAGGGCTTGATCAATATCAGAGCGTCAACCAACATTTTGACACATCTCCGGCGCGGAATGTTGGAATGGGGTGAGGACTCTTTAGTAGTCGCAGTAGAGAGTTGTGCTATCGACTTGACGTCTGGTTATAGGTGCGGGCTTCTTAAGTAGAGGAAATTCGTACATTATCCTATGTCGCGTGGGGATCGCGCTGCCGCAACATGCATCGTGAAATAAAGAGAGCACCGAGAGGCCGCTAGGAGGGTGCGAAATTTAGCAGCCTTTTTACCTTTCAAAGTATGTGCGCAACCGCCGGCCGTGGGGTCGCCGCGCTTTCCGATCACCCCTACACGCATTCCGCTGCATTTACTCCACGGAGCTCATTCACAACAGCGATAAGGTAACGCCACATACCTAGCCCTAGCAGCCGGCAAGTTTGCATTGAATGGGTACCGAACGGATCCGCTATGAAGTACGGAAGCATGCTAGTCGTGGTTCGGTTCAGGATATCAGCACACGGCACGAGGGACCAATATGTTCTTTGACTTAACCGCTCGGCGTGGCAGCCATGAGGTCGGAAGGGGCGGCCTCGTGTCCAGCGGGATTATCGGACAAGAAGGCATCCCCGGCGAGTAGATGGAGGAGCTGGAAAGAACTAGTACAGGAGGTTCGTCACTAGAATTATCTATCGGAATGATTAGACCTGTTCCCAGATTAGTTGTACGCTTGATGGAGGAGTGAGCAAAACGAGATCGAGGTTCCAGACCAAGAAAATTCAGGGCGAGAAAAATGCGAGAATTTGGCACTTCATAAATCGCCACGCACCGAATGTCGGTTTTCGCCTCGTTTCTTAAAAGAATCATTATAATACTAAAAACAGGTTGCGCAGGTATGTAATTGTGCACACCAGCGTCCCGCGGGGAATGTATTCACCAGAGAAATACATGAACCCACCGGGGACACTGGTTGCAGGGACAATATGATGCTGTAAGGTTTAGTAGGCTCCGCGACGACGGATAGTGCTAACTAGCTGCACTTTCTTCCGCACCTGTGCAAAGTATGAGCGCGACCCTAAGAGCAGGGCCAAAAATGAATACCTCGTTGGCAAACATCCTTCTCCACCTTTCACTGCTCAGACGTCTCCGCTTTACGCCCTTCTTTTCATGTCGTCTTTGCCGCGACACCTCCTGAGTTACACGATTCCGTCTGAGACGCGTTTGCAACCTCCTAAAGGCTTCACCCAAGTCTCCAGTCACAAACACTCTTCTCCCTGAACAAGTCGAAATCAGACGTAAGCACGACCTAGAGTGTTGGGGAACAAACCCGTATATGTATCAGCTGGAGGGTTGAAAGTTGCACTCTGACTCCGTTGGGCCCATAATTCATCCGGAGTGGGTGTGTGAGCTCTTTGAGCTGTTCCTGCCGTCCGTTCTATAGTTTCCTCAATAGCTTTTGCCCACACGCGGTCGTGGGTCTGGTTTTTGGGTCTGTCGAGCATAGCGGGTGGGTGACGGACGTCGGAGAGCATTCGAAACGGCAACTTAGGTCTTGGAGAAAAACCTCCTTTTGCAGTGCTGCTCAATACCGCAGATGTTATTCCTCGTAGCCAGGACATAGCAGCTGCAAAAGCGAAGGAGGTCGAGTCCAACAAACGTTTCAAAGCTTGACGTTTTTCGGACTCTTTCACCTTTTGACCATATTTGGTCAAAACTATGATCGGTAATCGGATAATTTCCTGAACACAAACGAGAGAGAGAGAGAAATTCCTGAACACAAACGATGTCCGCAGAGGTTCTTACTGAGGAGTTTGAGGTCTATTCCACTTGTTGCAGTACTTCATGTTGTGCTCAATACATGTTTAGGTACTTGAATCCATATACCCTACAGAGCTGTCCAGTTCGTCCCACCGATCTCAACCATAACCCAGTTCACTACTAAGACCCTTACCAAGTTGTTTCGGACAGGGAGATCCAGATCGATGTTGAACCTGATGAAATGATAGATGGAGAGCACCCCTGTGAGATTTGTCGTCAAACCTCACCATTACATAGTCCTAAAACCCTTTGAACAGTCAAACTACAGTTATCTGTCCATTACCCCGATGAATACCCTGACAGTCTGCCTCACCTGACATTGGTAGCGATCGAGGGTGAGCTTGAGGACGCCGAACATGACACTCTGTTGGAGAGTCTTACGGAAGTGGTGGGTGACGTCTTCCCGATGCTATGGCGTGCCTCATGGCGATCAATAGGGCGAAGAGAATGTTGGCATGGCCATGACATTCACCCTCGTCTCTCATCTTAGAGAACAGATGGCATCCCTTGTTCGTAAAAGGGCAGATGAAATCATGACTGAGGAAACAGAGAAGGAACGTCTGGCAATTGAGGTAAAGTTGGGTGTGCTATCTGGACAACAAGGAGTTCACATTACCAGGCGGAAGAAGCGAGGACTCGCGGAACCCCAGTCACAGTGGAGTCATTTAAGGCATGGAAGCTTAAATTTAGCCGCGAGACGGCACAACGGAAGACGAAAGACGAAGACGAAAGGCTGCGCGCACTCTCGCCCCGAGACAGGGAAGAATGGAAACGTGCAACAACTCGACCCACCGGTACATTCGATGTCTAGTATGTTTTGATGACGCCTTTCTAATTCCTGATTAGGTCGCCACCTATTTGAGCGCAACAAGAACTTGGAGCACGACGATGACAGCTTCGTGGAAGAAGGCACCGTTTCTGTTGACTTTAGTCCAGTACGACAGGAGCCAGCCGCGAGCACATGAAGATGACGATGATGACGGAGTGCATTTTAGCGATAGTGATTAGAATAAATAAGAATGTGAAATCTGACAGTATATCTGTTTTCCTCAGATTACAACCCGGCCAGCAATCCGGCCTCCCCCTCTGTACCCAAAATGATATCGCTTCCATCTAGTTCTTTGCACCCTAGCCTGTCAATGCCAACTTCCTTGAGGAAGCCGCCGTCTTCATGCAACGGTCGCCAATGCGGAGGCGAACAAACAAGGTCTTCTCCCGTTGCACGCAGCCATTCAAACACCGGGCGCTTGATCCATCGCCTGACCTGTCCCCACCCCTCGTCCGGTTCGAACCATCCGAGGTGCCCACCGTAGGGCGTCAGGGCCATAATTACCCATCCATTACCTCCCGCATCCATTGGCACATCCTGAACCACAGGATCATCTGCGGCGTTGATGGCTAGGAGTGGGATTTTTATCTTGTTAAGCACCTTGTGGCTTGATGAATATTCATAATAATCGTTGGCTGATGCGAAGGGCCAGGGAGGCGAAGAACCGCCAGCAATTCTTGTGAAGTGTTCGTCAAACATGTCGATCGTGGGTTTAGTGAGGCCGATGGTCATGGCGGCAGCTTTAGCGACATCGTGGTCGGAGGCAAAAGTGCCCACGTGTCGCTTCAGAAGATTAACCAAATTTCGGCCCATGCCCTTCGAGTAAATATGACGTCCTATGTACGTTGACAAGAGCCTGACCAACGTTACGAAACGGATCCGGAAGAAAGATGTTGGACTTACTTGGAGGCATTCGCCGACAAGTTCCAAGGCTTCCTTGATAAATGAAATTGTCACCGCTGAAGCTTAAACCTGAGAAGCACGTACACATCCGAGAATACATGCCGATTTCAAACGGCTAAGTTCTCCTTCCTCAGCGACATACCGTGTCATAACGTTCGCTCCTAGGGAGAAGGACAGACCCAATAAAGGTGCTTCCGGGTACCGGTGAGATATATAGAATAAAGCTTGGCGGAGGTCATCTGTATGGCCAGCGGAGTAGAGTTGTGGGCTCGTGACCGGAACGCCTGCGCCTGCGGCATAGTTAGTCTCCATGTCAATATGTCCATTCAGAATGTGAACTGACATCCGCGGAAATTAACCACGACCGCACGATATCCAAGTCCACCCTGGTGAGCCGACATGCAGGCGGGAGCGAGAACGGCTCTCACGTATGATTCATATGAACCTTGAGAAGATTCGCGAGATTAGATGATGACTGTTTATCTCGTAGAAGTCTCGCGTACCCCCAGTGAGCCCGTGCAAAACCACGATGATTGGAGTGTCGGGCGGCAAATGGCTATCATCCACTGGTGTGAAGTCCAGACCTCTAGTTTATATTAGGCATATCATTGCACACAGACGCCTGAAAAGTGGAGATGAACTTACAGAGTTCCGCCATCAAGCAGGCGGAGAAAAGTCCTAAGTTATCACGTTAGAGTCCATCGTCGAACCTTCATGCGAACGTAGTCACCGTTTATACACTACCTTATCTCTCTCTGAGAAATCTCCGAGGACACAATAGAGAGTTTGGGTATGGCCGCTGACTTGGAGTGAACAACTCTGTAAGCTCAATAATAATACTTTGGCGTACTTGGGCAACCACCACGCGGGACGGAACTCCGAATGAAGTGAGGGGCATCGTCGCTCCACAAAATCGCGTAGAAAAACGCTGGTCGTGGTTGACTGTTGTTCTTTTGTGGTTACCAGAGCAGATTCTTCGGGATATCGTACGTCTGCGGTATAACGTGCGTTCCAAAAGTTGAAAAATCCACTCATAGGCTACAAGAGAATGTTATAATAACGAGATGGGCTATGGACGGTTGAACAGAGTAAGCGTTGCTTGCAGCCTGCAGGAACTTCCAGGAAGGACAAACAAGAGCAATAAAGTAACACAAAAATCTGTACCGGGTGAGTAGGTTTCGTAACGCGAGGCGATGAAACCGGAACCAGTCAATTGTGAGAAGCCTGAATCGGCGCCTTTACAAGGTGCATTCTGTCCTCGTGCAAAGAAATCAGAGCGCGCGCTGCACGATATCTTTATGATATCGATTATGATTTACCAACTTTGTGTGAAAGCTGAACCATGAAAGCTGAAAACTAGATTTTCAGACGCGTCAGCCGCGTAGCAAATCACAAGATAGGTGATCTGGCTCTTTCATGCATCAGACAGGGGATGGTAAACAATAAGGCCCCGATAATTGTTTGAAGTCGCCAGCTCATCATCATTGGAGATTTAGATGCCAAACTAACGGTGAGGTGCAGCGGAAGCATCGAAGAAGCTTGGGTCACGCGTGTTCCGTCACGCCCCATACCACCAGCATCACAACTATAAAGCTTTCTTCTTCGCCCTTCTTCCTATTCTTCCGTGCCCACTCTCAACCACCACAGCAAACATCTCTCTTGCTGTCAAAGGTAGCTTGGTGCCCGATATCATGTCGCTCTACAAGACAATGCGCTGTCGTGTACGTACCTCTCCCCGGTTCTATCTTGATTGATCTTTTGCTGACGCGTTAGACGCGTCCGCTGGGTTGCCCGCCGTGTTCACAGTATTTTGACGAGCATGGTAAGGGTGTCAAGCCGTTCTGCAACCAAGGGAGTCGCTGTCGGTACGCGTCGTGCTCTTCCATCTCACCATATGCACGTCCTAAATTGGCGATCTGCAGGTTTATTCATCCGTCTGATTTTCAATGGGACAAGGGCCGCATCAATCCCGAAAAGACTTTCCATAATGATACCAAATCCGATAAAATCAAGGTCAAACCAAAACACAAGCCGAAAGCATCATCAACGAGTCCTATACCACGAGGTCCGCGTTCATCGCCGCTCGTGCCGCAGTCTGACTTGTTCAGACGAAATCATGGCGAGCTCGATAGAGAGCGTGGTCGCGACCGTGAAATTAAAGCTGTTCAACGTGACCAACGTGACCGCCGTGAACGGGACTTCGAATCTTGGGAACGTTACGTGCGTGACCGCGATCGCGATCGCTCCAGGGATGTCCGCCGGTCTTCCCGGGAGAGAGCTGACGAAGAGAGGGGGCTGTATTCTTCCAAGCGCTCCAAGAAAGCTGAGGGGGTTGGTATTCTATGTTCGCTCTACGGATGACAAGATCTAATTCGACGCATATCAGCATATATTCCGGTCCTCGATGATGGACTCGGATGATAATCCCGAGAGCGGCAGTCGTCACGGTAAAGGTCGTCCAGATGCGTCAGAGATGACGCCAGGAAATCTGTCCTTTCAGTCGAGGGACGACAAAAAGAGGTCCATAGAAGTCGTTGGCGAGTTCTCTCCTCGTCTTGCAAAGTAAGAGATCTTTGTGATTCATGCATATGGGGAGACTAAAAAGCAACAGGCTGTGTAGCCAGCTGGTTCAAGATTCATGTCAGCTTGACAAGGAAGAGGACAAACTGAAGGCATTTACGGAATTGTCGTCCGAGCTTTCTAAAGCTGCGCCGTCGACTGCGATGGCGGTGACCCCTGCTTTGGCGGCTGTTATAACAAGTCACGCGAAATGCAAAGAGCGCGTCGCAGCGCGCGTTAGAGAACTGGATTCTCTGTGGGAGAATCTCCTGTCAAATATTGTGACGGCCGTCGTCAAAACAACAGATATCAATTTGGAGCGCGCCATCGCATCACTGCATAAAGAAACGGATGCAGCTTTGCAGTCATATGTTCGATCTTACAGTCCGCTCTTGCTCAAACGGAAGGCACAGGACCAATCACGGGGGGAACTAGATGGCCTACTGGAGTTGAAGGACGGGCGGGAAACTCCAGTCGGTGACGATGGAGAAAACGGTGCAGTGGCCGCTGTACATGCATTGTCGCGGTCGCCAGAGTTGAAACGTCGTCGTGTGGAATCATCCGCGCCGACAGCGGTTCCCGTAAAGGAGGAAAGCGTCGACTATAGAGGTTTACTGGAGACGATGAAGTCGTCTTTGGCTGTGCAGGCACGATTCACACAAACATTAGAGTTGCTTGCAAAGGAAAAACAACTGGTAGGTGGACAGTCCGGATGAGAAATAGCAATAAGAACGTTGCGGCTGAAGTCAATTCCTCAGGATGGCTCACCTGATTCAGATTGTTGTGCGGCATCGATCGCATCTGCTCGTCGAGATTCTTCTGCTGAACGGATCGCCGCGATGGAGGTGGAGGCAGTGCCCTGATGCAAAACCCTCCGCCCAGACAAAGCACTCCCATCATACGTGTAATAAAAGACGCCCACTTGCATTCTCTCGCATAGATCTGCTGATTGTAATTTTAGCATGCAGCATCGTTTCGTGATCCCACCTGTAGCAGCGTTTTAGAGGCGTGGCCCAATGTACCCTGTATTTTTGTTCGACTTGGCGTTTGTCTTGTCCTGTATCCTTAGAGCCACCGTATCATGCATGTCACATTTTTAGACGAAAAACGTTTCTAACTATGAACTGATTGTGATGGAGAGATGGTGAGGTTGCGAAGGTCACGTGTGACGCGTACTTGAACGTTTTTGTGTTGGTTGTGCATGTCGTGAACAGCCAACAGCCTGCCAGCTTTGGTCTTATCAGCTATATTAATCAAGGCCCAAGGACGCTTCCTGCCTTTTCACCGTGCTGAATGTCTTACGGCTCTCCGTTTCACGTCCATGGATATTTCAACAACCGTGGACAATTTGATGAGCGCCGACACTACCAATTCCCCTGCTTCTACAGAAACCTCCGACAGCGATGCTGTCAATTGCTCGACCGCGAGAGTATACTTTGGTCCAGTACAGTCGCCGGAGAAGAGACTCATCGCTAGCGAGGTCACACGAAGGCGTGCACTCAATGGCGCCGTCGACTCTCCCATTCGTTCATCGAGACTGTCTGCTTTCCACGTTCCGTCGTCACAGGAAATCACGGACGTACCAGATGAAGAAGATGAAAGGAGCGACGAAGATGCAGATGAAATCTCTGATGTGGCTGCTCATCTTTCTCGTGAAGACACGCCTGAGAATGATGCTTTGGGCCAGAACGGTAAGCTCTGCTCGTCTGCCTCTTGCAGCTAAATTACAAACATGAGCTCCCAGAACCCTCCTCCGTTCTTGCAAGCCGAATCATGCGAGCTTGTGACAATCCTTCCCCTCCTCCTCGGGCTCATCCGACCATATACTTTGGTCTTCTGACGAAGGACGGACGAACTCCGTTCCCAGATATATCTGCACCTCCTAGCCCGTTTCGCCCCATAAATTTGCGTGAGAGACTGAGCCAGTTCGCCGAGACAGAACGTGCTTTGTCGCCTCAACCTGCTCAGCTTCAGGCTTCCAATGATCAGCATTCGCCTCTACAGGATTTTGCTGGTAACATTTCTCAGCCCGATCTCATCTCATTTGAATCTTGTTCCACTCTAGTCAAGACGCTCCCTGCGGAACCTTCTGCAGAAGGACATCCCCGCGGCTCTCCAATTCAAACTTCATCCAGTATAGATGATCTACTCTCGCAATCCCCACAGCATCCTTCTATCATACCTACCCCTCGTGTAGATGGCGTAGAACAGTCGAGTTCCTCGGACAGCCTTGATGACCTTCCTCAGGGGCGCGTGCCGGCTGATGCAGAATCTAGACCACCACCACCTAGTTCTCCTTCGCCGTTAGTCGCCACCTGCGCCACCCCAGATATCCTTAAGGAACGTGCAAGATCATCTGTACGGCGATCTGCACGCCTTAGTGGGACTCCACGCCCCAACCAAATCACCCACGCACAGCAACTCTCGGAAACGCCGAAACTCAAAGGAAAATCGAGGGCCATAATGCTTGCTCCCGAGGGAGAAAAGCCCATAGCTCCGGATGAGCAAATGGTTGTTCGTGGTAACGCAGATCCTTACCCTGACATCCAAAGATCTACGGAAGACAAAGAGAGGCGAAGATCACGCAAACGGGGATTAAATGGCAAAACGGACACTCCAAATTTGCAAAGAGAATTGGGATCCCTTTCTCCTCAGTCCGCGGATGTCTTAACGCGTTTGCTGCCATCTCAGCGATCTACGCCACTCCCAGAGGGGCAGTCTTCGCAACCACAACGTGAACTTTCTTTCGGATCTTTGGATCCTCCATTGTTGACACCACAGAGGCCAAAATTAAATTCTCAGCACCCAAACTTCTCCTTGGCCACTGTACAGCGGCCACTGGTTGTCGCTCCAACGCCCGTTCGTCCGAACGGAGGACTACCGGGTTCTTCCTCTCATCTCAAATTTTCCTTGACCGTCGACGATGCATCTCGCACACCAGCGAGGAGGGTGCCAATTCAAGACGTCTTCGTGCAAGGCTCTGCATCTTCGCAAAATGTGATGCTACTGTCTGCGAAACGTGATACATCGACACGGTTGATGGGCACGCGCGGACCAGTATTTTCGCGTCCCGCGTTGGATGATCCATCCCGTAGTCCCGCTAAACGTATTCTAATTACGGATCTCAACAGTCCCATGCGCTCCCCAACTCGACCAGCCGCTGGGAGGGCCCGAAGTACCTCAACGGAACCGAAACCCATCGTCCCTCAACCTCTCCGAAGTCGTTCTGTTGACCCATCACCCCGCGCCCCTGACAGCAAAGGCAAAGAGCCTATGTTCCCTAAACTTTCTTCCAAACCAAGATCTGGAGCCAAACTACCGTTTCCCCTTGTGCCTGGACAGAAGGCGGGGACGGATCTCCCGCATTCTATCCCTGAAGAGGCTGAAGGATCTGAGGTCGGAGAACATTCGATTGCTAATCATGCGGAATCGTCGTCCAGTCCTGTGAAGTCTAGCTTGAAAAAGCCCTCTACTGGTAGTCGCATACCAAGAATTGGCGCCAAGCCTTATGCTAGACCACAGCCAAAGAAACCTATTTCGTCTACAACCCTGCCTGCCTTTGGTGCAGGACCGGTAAGTCATCCATCCAGACGATTTATTGTCGGATTGCATTGACGTGAATTGTGTTCATCAGCATGCCCCACCTGTCGTATTAGTTGCCACTGGCGATGCCAGTGGCAATTCCGACGAGCCCCGTACCATCGTCCCGCCACCGAACCGCAAATTAGAGGTGAAACCTGTAGCAGAGCCATCAGTGCTCTCGACACTTAAGCGAAAACGTGGCGCAGAAGAGACTGTCATATCTCTCCCTACTCACCCTGTGATGGTACGCCAGGTTGTCCCTGGAATGCTTGGGACCAAGTATGCCCCCAAGGCAGTACCTGAACTCCCGACAATGGCTCCCTTGCTCCCAGAACCGAGTCCTAAGAAGCCACCAGGTCCTGTCAAGTTCCGCAAAGTTGAGCCTGGGGTCATATCAGCACGTTATGCAACCCCCGCCGCCAAACCAGCAGCATCTGACACCCTTCCCGTCGATGACAGCAACAGTGGCCCACAGCTTCCGGTGCTGTCTGAGGTGCCGAGCACCAGATCACCTTCACCTCCCATTGCAACCTCCTCGCCTGCACTACCAGAAAGCGAAACGGTGAAGTCATCGCATGATGATATTGAGCCCCAAGAAATAGCAGATACATCATCTTCTCGCCGACCACAAGAGAACCGAGGTCAGGGTCGTCGAACGTCTCGACGCAAGGCTGCAGCGCAGCACGCCAACGACGTTTTCGCCCCCTCCACATCAACCCAACCTCTGCAGCTCCGACGTTCACGGCGTTCCGAGGGCGACGGCTTCATGGGGATGACCGCAATCGCTCTCCAAGCCCTCACTACTTCCAACACCACAAAGAACCAGCAAATTTTCGCTAAGCTGGAAAGGGAGGTGATTCGTAAAGATGGTACCAGGCCAGAGAGCCCTACCGTGAAGGTTCGGACAATATTGCAAAAGGAGAGAGAGATGAAGGATCAACAACGACATGAACGGGCTAAACGGAGGGCGAGACGGAGTGATGAGGGGCTCGGGTTGAGCGATGGTGAAGGTGCTAGCGAACTGAGTGATCAATCCATGATCGAACTCGATAGAGAACATGATGAAAACGATGGGGTGGTGTGGACGAGGCATCGTAGGGGACCGGGAGAAGTGGAGGATTACGAAACGCCAGACCGGCCGGTCAAACGTTTGCAGTTTGGGGACGGCTCTCAGGAGGAGGAAAGGGAGCGCAAACGGGTGAAGTGGCAGCATGGGTTGTCCACAGAAATTTATCTGGATGAGATCCATCCTCGACCCAACTCGTGGACCAAGGACTTTGTCATTGAGAAAAGCTGCTTAGCTCCGACATCCAAGGTACGTGGCTAGCAGGCAGTCACTACGTTCTTACTCATTCCCTTCAGAATCTTCGCTTAGACACTCTTGGCAACCTAGTGGATGTCGAGCAGCATCCACTTATCGACCTTCACCCAGAGAATATCGTGGTGAAGAAGTATGTGTATGACAATGACATTGAGATTGAGGTGGTGAAAGAGGTTATACCCCCGAAAATCACCAGGTCGAAGAGCAAGAAGATGAAGAGTTAGCCCAGCTGCATATTCTATTCACCCTCTAATGCATATTTGTCGATACTGTCGTTGCTGAATCCTTATCGCCTTTCCTCTAACACATGCTGTCATTTGCTTCCATCGACGTGTAGGGAATGTCTATGATACAATGTCTTCGAGTATCAAAACAGAATTGAGTTCTACAGCCTCGGCGCCCTGTAGTTGAGGGTTGCACTAGCTTGGTTCACCGGGAGCACGAAAACTTCAGCGAGATTGACATGTGGGGGGCGTGATGCAGCCCAGACGATCTCTTCTGCAATGTCCTCTGCCACCACTTTGTGGTATGTGAGTATGGGCGGGTTATGGGCGTAGTAAATCACTCACGAGGCTGAAGCCCCTCGTAGACCTTGTCTGCTGCGGACTTGTCGCCTTTGAAACGAATGACAGAGAACTCGGTCTCTACCATACCTACCAACAACTTGAGTATAGCTCTGGCTGCGATGATAGATTCATTTACCAGGCTGGATTTCGGTGACACGAATGGGAGTGTCGACAAGCTCCTTCATGAGAGAGCCAGTAAATGCGCTGACAGCATGTTTGGTTGCGCAGTAGAGGCTGCCTCCAGGGTAAGCTTCTCTGCCCGCGATCGAACTAAGGTTAATGACATGTCCAGTCTTTCTCTTCTTGAAGTCTACGAAGCCAAATGAAAATTATACTAATCAAGGCCTGAGATACGCACCCTTGATGAACAACTGGGTCAGGGCAATCAAGCCAAACACGTTCGTTGCGAACATGCCCTCCATGTTATCCATAGACAAGTCACCAACTTTTTCCACACCCACGACATATCCAGCATTGTTGACTGTAATCTCGGATGTAAGAAAGCGACTACCATGACGTATTGTGTATACTCACCGAGGATATCGATTTCGCGAAGATCAGCAGGTATCTTCTCTAGGAAGCCGTTGATTTGACTTCTGTCAGAAATATCGAGTTGCACGGTAACGAATTTGCCGCCATGTTGTAGGCCGGCTTCTTTGTGAGCAGCAGTACATTCATCTGCAACTTTTTGTAGTGCATCCGCTCGGCGAGCGGTAAGTATAACATTGGAACCTCCCTGCGATAACGATGAATGATTAGGAATAGGGCAGATCATGACGGACTACCTTGGCAAACAATACAGCGGTGGCCTGTAGAGAGTCGATCAGTGCCACTATTGTCTACGTGACCTAGGTTTGTACACACCGCTCCGATACCAGAACTTGCTCCAGTGATAAGGACTGTCTTGCCAAGAAGGCGAGATGCATTGAAGACAGACATGTTTCGAGTAAGAAATTGCAAAAAGGTTGAATTTAATGAACTTGCTGGGTGAACGCGCGCTCTACGATGGATATCCGAATGCAAGAGATGCACGAGGATCTAATAAATCTCAAGGACATGCTGTCGCGGGGCCGGAAATTCCATCATGGACGGTCCGAAGATAGACGCGGAGAGCCGCATATGTTAACAGTCCCATAACCTCACATGCTAGGAATATCATCAACGATACCACGATGGCGAGTATTTCAAAAGCACAATCGTCGTCGTCGAACTATCGGTGGTCCAACCTGCTGGCATGGTTGAGGACTTGTGGAATGAAAGTAGGAGCAGATGACTTGCTTGTTGAGTGCAAAGAAACGCCCAGTTGAGCCACCAATTGATTCACCTCGTTCGGCGGTCACCGCTTGATCTAACATCCGTCTGGACACACAGCTGCTGGGAATGGACTTTTTGTTCGAACGTCGTGTCCTGTGAGCTTTCGCGTGGACAGAATGGGGATCCATGCCCTGATAATATTAATCGTGACAGCCATCATCCCTACTATTTGTGGTGCCACCTCAGGCATTGATGAATATTAAGACGTTAAAGTCCCTCCATCCAACGTCTGGACCCACGCCATTGACAGCTACGCAAATGATATCTCTACATCTGTGTATCAACCGTCCGCATGGAAGCGAGGATTCTCCGGACCCTCACTATGGTCCATATATCTCGACCTTGCCTAGGGAGTTTGATAGTCATCCTTTGACTTGGCTTGTGCGATCAAAAAGTGGCATAGAGTCCGGAGGGGTCCCACTGCTTGGATATCTCCCGCCGAGTGTCCGTGCATCCTTGGTTAAGCTGCATGACCGATTTTGTCAAGACTGGGCTGCAGTGCGAGCGTACTTGGTGGGAGTTACCCACTATTGCACTCGGTTTCATTCTCTAAAGTGATAGCAGACTGCGAATTCCTATGTTTCCTCAAATTATGACGCCCATTTGGACGATGTCGATGGTTCTACTCGCAATTACGCGTGGGCTTGGTTGAATGGCACGTATTTTCTGTATGAATGAAACTCCCTCATCTACATCGCCTCCAGTCAATACTCGCTGCATATATTACCGCCTTAAACCATCGAAGGAAGATCCTGATAATCTGACTTTATGTCCCATCCTCGACTTTGCCAACCACACCCCAAATGGGTTGCATATGACTCCAGTTCCATCAGAGGCCGATATTTGGGACACTGCGCCGGTCAAGCCGATTGGGAAAGGATTTAGATTCGTCTCTCCGGCCGATGAATCTGTTCAAGAGGGCGAGGAGATCTTCCTGACTTACGGGGCCCATCCTAACCGCACGCTGTTCATTGAATATGGATTTGTCAACAAGTCATCAGCCGAACCAGACGTTACGGATGGCGAAGTCGATGTGCAAGATGTGGTGGAATCCTTGATACTTGACCAGAAATCCGGTGCTTTCGTCAAAAGCGTCCTCGAAGACGAAGGGTATTGGGGGTACGTAACTTTTGAATTCCTGGTCAAGTGATCTGCCTCATTAATTTCCCGTAGAGACTGGACCTTATATTGCTCGGCGGAATCAGCGCAGCCGTCATGGCGCTTGATAACAGCACTAAGGCTTCATCATCTCGTTGTCAACAATAATATCCACGATAACGCCATTCAACCATGGCGCGATGTCATAGCGGGCAAACAAGAAACGATATCTGTCGGAAACGAAATCGCTTGGAAGCAGTCGTTGATCACAATTTGCGATACACTCATCACCAGAGCCCAGACCAGTCTGCGCTATCTGAAGAGTGACGATGCCGAGATGTATAGTGACGGTTGGCTTCCCTGGATGCGCGAGAATATACGGACGCTTTGGAGGGAAGAACTATTGGTAGCCACGGTCGTAAAACAGTGTATCCTAAGGGGAGATGATTTTTGACTTGATAGGTACCGCGGAGAACCACGTTGCTTTCGCCTGAGGATATATTCATCGAAGGTACTATGTATTGGGGATCATCTGGCATTCAGACACTTTGCAACATCCTGTCTCATTAAATATACCATCTGGTCACAAATCATTGTAGACCTATCATATATACATTAATACTACGAAGTTGGATCATCGAAGCCAGGGGAGAGATAACACAATCGAGATCATCGTTAAGACGGAGGCAGAAGTCACATCAGAGCCTCATCACTAACGGAGCACAGCGTCACAGGACAAGGTGCATTAACTTGCCGGTGATGTGACTGTCCGACTGAGTGGTAACTGATGGTGCATCGACGAAGGTCGTGAAGGGCAGGTGAATGTCGCATGATAACACTTTAACTCTTGCCGAAATGACCGCGCTAGACTCCATGATGTCATCCCAAGTAATATCCATGTGTTGCGATATTACTTGCTTGGCAAGGAGGTACAAACTGGATGAGGTCAGAGTGGTGATACTAGCTTCCAAGACTGAAAGTATCCTGCAAAGCGCGAGGACGTACGTCATACAGGTCATAGCATCACTAGAGGAGCAGCAGCAACTACCGTCACTGATTCCGTCGTCCTCATCATTGGGATGGGAGTTAGAGGTGAAGAAGACGTCTCAAGGAAATGTGCCGACGATAAAGTGTCAGCACAAGCATCAACTCTGTCGATGCACTTTGCCATTCAGTTGCAACGTCATACTTAACCAAGAAGTTAACTGCGTTGCTTGCCGTTAGCGTGACAGAGCTACAAAGCAAAATATCGGTAATAGCACCGGTGGTACTACATCATCCAGAGCTTCTTGAGCGCTTTATTAATATTGCGAGATTAGTGCATAGCAATGATACACATGGAACGAACCATTACTAGTATGTTGGACGTCATACCAGACTGCCCAAGATCGAATATTGAATATTGAAGTACGACGCTGATTTCCCTAACCGGCGACCCACCCCAATCTTGGCGGCTCTGGTCAAAGTATAGCACGATTCGGACACGATTATTGACGACCGACGGATTCTGTTATACCACGCTCAGTGCATACGGTGTTGAGCACGTTAAGAAGCAAACAGCAAATTCAGGTGCACAGGAAGGTTAGGTACAGGAAGCAAGACACAGCCACACGGGAACTCACAAGCGAACAACTTGAAACGTTCGGCGCTCACCGACTTTTCTTATTCTTCCAGCTAAAGGCTTGAAGCTTGACGAGCCTACTTCACCATGGCTATTGAACCACTATTTGGGACGAGAGCCCAACAGGCTTTCATCATCACAAGTACGTTTTCATCTTACTATCCTTGTGATATTGTCATTTAACGGAACCTCTGCCACAGTCGCAGTCCGTTAGTCGTTTCGTTGAAGCTTCTTGATCGAGGTTTGACCTAGGTGCTCATAGAGGCCATTGTGGTGATAACCATGGTTGCGTTGACGTTCGGCATAGTAAGTATCTATACTTGCAGTCGAAACGAGACGTCTACTAACCAGCAGATGTCAAGGTTCGAGCCGAAGTAGGATCCTCCTTTGAGGAGCTTGGATACAAGGTACCTTTCTCCATACATAATTAGCAATCTGAACTGCTCACTTTTTGAAGACATTACCATGCTATCTGGCCCTTTTTATTTTGGCAGAGTATGTGGTTACCCTCACAAACTCCCGGTTGTTGACAGTAGCGCAGGATATTCGAATTGCTAATGGCATTCGACGCTCTACGGTCACGGAACATTATCCAGCTCATGGGGATTGTTCGTGAGTTGTAATGTGGTCGAAGATGCTTCCTCCTTTCTGAATACTTCGTAGTCTTTCATGCAGCCCTCATCGTTTTTTCTGCTCTCCAAATTCACGAAACCCGCGTCGCTATATTTGGATGTCAGGCTCCTTGCACCACAGATCCCAATGATCTATGGAATAAGGTCCAACGTTTCCTGATCGTCTCACCCTGTATAATTGCTGCATCGTGGGTGTTTTTGATATTCTGGATCAAGCAGCTGTACGCTGAGTTCGGGTACGGTCTCATGCTTATTGCATGTAGCGTTCATTACTGAGATTCATGTAGATGGGTTATCTTCCATGTCGTGGGGGCAAACCCAAGATTCAAGTGTGAGTGAAATGTTCATTTTTCTTGATGATTTGGCGTTGACTCGGAGCAGCCATGTATCAATTCTATCAGATCTTCATCTGCTTACTTAAATTCGACTTCTTCTGTTTCGTGGGGGTGACTATGCAGGTGATGAATCATGGTTGTTTAAGATTATGCAGGGACTGAAAATCAGCAGCTTCTTATCGTTGTCCTCAGCAGCAATTCTGCTGAGTTTGGGGTCACTGTCGCTGCAATTCCTGTGGTTGTAATTCTTTTGGCCGGCTGCGCACGTGCTGTCAAGCACGAAGTCAGGTGGTACGATGGTTCCAGCTATCCGCTTCACATGATTATCTGAACCGTCTGCTAGGATGATGATGATTGCCCTCGTGTTGATGGTGGCTGCGATGACCTATTGTGAGGTGTTTTGTCTTGGTGCATTGACTAGCAACTGATGGCACATGTTAGTCTGTACGTGTATGACACGCGTTGATTGTCTCGCGAGTTGACACAGCCCCTAGTATACAAACTTGTTCGCTTCTACGAACCTTCCTCGGAGCAACAGTATTATTCAACTCGCGCCACATTGACTGTCTTCAGTAAGTCATGTACACTGATCTGTTTCATCACGACGCTAAGCCCCATCTGGCTGCTATAATTAGCCGTCGTCGCCTTCCTGCTCCTCTTGTGCTCGTTCGCGATAGGAATCAAGTGCCTCCGTGACTTTGACAAAGGGCTCCATGAGTCTAAGACGCATGGTCAGTCCTACACCCCTGTCAAGACGCAGGTCATCGACGTGTTCAGAATGAGTGATTAACTTTTTTCCTTAGACCTCGGCAAGAACTCACGGTACTTATCTTCCCCAATCACCCCAGGGGGCATGACAGAGCGCCAGTCGTCATATTTCCCGGGCGGTGCTCCTCTTCAGCAACAGATATCCATAGAGTGATCTATGACTCATGCCCGGTACAAACATCACAATGAATTGAGACTACGATCATGACGACATGGACAAGATTTGCTCTACATATGTAACGATCTGCTCTTCGTCTTTTGGAAGTGGAGATCTCCTTTGTGTTATTTAGTGTTTTGGACTACAGCTTTTCGTAATTCCTGTCACAATATACCCTATCGATTTCCACCGCTGTGTCTGAGCATAATAGCGATAAGAGAATCGGGGCGGAAAAACTGGAACTCCAAGCTGTAAGAAGGTGAGAGGTAAGACACGAACTTCGATCGCGGATAAGGAGACTAATATTTACAAACCTATGTAAGACACGAGCCTGAGAGGCAACTAAGTAAGTAATGTAGTACACTATGAATAGAGAATACACGCCTCAGTCGCGAGCAACGAGACTGAGGTGTATGAAGGAGGGCTAACCCCTCAAATATGTAAGAAAATAAAAGTACCGTAGAATGTCTATTAATTATATACCACAATGTCCTTTGAATCACCCTGGATCACCCTCGAGTCTTCACCGGTCTTGACACAAATAACTATCTTCACGCCAAAGTTCAAAGTCCCATCATAGAAAGCAATGGAATCTTCTTCATCTTCTTCAGTGCGTCGACGGCGTCGGGGGCTTTCATGCGTAGCCTTGCATCGTCTTGCCAGCATGCTTCAATAAGTCTTGTGATGGGTTTTTCCAATCCTTCGAGCGAGGGTCTCCTTCCTGCCCTCAGACACTTGATTAGTTCCTCTCCTTGGAAAGGAATGTTTCCGGTATAAATCTGGAGGGAGGTGAAGCAGGGAAGAACGATTCGAACAGGACACAACCACTTGCCTCGTATAGCACACAAGCAAATGCGTACATGTCAGTTTCCAGCGTCATGCGCAAGACATCCGTGTTTCCAAAGAAAATCTCTGGTGCAGTCCACTGCAGCGTTTGTCGACGGCCGACGTCGGTAGAATCCAGTATTTTACGACTATCATCAGACATCGAGACTCCGAAGTCGGCCAGGCAAGCATTCTTTCGATCGTCGACCAAGACATTGCACTGTATGAAATGAGCCTGAGAACATTTCTGACAGGAGAAGTACTCACTCCCTTGAGATCACTATGAACGATAGGCGGATCGAGACTGTGTAGATAAGAGAGACCTTTTGCAACCCCTGCTGCCTATACAGAAAACCAATGGTCGATAAGGGTTGCTGATAGTATCGAGTAAGATAACTTGCCAGATGGCGAAGATCGCAGTGTTCCCTGCCCGTATGCTCGAGGTACGATCTCACGTTACCATTGTACATGAACGGTGAAACGAGCCACAACCTTTGGTCTTGTTCTATGACTCCTTTGAATGTCACGATGTTGTCGTGTTTCAAGTGACTCCAAATCACTGCCTCGCTCACAAAGTCCTGCATGTAAACAAGTAAATGGGGGTTAGATTGACGAATGAGAAACTACTCACTTTGCGACACTGGCCAACGGCTCGGTAGTGCGATCGCTTGATGGCAACAGCTTGATGATTATAAGATGCTGTGTAGATAGTTGCGAAACCGCCCTCCCCAACAACACGCATCAGATGTGGCACTACTCCATCCAACAGCAACTGGCATGGCAAACGACCAGATTTTCGTGATAGTCGAATGGTATATCTCAAAAGCCGTGCATGTGTGGCATGATCAATGGCAGTATCTCGCAGGATCTGTGTATGAGAAATCAATCACTGAATCAAGGCAAAGGTGTGGAGATATACGTCTTCAAGCAGATCGACCATATTCTGTGCTTGGTTGTCTGCAAGGCCGTAGAACTCATTTTCATAATCTCTTCCGCACAGAACCAGGAGGATACGAAGCACTTCCCCATCATCATAAGGAACGGTGCGTTTCGGTGTAAACTTGACTGAAACATGTACTGGGCACCGATCTTTCTCCTGTCAGGAAGATGTGAAAAAAGTGACCTGGCTGAAATTGAGACCTACAGTTCGATCCAAGAGGCCCATCAAAACATCCTTGATGGTCCGATACTGGGTTAATACCATAAGGTCATTGTGATACCAACTTCTCCACTCTGTGACTTTCTGTTGCAGCTCGTTCAGTAGCCTAGAATGTGTCAACTTTACGAATCGCATAGCACAGGTTGCCTTACGATCTATTGTTCGCGCAGCGTTTCAGGTGTGCATAGGTGTAGACCATCAAATTCTGAAACACGATTCTGAGCTTCTTTCAGTATTTGCACAAAGAATGGAAGTACTTGGTACACTTTGACACTGTTGACGTATTCGCAGCATATTTGCTTGTCTTCCTTTGCGAGCTCGCTGGATTTCTCGATTTTTCCAAGAAGCTTGTCGCGTAATTTACCGAGCTGTCGTCGCCATGGGTCTGAGTCCGATGGACCGTGTCTGAAACCCGGTGCGATCGAGGGTGGGTTGAATGCCGGAACGACGGCTGGTGAATGCCCAGCATGCTGCAGGCGACGACATCAGGGCATATATCAATTGAATCATCGTGTACACCGACTTGGGTATGCCGCTTCTGTGGCTTTGACATATGAGCATTATGCGCGACCAAGGGTGGGTTGAGTGCCGGAACGACGGCTGGTGTATGCCCAGCATACTGCAGGCGACGACATCAGGGCATATATCAGTTGAATCATCGTGTACACTGACTTGGGTATGCCGCTTCTGTGGCTTTGACATATGAGCATTATGCGCGACCAAGGGTGGGTTGAGTGCCGGAACGACGGCTGGTGTATGCCCAGCATACTGCAGGCGACGACATCAGGGCATATATCAGTTGAATCATCGTGTACACTGACTTGGGTATGCCGCTTCTGTGGCTTTGACATATGAGCATTATGCGCGACCAAGGGTGGGTTGAGTGCTGGAGCGACGGCTGGCGCATGCCAAGCCTGCTGCAGGCGACGACATCAGGGCATATATCAATTGAATCATCGTGTACACTGACTTGGGTATGACGGTTCTGTGGCTTTGACATATGAGCATTATGCGCGACCAATGGTGGGTTGAATGCCGGAGCGACGGCTGGCGCATGCCAAGCCTGCTGCAGGCGACGACATCAGGGCATATATCAATTGAATCATCGTGTACACTGACTTGGGTATGACGGTTCTGTGGCTTTGACATGTGAGCATTATGCGTGACCAAGGGTGGGTTAAATGCCGGAGCGACGGCTGGTGCATGCCAAGCCTGTTGTGGACGACGACATTAGGACATATAGCAATCGAACCATCGTGTATACTGACTGGAGGATGATGGTTCTGTGGCTGTGACATATGAGCATTATGCGCGACGAAGGGTGGGTTGAAGCCCTGAGTGACGGCTGGCGCATGCCAAGCCTTCTGATGATGGTTCTGTGGCTGTGATATATGGGCATTATGCGCGACCAAGGATGGGTTGAATGCCGGAGCGACGGCTGGCGCATGCCAAGCCTGCTGCGGACGACGACATCAGGGCATATATCAATTGAATCATCGTGTATACTGACTTGGGGATGATGGTTCTGTGGCTGTGACATATGAGCATTATGCAGGTACGGTCGATGCGATGGAGCGTGATGACTGGGCGTAGGTGCCATCATGCTGTTTCGGCATTGATGAACTGCCCACAGCTCCTGTGGAACACTAGCCCTGCATCGAGGACATTCGAGTCTCATTATGAACTGAGTGATAGTGAAGTGGAGTGAAGTAAATTGGATGTGAATGTGAATACTGGAAAATCAGTTCACGAGTTGGGCCTTTTATGACCGACCTCGTATCAGGAACAAACACGAGCATGAGGAAGACCCCTGAGGGCTCTGTCAATGATGACGGGTTCTTTGCAACCAAACGGATTTCCGACTCAATTGTACATTGTAAAATGTATGGTCATCGCGGCGCTCCCTCGCGGATAAGGCCGCTGAGCCTAATTATGTAGGTCGTATCCAGCGCGCGACGAATCAACCGAATGTTGTGTCGCGGAGGCCGCGCGACACATATGACGTGTTTAGACGCCCTTAGGCTAGTGATCTTGTTGTTGTGATCCACAACGTAGCCGAACTACCCAAAGAGAACAAAAGCCATGAGAATCAACGCACACATCGGCGATAGTAAAGCCCTACATGTTGATTGGAGAACAAGAGGTGGGTGTTATTTTCTACACAACCACGGAGACGGTCGTTGGTTCATCAGTGAGAGGCCTCTCTTTACGTTGACAATTTGAAGCTTTCCCTAGCTTAAGCGAGCGCTCTCATTGGTGGAGAGGACTAGAGGTCCGAGACTATACCAAACAGGGATCGTTCAACGATAGTTTTTCGACGGGTCCAAACACTGGTAAATACTTGATGTTATCTTCATGATTGTTCTATCATTTCAGTATGAGCAACTGTACGCTTAATGATACTACTTACGAGAAAGCACATAACAAGCCGAAAACAACGACAACAGTAGGGGGCTTGGGGCAGAAATGCACATATCAAACTTCGCATCTATGAAACAATAAGTGGTAGTAATGCCCGCTAAGAACAGCACTTCTTCCCGGTGTTCCCGTTGTAATAATGCTGTGAGGTGATACAAGTCTATGCACATCAACAACAATCGCTAGAGCACCACCGTGCTCAACACCATCCAGAGAAGTGGCGGGGCCAACACAGCCCATGATAACAAATACCACACCCAAGAACTCGCTATCGCAGTCTTCCCTGGTAGACGACGTATGGTGACGGGCATCGCGGGTGGATGCGGGTTAGTGGCAGTATGACGAGACGGGAGATCGATGGCAAGCGGTGATATCAACAGAGAGGCTAGAGCTCATCGAGTAGCATGGAGACACTGCAGCTGGCGAACCTCTCACACAAGCTGTCTGCAGAAACATCATCTCACTGGACGTTTCTCCAGACGGCGCAGTGATAGTGACTAGTTTCAAAACGACGAAGCTGTGGAGCACAGAAAACATGCAGCTGCAGGGGAATCCAATGGATTTTCATGCAGAAGTCACTTTTGTGCTCCATGGGATCTGTCGTTTTGACTCGTTCAGTAGATGACGGCGACAAGAAGGCGTGGGAACTTGCAATTAGGATCGACTTGTCTTCCTTCTGCGTCTGAAGATCTGACTACCGGAGACTTTGCCATACGGTCAGCCTGCCAGCGGCGGAGGTCGCTGAGCGCTGGAATGGCCATGCTAACAAGATTGTACTCCGAGTCTGACGAGGGTGAGGATACTAGTATACTCGAAATATCATGTTCGCACTCTTGTCACCTCCACATCTCAAGACAGCCTCTTGCAATTCTCGTGTCAACGCGCGTCACCACGTTGCAGCAAGGCTTGCATACTCATTGTTCAGTTTTTTCGGTACCCACCCACCTGTGATCTATGGCGAGAAGAAACAACATGCGCTCGGACGACTCTTGCCGGAGATCGTAGATCAGTCAACTGAGCCTCACTTGCGGGTGTTGAGGTTGGTTGTTCGTGTACCAGAACAGAACAGAACCGACTTGATTGTGTACGTCGTTTTTCGTGCATCATCGGCATGTTGATTATTTTCCGCGAGCCATACGGTTCCAGGCTGCATAAATATATTGCCTCAGAACCGTCGATGTGCATGAGCATCAACCCAACTTCATCAGCATCAGCACTTGCTTTGTAAAACCCAGTCAGGGCGGGAAGTTCAAGTTGCATGGCGACGACTAGGTTCTATGAACTTGCTACTTCTGTAATTCATTCAACGTCCTACAGGTCTGAAATGGAGAGATACTGTTTTTGTATGGCAACAATTATGAGGGCCAGAGAACAGCTGAACACCAAGAGGGGGTCGTCTTCGTTATGAATGATTTCCCACTGGTACGTGCCCGTTTCTACATTTTGATGCCTTCGACCCACACTCACGGTTTTTGCAGAGCTTTGGCGTCACACTACGGTCAACAGTGGATACCCGACAAATGCTCCAGAGAGGAACAGCGGTCTAAAAGCACCTGAACATCTGGCATGCTCAAAAAATAAAGGTTTGCCAGGGCGAGAGTAACACAAGGTGCTCCATGGCGGGACAGCGGTCTAGAAATATCTGACGGTCATGGACGGGGAGCAGGGGAACAGTGATAGAAAGTGCTATCAAGTGTTTTCCATACGCGTCCAAAAAGTTGATGTACCATGCCAGTGGGATGTCAGGTATATCTTGAAGTCCATGAACCGTGAAACGGCGAAGGCAAGGCAATTTCCACTTCTGAGCCATTACATCAAGGAACTTAAAGTCACAGGGACGGGAGGTGATGGTGATTTGCAATTCGTGGAGGTGTTCGAGCGTAAGAATATCGATGTCATCCTTCTCATAGATAGCAAAGGATAAAGACAAGATTGTAAGATTTTTGCGGTGTGGAAGGCATGGAAGAACATCCAAAAGACGGATCTCGTTTCCGACGTCGAGATGGATTACTTTTGAGAGGTCGTACTGGTGCATAGATGAAATGAACGTGTTGCAGACACCCATCCTTAGGGATATTCAGGTAGCGTTGGGGCTCATTTCCGAGATGCGTCGGAGGGCTTCATCAAATATCACAAAGTAATGAGAGGTCACCGGTCACCTGGAAAGACACATTGATGTCCGTAATCATCTCGCAAAGTCACGCGTTGCCTTGCAACGTATTCAAGAGCGCTGCGATTTGTCCTATGCGGCGAAGATGGATTTCTCGATATAGTAGACGGGTGCCGGTCTCCCGCCAAAAGTTGCAGACAAGAACTACAGATTTCTTGGTTCGCTGTGCCATGCACCATGCAGAAAAAGGTCCGCAACTTGAAACAAGGGACGGGTCCAGAAAGACAGAGGGAGGAAGCGCAAATTCCAGAATTTCGTGTAAGATTTCCTAGGGGTGGCTGCCTGAATGGGAATGGGTTTCTGTCCAGAGCCTCTGGATCAGCATCAGAGTGTTTTCCCTACGAGGTAGTCCAATTAATGGCTTGCCCTTATAAAAATAGGCAAGGGCTCACTCTGGAAAAGGACGGTGACACAGCCCGTGAAGCATGCTCTGCAAAGCAGTTGGACCCGTTCATTTGTGAGTGTCATGATGGCACTGCAATCGATGGCAAAAGTCAGTTACCACGATCCAAATTGGAAGCCATAGAATAATTTACAACGTACGAAGGGGGCACTGTAGCTGGGTGGTTAAGTACTGCTATATTAAACCGGCGGCCTTGGTGCAAAATAGATGATGATAGTTGAAAACAGGGAGTACCTGCAGTACGTCGGTCAGAATATACGGAAACAAAGAGTCGAAGAGCTCCTAAAGCGAATGGAGAGTCTTTACTACTGCTGCTGACAAAGTTGAGGCTTCCGTGAAGGCGCATATGACTCTACGTACTGCAAACCCAATATTGATGCTACCTTCGTTTTGGCTCATAAAAGGACAGTGACCTACAGTGACACTGACAATCTGAAAGTATTTGAGCTGCATTTCAGTGACGAGGCAGTCGAACTACTAAGCTATTCCAGTCTATTGGCAGGATATGGAACGTGACGGTTACAGTGTCACGTGACACGTCGTTTCAGCGCGTCGTGTGACAGTCACTGAGCGCGTTTCTTGCCATCATGGATGACAACGATCCCATATCCCAGTTCTTCGACGAAGAGGATGTCGACCTCTATGCCGTATTGTCTCTTAAATCAGATACCTCCGCAGAAGATATCCGGAAATCTTATAGAAAACTTGCTTTATTGTGTCATCCTGACAAACTGACCAACGCCACCGAGGAGGAACGGGCAAATGCGTCTACGCAATTCCAGAGGATTGGTTTTGCATACACCGTACTAAGCGACGAGAAGCGGAGGAAGAAATATGATAAAACCGGAAAGACTGATGAAGGATTACTCGGTGAGGCGGATGAGGACGGCGGTTGGGAAGCTTACTTTGAGGACCTATTTGACCGCGTCACACGAGGAAGACTGGATGAAATGAAGAAGGAATATCAAGGTGTGTCCGGATGTTATCTGGGAGATCGCTCACAGAAGTAACTCTACTCATAGGATCTTCTGAGGAAATTGATGACCTCAAGGCCGCGTACCTTGAAACCGAAGGATCCTTCGACGAAATCATGAAGCATATTCCTCACTCCACAATTGATGACGAGCCAAGATTTGTAGTAGCACTGTCGAATCTCGTCCAGGCTGGCGAACTACCGAGTCTTCCGCAATGGGAGTCAAGCTCCAAAGACGAGAAAGCCAAGCTAGTGAGGAAGAAGCAGAGCGACAAAGAGGCAAACGAGGCTGAAGAACTTGCGAAAGAGCTTGGAGTATGGGATGAGTTCTACGGAAGCGGAAAGACAGGAGCGAGAAAGGGCAAGGGGAAAGCAAAGAAACCAGCAGATGACGAAGATGAGGACGAGGGAGACACTTCAGCACTCCAGGCCCTCATTCTAAAGAGACAAAAGGGCCGAAGCAGCTTTATGGATGACCTTGCTGCTAAGTACACGAATATGGAAGAGTCATCCAGAAAGAAGGGAGGTAGGGGAAAGAAACGAAAGAAGGGCGCGGACGAGTCTGAAGCTGAAGCGGAATCCCCGAGGAAGAAACCTCACGTCCAGGATCCTCCTGACATCGATGATGTGGAATTCGCCAAGATACAACAGAGGATATTTTCGGATAAGCGCAAACCAACAAGTGAAGGATCACCAGTGAAGGGGAGACGGAGCGGGAGAGCGAAGAAAGCCAAATAACCCCTGTCCTGTGTATGTTTACTGTAATATCCGCCTCGTCTTGCTTTGTATTGCCTATGTCTTGATGTATGTCTTCTAAATTATTATCATTGAAACCTGACCGTTGTCTGTGTCGCATATGACGCGTTTGCAACGTAGCAATGTTCTATTAAATTCCAACCTCCACAAACGATATTATGAGATTCTCAAACGTATCTCACTAGGTCAATTCCTAAACTACGACGAGCGTGAATAATTGCCACCAGCTCCTTGATGCACTCCTCTAGAACAACAACATTGTCTAGCAGTTGCGACAACGTAACTTGCGTTGCTTTTTCTTCAGTTGAGTTCCCTCCCTCTGGTGGAGCAACCGTATGCCCACCCCACTGGCTACCAGCACTGAAGACATCATCTTCATCCGCATTCCACTTCGAAGGCTGGGCCGAGGTCCAAGCGCCCGACTGGGGAACAGGAGCTACGAAAGGTTCAACGACAATATCACGCGTACGCTGATAATGTGGAGCAAATGGACTTGCTGCGGCGTTTTTGCTATTCGTTCTCGGAGGTGTTGTGGGTTCAGAAGACGCCTTGGATGCGGTGGACTTGCTTTTTCTTGGGGTCAGGAAAGATACGAGGGCCGAGGTCTTCGGTTTTGGCTTTGGGCGTTGAGGGGGCGTGTCAGGGGTGTGAACGACGTCCCAAGAGCCAGATGGTGGTAGGACGGTGTCTTGAACCGGTTCAAGTGAGAGAGTGAGTGCATCTGTCAGATTTTCAGAGAATAGAAGACCCTGTCGCCGTTCGAGGAGATATTGGTCGAAATTTTCGACTGATTGTCGGTAGCGTTCTAGCTGGCCGACAAGGCCTTGGAAGATAGTGTGTACGACGGGCCGCGTCTGCTCATCGAGCCTAACGGCAGGAAGTATGTTAGTTTCTGTGGCAAACTTCTCGTCGATCACAGAGTCTATGGATCTATCATCCCGGCCATCATCTGCATCGAGATCTGAAAATGATGCGAGAGCCTCTGACACCGCACATGTAAGCCACCCCGCGATAGAGCGGTTAGGACAGATAGCTAGCTCCGCAAGTACGCCCGTGAGCGAGATGTTCATCTTTGGCGAATTAGAGAAGAACGTGCGCATGGACTCGAGGACGAGCGAGAGAATGGGGTCGTTGACATTGAGTCTATGCTTGAACTTTGAGCGTGCATCCATGTCTTCGTCGTCATGGATGTGGAAGCAGCTATGGTTCTGGATAGATGTTACAGCGTCGCGGAGGTAATGGTCATAGCCAGTGCTGAAAGCATCATCACTGTGTGAGGGATCGACACGGGAGACCAGTGTGAGGTAGAGTCCCATCTCACGCTCGTGCGTTGAGAATGTTACATCTGGCTGGATGAATGTGGGCGGGGCCGGCCTTGCAGAGAGTTTGCTATCCTCTCCACCAGGATAAATGAATTCTTCTTCATCACTATCCTCGTCAGGTATCTGTGGGACATCCGGGAAAATCATAGCAGGCTCAGGATAGCTCGTCGCATTTGTATCATGAATGACGAGGAACAGCCCGTTGATTGACACGTGACATCGCTGGCTCAGCATAGTCTGGAACAACTGCAGAGCAGCTGCGACCGTCGCCTGATTCTTCGAGCGCAGATTCGAGAGTAGCAAGTCTTTCAACGTGAATCGCCCCATTGAGGTGAAGTATTCTGACTGTCTCTGCGATTCAGGAGCCTCCATCTCGAGCAGGACCATTGCACTACTTTTGCGCCGGCGGAGCTTTGGCCCGCGGTCCGCGGCGCGAGGCGGGGTGCTGAGATTGAGCATGCGGGAGTGTGGTCGCAAGCGGGAGGTGTCGTCGTTATCCTCACTCATGAGAAATTCGACGAGGAGGGCGGAAAGCTGACCTGGTTCGAGGGTACGAATCATGATGTCGATATAAGACATTACAGCAACAGCGCTGCCGTCGAGATCAGAACACTCGAGGATGGATGGATAGAGGACGTTCTCAAGGAAGATGCGACGCACGGCATCTAGTATGGAGTGCATAATGGAAGTGCCAACCAACGCAGACGCATCGAGGCTGGACTCAGGGGGATCGCGGATAGTGTTTCGGCGCAATATATCCTGCAGAAATTCTAGCAATTTCAGGAAGTGGTCGAGGCGAGATTTGAAGTCTGGGTTAGAAGAGTCCTCGAGTCCTATGGCACGATTCTTCTCCACCAATAATTCAGCATTCTCTTTCTCCTCTTCAGTTTCTGTCCCAGTGCTGCCTAGCACCATGCCACTGCCGTGCGAAGCATCGGCGAGAGTTGGTGACTTGATCTCCAATTTCGACGGAAGCAGAGAGTATACCGCACCCAAACCTGCCCCAAGAACGTCTGAGAAATCACCATCAACGATGTACTCCGCCAACGCAAGCGCGGCATCTGTAATCGGATCCCCAGCCGTTGTCTCCGATGCAGACGCTGGAACTGATCCCTGTTCATCTCCCGCTAATCTATGTGTCGGTTCCCCAGGGGACATGGCAACATCCATAAGGAAGAGCAAGCCCGCGCGGGCAAAATCGCCAATTTGCCCTTCGCGATGAACAAATCGAAGTAGATAGTTGAAAAGGAGGAACTCATATTCTGTCTTCTGAATATGGGAGGATGCAGGGGCGGAGGTTATTGTGGCCTGCGAAGGTGTCGGTGAGGATTCGCGTTCCGCTGTCTCCCCATCATCGTTCTTGTCCTTGGCCTTATCCTCGGCCTCATCTTCATCTTCATCCTCATCCTCATCCTCTTCTTCGACAGCGAAAAGTGGCTCCGAACGGTACCAGTGCTTATCATGGAAGAAAATCATCAACAGGTCGCGGTACGTCAGTATACGGCTGCACAAAATACACAGCAAGTTCAACACTACCATACATCAGTTCTCACAAATGACTGAGCACGATACAAGCACTCACGATCAAGTTCATAATCAGAGGGTTGGCTCCGCACAGCATTCTTGGCGGCTCCCATAACCCTGTTCCGACCATCTAGCTGTTCTTGGATGTCGTCTCCGACACAGTTGCGCAGGAGGCGCAAGACAGCGCGGTGCACGGCGGAGTGCACAAGAAATTGCTCGTCCATGAGAACCACCATATTCTGAACCGCACGGAGGACCTCAGCCTGGATTCCAGAGGGTCTATCGGGTTCTGCAAGACGGACGAGCGTCCCCAAGACGTCTGTAAGATCTATTAGGTAGGTAGAATAGATTATAGTTATGGTTGCAGACCATTCTTGAGCAGAAATTCTAAGCAAGCACCAGTCGCGCTGACCGAGAGCAATAATAAACGCTATTGACACCTCCATGGTTGCAGAGCACGTACCCTTCTTCGGGGCGGGACGATTCATTGACCAGGGCATTGACCATGGACTGCAAGTGTGCTGGGGCATCGGTGGAATTGATGCCCTTGGTGAGCTGCCGCTCGTCTGGGTGCTCGAGTATTGTCTACGAGCGTGCTGAGTGTTCAATTGGGATCTATGGGGATGGGGTAGCACCTTTATGAGATTCCAGGATTTGCTGAATTCAGCTGCGTGGTCTTGAATGGGCTTTGGTTGCGGTTGGGGCGTTGGGCGGAGGAACTTGGAGAAGTAGTCCATCGTGCCTGTACATTAGCCCGCACAGACGCAGAAAGTGATCTGCCAAGTACTTTAACTTAGAGTCTCACGTGATGTGCGACGCGTCTATGTAATAGAGCAAGCTTGGAGTGACTCTGAAAGTTTGTAAAGTGCTTTGAAGCAACGTCGAAGCACAAGTTGGAGTAAAGTATACATACAAATAAAGGTATTAGGACAACTACATACATCACATAGTAACCCGTCTCCACTTATCCCAGTCAAATTCAGTTTCCTTCCTCTTCCCCTTCCCCTTGCTTTTTTTCCCCGTATTAGTACCACCACGGGCCATCCCAGCCTTCTTCAGAGGCCTCTCATCCCCCTTGGTATTATTGTCCTTCTTGGTGTCATCTTCCCTAATAGATCCAATCCCCTCGACTTCAATAATATCGTCGCTCCCGTCTACATCCACTGTTGATTTGGGAAATTCAGGTACAATCCGAGTAGCCACCATGGGCCTCTTCCTTGGTAGCTGTGGCACAAGCAAGAAATGCTCTGGCGGACACGGCGGAACGGGATACCACGTGATAGGTCTCATGATTTTAGCGGGAGGCTTCGCAGTCTTTTCGACAGGTTTCGAGATGTCAGGAGGACGTGAGTTGCTTGAGGACGGGAATTTGGACGACGATTGTGAAGCGGTATTGTTTAAGTTGGAGGTTGATTTGATCGGTGGTGTAGCTGTCTTCAAGGGTCCCGCATCGCAAAACTTGGGCCATGGAGCTGCGTTACTCTTTCCTTGTCTAGCAGTTGTTGGTGGAGTAGCAGCATCTCTCTGCTCAGCGAACACGGATCGCACCATGCCGCCCGTTCCATTCAATTTCGATGTCGAGGCACGAGATTTTAAGAAAGGATTCCTCGACTTCGGAACGGACGATGGGCGCGCACTCGTGCTCGTGAATTCGCTTTCCACTTTCCGCCTTTTATTCTTGACAGTCAGGGACGTGACCATATCTTGCATACTTGACACGTTACGCTTGGTGAGACGCGCATGGTCCATAGATGCGAGCCTCGGTGGTGGCGGCTCTTCCTGTGGATCATACAATTGGTGTGGTCGTCCTGGCGGTCGAAGCGTATCTAGTACACTCCATGGGGGCGGAGGACGTGCTAAAGCCAATGGGTGAAGCTGATCTTTGTCGGTTCCGTTTGAGTCGACGACTGCCGCCCGTATCTGGTGTTCTCTACGAGGCAGGCGTGATGCGTAGATAGTAGACGTCGTGCTTGACTGCACATTCTGCAAGACAGGTTTTGGTATTGGCCCACTGTATTCTTCATCCGAATCCGAATCGATTAGGCTTATCGGTTCTTCATGCTGCAAGTTTCGGAGGATGGACGGGTGGTGTTTCTGCTCGTGCGAGGATGTGCGATGGTTGAGCTCTGAGACGTGCAGCTTGAATAAGGAGGTGATTGGGCACGAGTAAATTGAAAGGGGGGAAAGGTGCTCGAGCGCACTCAGCGAAACATCGAGTGGAGCGGGATGAAACAAGCTACGATTTGAGGAGGGTACGAAGCCAGCAAGATGTTTTAAGACAGCATACCGCGTGCAGCGAGTGAAGCGGAGGTCTGGTTACGTGGATGAGTTGTGTGGAATGGAGAAAGAAGATAATGTACCTATAGATGATAGCAAGGAGAACTTGGATAATATAGGGAGAGCTTCGTTGCCTATATTAGTGCAGCTATGCAAGCGAAGAATTCTGAGTCCCCAGCAACCAGTTCTCGATTGTAGTTCGTCGTCGCTCCATGACAAGCCGCGAGCAAGCACGGTAAGGCCGTAGGACCCTATGGATGTCCCTCTCAGATCCAGTGCAGCGAGCGTGTTCAAGCGCCGGATTACACCAATAGTCTCGTCGGACACTTCCTTGCATCCCGGTAAGGCCAGTAGAGTCACGAAGGAGAAGTTCTCCCTGCTGGGTACCTGTTGAAGCAACGGTAGGTGTCCATCGCTGAGTGGTATTTCATAGTCCCTGAACTCTGCAGGAAGCGGATGCATAACCTGCGCAAGTGTTGCCAAAAGCCTAGGGTCAGCGCTCTGGACGTCAAACCCGCTGTACTGTGCGTCAGAGTCATTTTTACTCTGCGAATCTTGCTTCCGGGTAACAAGGGGATCACGAGGGACGACTTTTGATGGGATCAAGGCACGGACAACATCTCGACGGTAAGGTATTTGATGCTGAAGGTTGTGCAGCTGGTCTGCATACGGGGTGAGGGCGCGAATGCAGAAGTACGCGAGGGGTGGGACAGTCCTCAAATTGTTTGGCGGCTCGGGGTCATAGGGGGCCGGTGGGGCTGGCGGTGCCAGTATTGTCTTGGCAATTGAGATGCCTGCGTCGTCGAAAACATGATTTGTGTGCCGTTGTGCGTTCCAAAGCACGATTGGTTGTGACATGGACGCGGTGCTAAGCAAAGTCAATTCAGACGCGCGCTGTGTTTTATGAGGTCACGTGGATAGTGACATATTTGGCTGGACAATCATTTGTGATGATGTGAAGAGACAGTGGAAAGCGCGACGAATGACGTGTAGAGCTTCTAATATCCACCAGATCACTACACCCAGAGACGAGCAGGAATAGTCGTAGAAGTTGAACAGTAAAAGCGCCGTGTTGAACGCGTTCGTTGTCGAGCTGCTATTTTTTGACCCGTAACCAAGTTCTCACGAAACTTTGTGTTGTATATAGGTAATCGTTATTGTCTCACCTCCATTGCTCAATAACCTTGATCATCGCTGGCGCTGACTTACTTTCGTTATTGCTCTCCATAGTCGCTCATTAATTCGACCAGCTCCGTCTAACATGGCTCAACCAGCCCAACGGCTCCAACAGCCCACCAATCCTTTTCCAAACCCCTACGGCCAGCAAAATTTCTACCAACAACAACAGCCTATTCGACAAGACTATGACAATGAATCAGAGATCGGCACTCCTTACGCTAGCACTACTCGTCTTGAAGCTAACCAGCAATATTATGATTCCAACCCATTCTCCGGTCCCGACTCTGCTTCTGATGCTGGTCACGGCAATCGCTCTTACGCACCATCCATTAACTCACAGGCTAGCCACTCCCCCTTCGCAGACTCAGCTTCACATCCATATCCTGCCTGGTCTCCCGACCGCCAGATACCTATTTCCATGGAAGAAATAGAGGACATTTTCTTAGACCTCACGCAAAAATTTGGTTTTCAACGCGATTCCATGCGAAACATGGTTCGTGCTATCATAAAACCGTAACATGCACAGCTTCTAATCTATTTGCAGTTTGATTTTTTGATGCACTCACTCGACTCCCGCGCCTCCCGCATGAGTCCAAACCAAGCTCTGTTAACCCTTCACGCCGATTATATCGGTGGACAGCATGCAAATTATCGCAAGTGGTACTTTGCCGCCCAGCTCAACCTTGATGACGCTGTTGGACAAACTCAGAACCCTGGCTTGCAGCGCCTTAGAAGTGTTCGAGGCGGCGCAGTCAAAACAGCAGGCTCGAAACACTTGGACAGTGCACTGAATCGCTGGCGTAACGCGATGAATAACATGAGTCAGTACGACAGGCTCCGTCAGATAGCACTTTACCTCCTTTGTTGGGGCGAGGCGGGCAATGTGCGCTTTGTACCAGAGTGTCTCTGCTTCATCTTTAAGTGCGCAGATGATTACTACCGCAGTCCCGAGTGCCAGAATAGCGTGGAGCCCGTACAGGAGGGTCTCTACTTGCAGACAATCATCAAGCCACTATACACGTTTATGCGTGACCAGGGTTATGAAGTTGTGGATGGAAAGTTCGTGAGGAGGGAGAGAGACCATAACCAGATCATTGGATATGACGACATTAACCAGCTTTTCTGGTATCCTGAGGGACTCGCGCGGATTGTCCTTGAAAACAATGTAAGTGACTTTCCCCCAACAGCATGCGTTAGGCTAACATACCTCTAGACTCGCCTTGTGGACATCTCACCCGCCAAACGCTATACCAACCTGCGGCGCGTGGACTGGAGCAAAGTCTTCTTCAAGACCTACTTTGAGAAGCGTTCCACTGCGCATCTACTTGTCAACTTCAACCGCGTCTGGATTCTCCACATTGCAATATACTGGTTCTACACCGCATTTAACTCCCCCAAGGTTTACGCGCCCGCGAATACGCAGTACCCTTCCCCAGCGATGACCTGGTCCGCGACCGCCCTTGGAGGCGCAGTTGCCACGCTGATCATGCTGTTCGCCACGATCGCCGAGTTCATGTATATCCCCACAACATGGAATAATGCCTCCCATCTCACAACCCGATTCATATTCCTTCTTGTCATTCTGGCACTCACTGGCGGTCCGACGGTGTACATCGCATATGTCGAGAGCCGGACAAACCCCACAACCTCGCAGATTCCTCTTATCGTCGGCATTGTGCAGTTCTTCATCTCTGTCGTTGCGACCATTGTGTTCGGATTGTTCCCCTCCGGGCGCATGTTTGGCGACCGGGTTGCTGGCAAGTCACGCAAGTACATGGCTTCGCAGACATTCACTGCATCTTACCCGGAACTTACGCGCTCTGCACGCACTGCGAGCATCATGCTCTGGCTTCTTGTCTTCGGATGCAAATTTGCAGAGTCGTACTTTTTCCTCACCAGTTCCTTCAGCTCGCCAATCGCAGTCATGGCGCGGACTACTGTGCAGGGATGCAATGATAAGTTCTTCGGCAATGCCCTCTGCTCGAACCAGGTCCCCTTCACGTTGACTATCATGTATATCATGGACTTGATCTTGTTCTTCCTTGACACGTACCTGTGGTACATCATCTGGGTCGTCGTCTTCTCCGTTGGTCGCTCTTTCTCGCTTGGCCTGTCGATCTGGACGCCTTGGAAAGATGTGTATTCCCGCCTTCCCAAGCGCATCTACGCCAAACTCCTTGCCACTGCTGAGATGGAGGTCAAATACAAACCCAAGGTCCTCGTCTCGCAAATCTGGAACGCAATCATCATCTCTATGTATCGTGAACACCTTCTTGGTATCGACCATGTCCAGCGGTTGCTGTACCACCAAGTTGACAGCCCTGACGGTCGCCGAACGCTCAACCCTCCTCCGTTTTTCCTGAACCAAAAAGGTGGAAACTACAAAGACACGTTCTTCCCTGCCAATGGTGAGGCTGAGCGCAGGATTTCATTCTTCGCTAGCTCCCTCACCACCGCTCTGCCCGAGCCTCTCCCCGTCGATGCAATGCCCACGTTCACGGTCCTTGTTCCGCACTACTCTGAGAAGATTCTACTCAGCTTGCGCGAAATCATCCGCGAAGAGGACCAGAACACCCGTGTGACGTTGCTTGAGTACTTGAAGCAGCTCCACTCCGTTGAATGGGACAATTTCGTGAAGGACACAAAGATTCTTGCGGGGGAGAGCGAGGATGGGACGAGTTCGATCAATGAAAAGCATACGAGCAACAAAGCGGATGACCTGCCGTTCTATTGCATCGGCTTCAAGACATCGAGCCCGGAGTATACCCTCCGCACACGTATCTGGGCCTCGTTGCGCGCGCAGACGCTGTACCGTACCGTCTCAGGCATGATGAACTACTCCAAGGCGATCAAGCTTCTCTACCGCGTCGAGAATCCCGCCATCGTGTCCATGTTCGGAGGCAACACGGAGAAGCTCGAACGGGAGTTGGAGAGGATGGCAAGGCGCAAGTTCAAGTTCGCCATCTCCATGCAGCGGTTCTCGAAGTTCAACAAGGAGGAGCAGGAGAACGCCGAGTTTTTACTGCGCGCGTATCCGGATCTGCAGATTGCGTACCTTGATGAAGAGCCTGGGTCAAAGGGCAGCGAACCTCGGTTGTTTTCGACACTGATTGATGGTCACTCGGAGATTGACGAGGTCACTGGTAAACGGAAGCCAAAGTTCCGCATTGAGCTGCCTGGAAATCCTATTCTTGGTGATGGGAAGTCAGATAACCAGAACCATGCCATCATTTTCTACCGCGGTGAATACCTTCAGCTCATCGATGCCAACCAGGACAACTACCTTGAAGAATGTCTGAAGATTCGGAACATCCTTGGAGAGTTTGAGGAGTACTCCATCTCAAGCCAGAGTCCGTATGCGCAATGGGGCCACAAGGAGTTCAAGAAGTCCCCCGTCGCTATCGTCGGCACGCGCGAGTACATATTCTCGGAGAACATTGGTATCTTGGGTGACATTGCTGCGGGGAAGGAACAAACATTCGGAACGATGACAGCTCGTGCACTCGCGTGGATTGGGGGCAAGCTGCACTATGGACATCCTGATTTCCTCAACGCCCTTTTCATGACGACGCGCGGTGGAGTTTCGAAGGCGCAGAAGGGTTTACATCTCAACGAGGATATCTTTGCCGGTATGAATGCTTTTGGGCGTGGTGGTCGTATCAAGCACTCGGAGTACTACCAGTGTGGAAAGGGCCGTGATCTTGGGTTCGGCACGATTCTCAACTTCCAGACCAAGATCGGTACCGGTATGGGTGAGCAAATGCTCAGTCGGGAGTACTACTATCTTGGGACGCAGCTGCCTATTGATCGATTCTTGACCTTCTACTATGGACATCCCGGTTTCCACATCAACAACATTCTGGTCATCTACTCGATTCAGGTGTTCATGGTCACTCGTGAGTCTCTCGATATGTTGCGCATTTAATGCGCGTTACTTACGAATTTTATAGTGCTCTACATCGGCACCCTGAACAAGCAACTCGCTATCTGTCAAGTCGATTCACAGGGAAATGTGCTCGGTGGTCAGCAGGCTTCTGGGTGCTACAATCTCATTCCCGTCTTCGACTGGATCAGGCGTTGCATCGTCTCCATTTTCTTGGTGTTCTTCGTAGCTTTCTTGCCTCTGTTCCTGCAAGGTAATTCATTAGCATTTTACCTTGGGGCTCAGTTTACTGACGAACTGCAGAACTGGTTGAGCGAGGAACTGGCAAAGCCCTCCTGCGTCTCGGAAAGCACTTCCTGTCATTGTCTCCCATCTTTGAGGTTTTCTCGACTCAGATATACTCTCAAGCTATTTTGAGCAACTTGACATTCGGTGGAGCTCGCTATATCGCAACTGGTCGTGGTTTCGCGACGACTCGAATATCCTTCAGCATTCTGTATTCCCGCTTTGCAGGGCCGAGTATCTACATGGGCATGAGGAATTTGCTTATCCTCCTCTATGTTTCGCTGGCGATTTGGATACCCTATCTCATCTACTTCTGGTTCTCCGTGCTCTCGCTGTGCATCGCTCCCTTCGTCTTTAATCCCCACCAGTTCTCATTTTCCGATTTCATCATCGACTATCGCGAGTTCCTGCGTTGGATGTCACGAGGTAACTCGAGGACAAAAGCGAGCAGTTGGTATGGATACTGCCGTCTTTCTAGGACTATGATCACCGGGTACAAGAAGAAGAAGCTCGGTCATCCTTCAGAAAAGTTGTCAGGAGACCTCCCTCGTGCTCCATGGCGAGCTGTTGTCTTCTCAGAAGTCATTTGGCCTATCTGCCTTGCATCCATCTTCGTCATCGCATACATGTTCGTCAAGTCGTTCCCTAACCAAAATGGCGAGCAGAATCCCAGCGCCTTGGTCCGGATAGCTGTTGTCGCGATTGGTCCTATCGTCTGGAATGCTGCTGTTCTCTTGTCGTTGTTCTTTGTATCGTTGTTCTTGGGTCCTATGTTCGACAAGTGGGCGAGGTTTGCTTCGGTCATGGCTGCCATCGCCCATTTCTTAGCGCTGCTTGGAATCGTCTCATTCTTCGAGTTCTTCGTAAGTGACTCGATCTGCGCTCCAAGGATACTTAACTGACATGTGTCATAGTGGTTCCTTGAACTTTGGGATGCATCCCACGCAGTACTTGGCGTCATCACTATCGTTGCCATTCAGCGTGCGATCCAGAAGATTCTCATCGCAGTCTTCCTTTCTCGCGAGTTCAAACACGACGAAACCAATCGCGCATGGTGGTCCGGTAAATGGTACGGTCGTGGCCTCGGTAATTCCGCTATGTCCCAGCCTGCTCGTGAATTCATCGTGAAGATCGTCGAGATGTCGTTATGGAGCTCAGATTTCTTGCTCGGCCACATTCTCCTGATGATCTTGACGGTGCCCGTTCTCATACCATTCATCGATAAGCTGCATTCAACTATGTTGTGTAAGTGATACTTTTGAGATTTGTCATTCTGTATATCTAAACTGGTGACAGTCTGGCTTCGTCCATCCAAACAGATTCGAGCACCTCTTTACTCGACTAAGCAGAAGAGACAGAGACGATGGATTGTGAGCGTCCTGACCCACCCCTCACTCCATCAGCTAACGTCTTCAATAGATCATTAAATATACCCTGCTTTATATCGTCGTCGTATCGGGACTGGCTTCTCTCATCGTTCTGCGTAAGTCCAATCTATACGCTCCGCAATGTGTGGCTAAAATCATATTCTCAGCTGCTATCTTCCGAAATGAAATCACATTCCACTGCACTCTCTGTCAGAATATCTAATGACTAGATCATCGCGTCACTCTCGCATGGACTGGCTTGGCTTGCCACTTGTATATCCCCTTATAAGCTTTCGATTTTGCTTGGTGTATCATAGTAGACGATAAATCAAGCTAATTTGCATGGACATGATCGTGCTTCTTCTCGGTCGGGGAAGGATGTGCCTACTGCTGTGGCCAGGTGGAAGTCGCAATGAGATGTACCGCTACTAATGCTATGTACAGGATTGACTAAGAAATTGCGAAGTCCAATGAGTTGTCCAATTGAATACATGAGTGGTGATCAAAGTCCGTTAAAGCACATGTGGCGGTATGATGCCACGAGTTGGTGACGGATCGCTGGGTGATCGATGATCATATGTACTATTCAATTGAGTCATTATGCTGAAATTGCATGGTGCATACTCTAACTTGCACGCTACTTTATCATCGCGCGAAGCCTGCCACCAAAAACTGCGTGACCCGAGACAATCTTGTACTATGTACAACAAATGCAAGTCCTCATGATATTGTAAGAGATAAGAATGGCGCTGTGTAATTAGTAATAGATGATATCGGTTGTTGCGTCGATTGTTCATGGGTGATCTTCAATGGAGGTCGCGCTCATACTGTCTCGCGCACTAAAGCTGTCACAACCGTGACGCTATGGTCGCCGACGTCAGCAAAAATCACGTATGGAAAGCAATGGCTTACTCGTCGATTTTCTGCAAGCTCAAAACGTTAAGGAAGTCCCAGAGAAAAAATGATAAGTCGATAACGCACCCCTCCTCGGTAATAAAGCCCCTCCCGCAAAGCTTCACCTACGAACAACACAAGTATACATGAGAAGAAAGGCATATGAAGAAAGGCAGGACTTACGTGAAAACGGGCTCATTTTCTTCCGATCCCGCATGCGTACTTGTGCATACTCAACAATGTGGTTTGCCATCATCTGCGCCTGGGCATCTTCAGAGCCACCTGAGCGTGCTACAAAAGAGCAGATGGCGACAAGGTCGGACGTAAAGACATTGTCAGATAATCCATCAGTCTGTACCCAGAAGCTTTAGGTCATCCCACGCGAGCTGGGAACGACGTACGAATGCGATGATAATGTCCCCATCCCTGAGTTTGGTCTCATACTGAGCAGCCTGATTTGGGTGATCAGCCAAGTGATCGGATTCTGCCATGTTTGACGGCAATTTCGTGAGCTGGCTGTTGAAAAGGGTATTCCAATCAGAAAACTTGTCAATACAATGCATCTTACTATGGGCAATTGAAAGAAATGAGTTTGGGGTGGTTGTCGATATATAACCGAAGACGATCGGATGATTAAAAACCCGCTGTCACCAAGACTATGTGAAGCTTGCCTCAGTTGGATCCATCTGGTAGTGTATTCCACCTACTTCGCCGCTCGCAACACACCCGACGAGGAGTTGATACTGATCAAACAAGCAGTACTGGATCCTTAGTAGACGTTCAGGGGTGGATATGGGGGACAGCAATGAGAAACAGACCTGCATTGACACGACGCTCCCGTAATACAGCATGGTAGGCACACTCAAGGCATTTATACGGTGTCAATTCCCATCCCTCAACTCTTTCGCGCTCCTCGTACTCTTGAGTTGGATCAATTTCTGGTTCAGCCGGCCCATGCAGTTCGTGAGTAACGATGTGCATGATACATGAGTGTTTGTGCAAAAAGTGACGGGTCAACGCCTGAGTCAACCCATCCACCCACGCCGTCAGCAACACCAAATGACACTCCCTAGTAACATTGGAGTGATGAATACACAGCAAATACATAAGGGTCCATGGCCATACCTACCGAATTATTTTGCATCTGCCGCAGAGGAAGATGTCCCGCAGCAAGACATAAGTGGAACACGTAGCGGCCAGATCATCCGAGACGCACCTCTGTCACGAAGAAAAAGTCTTCTCCTGCATCTTTGCTCATCACATGTTTCCATCTTCGAAGCATTCCATCTCGCCAGCTCCCTACCGCAGTATCTGACGGGAACGGTACATGAATGCGCAATGGATCTGGGGGCTTCGCTGCCCAGCTGGCGCCAAAATGTAACTGGTACGGTCGAGGTTGCGGGGGGACGGGTCCTGTGTCGGAGTATGTACGCGTTATTGGCCGGTGAGCACGTTGCGACACGGATCCTAATATACAGGTGCCCTTACGCGTAACGAGGCGAGACACTGACGACGACCATGGACCAAGGGTCATCGTAAACGGAAACAACAAGTTAGAGAGGAACAGCTGAAGAGTTCTGTGATTTTGAAAACACGTGACCTCAAACGCGATGACACATCCTGACGGATCATCGATGGGCCAATCAGGTGAGAGATCTTCATAAGCACTGATTCATTTGATACATGCTGATGCATATTATAGGTTATGCAGTTCACATAGTCGTAATTATTATCACACCCGTTATCAAACAGGCCCCGTCGCAATTCCCTATAGTCGTCTCTCAATGTAGCTCTCAATCATACCGACTGGTGTCAAGGGATATTCTTTCAGCTCCACTTGACCATTCACGACGAAAGTGTTGGGCTGCAGCATCATCTTGCGAGGCTGAAAAATGATGAGGTCATATCATTCCATTCCCAAGGTTAACACATACCAGTTTCTTCTTGAGAACAACGTCCCGAATCTCGCCCTCCCATCCTGGAAGAGGCGTGGTGAGCTTCGTGTAGAAATCCCGTGCTCCAGCCCCATCAGCTGTGCTCTTCCGGACTTGAAGATCGATGAGGAGCTTTCCTGCAACAGCCTGTCCATGGGCCAAGCATTTCTGGCGGTCCAGCTTATCGAAAGATATTAGCTAGGGACTCAAGTCTGACCATGCGGTACAAAGAAACTGACTCGAATGTACAGGTTCTCTAGCGAATTATCTGCGCCGCGGACCTCTTCAAATGTCACTAGACCTTCCTTAATCATGTGCTGGGTGATTCCAAGGCTAGGTGCCGAGACAGTCAGATGGTTGCGTCACATCACTTAGAAGCCGCGGACTCACCGAGCTTGCATGTGTGCCTGCCCGTGCTTCTTCGTGGCAGGGTCATAGTACTCAAGAGCGCGTAGACCTGCGCGTGCCATTAACAGAAAAGTGATATAAACGACATCGTCGCAAGTCTTCTTATCGGTGTACTGTTACCGAAGGTGTCAGCGAGTAAGATAAGCAGTAAGCGGGATGGACTCACGCCGAAAATATTAAGAATCGTTGGGTTGCTTGCAACTGAAAGCGATGTGGGGTTAGTGGTCGTACAACTTCATGAGACAGCCTTCCACAACTCACGGTAGAGGGCAACGGTTTCCGCGCGACACTCCTCCATTGAGGACGAAACTTCGCCAAGAACCGAACCTGGTGTTTGACCAGGTTTGTACCACGATGTGCTATGTCATGTTTAAGTCAATTACATGGTCTCAAAATTATATGCATACATTTTCTTCCCAGTCAGCGGGTTGATGATCTGCAGCAAGTATCATATGATTACGACCATACTCAGGGCAAGTGTCACAAACCTTCTCTGGGTCGAAGTTTTTTGAACCGTCAGCAGCTTCCTGGAAAAGCTTCCCAGATCCATGGCCCAACAGTTCGTGGTTTGCAACCTGAAGCTCGAAAGCGCGTGAATCCCATTCATTGTACAGGTCGAGATCGTCAGGATGGATGAAGGTTATTTCTTCGTCTACGTAAGGCAAGAATAAGGAGTGCAGGAAGCTATGTCTTGTGGTATGACTTACCCGGCGCCTTGGCAGAAAGGATGTTCTAGGAGAAATATAAGTATAAGGTAAAACTACCCTCGCAAAAATACTGACAGCGAGGGAGACGTTCTTGAAGCCAGTCGATTCTCGGATGTCGTAATAGTTCTTACCCATGCGACGTTAGTGAGACATCGTTTTCCCAGCTCAAAATACTCACGGGGATCTTCATAGGGTCAACGTCAGTCAGTTACTCCTCAAGGAACGCCATACTCACATTAATACCAGCGGGAATACCTGCGTCATCCCAAATGAGCTAAATTCTTTCGCTATTGAAATGCACTTGCCTCCCGTAGCGAAGTTCACAATTTCCAATGCGGTGAAATCCGGTTTTCTAAATACGTCGACCTCAAAGTCCTTACCCCAGGGCAGGACCTTGATCAATTCTGGTGCATCGTTGACGAGTATGTCGTACTTGGCGCTAAGCTCTTTGTTCACAATGGCGGTAAAGCCTACCAGAGGCAGTCAGCACGGTGAATACCAGTGAACCCAAGTGGCTTGCCTTCCCACTCGGCACGAGCGCCGTATGGGTCAACATAGGTTTCGATAAAGCCTATGTAGGTTTCCACGACGGGGCCGACATCCTTCACCCAATGTGCAGAGGCAGCCTTGTGCTCCTCAATCGACCCAGTCTCAAAGCTGATCGGAATTTCAGTTATGGAAACGTAACGTTACAAGGCTTTGGGCGTACGAATTGATGTAGCCCTCGATCATCTTTGTCTCAGTGTCGTTTGCCGTGTATTTTTTGGCCTGAAAAACAATGTTAGAGAGTTAAACATGTAGATCAACATGAAGTTGATCGGACCTCGCGCAAAGCAGCGACGGCAGCTGCTAACGCCGCTGAGAAATCGCCGTACTCGACGGTCAATTTGATAGACCTTGATTCCGCGTTTATCTCGTGAATGATCGATTCAGTTTTGTTGACAGAGGCAACGAGAAGGGTAAAGTCGTGAGGCCCATTCTTGCGGACGCTACCAGAAAATGAGACTCTTTGCACATACTAACTTAAAGATCATGTTTACCGGGTGTTCAACACGTCGACTCCAATCTTCTCAGCAGCAGCTTGGACGGCTGCAACCTCCTCATCCGTGATCGTTTGACCGAGGTAATAGTTGGAGATATGCCCATCCTTTGGTTTACCGATGGAGAGGGAGTTCTCAGGTGATAGTGCATAAATATGGTCTTTCAACTGGTTGTGTTAATACGTTAGCTTCGGTCATCAACTTGCATCTACTTAAATACCTCGTTCCATAACGGGATTGCATTGGCTGCATTGGCTGACTTCTCGACTACAGTAGCAAACTTTTCTTCAGAAACACGGGGTACGATCTTCGTGAAACCGAAACTCTTGTAGTTTACCAAGTTGTGCAAAACCTTCGATGACAGGATTTAATTGCCCAAGGTACACGATGACTTGGACGAGGGATACTTGCCTGGGCGGAATATTGCAACACTTGCTCGAAATCTTCGGAAGCAAGACCAGATTTTTCACTGAGTGCGTCCAAATCGGCCAACTTTCCATTGGCGCTGAAGGTTAGGATGAGGAGATCATAGAGCCTGAGTGCTTGGGGAGTCCACTGTTCTTGGATGATCCGAGCGCCTGCCCATGAAGCTTGTCCAACGTAATGAGCGTAGAGCTTCTCCTTGAGTCTACATAACGATCAACAACCTCAGCCTCTGGTAACTGAAGTATACATACGTGAGTTGCGAGAATGACTTCGCAACCTCGACACGGCAGATTGGGGGAGCCTTGTCAGCCAAGAACCGGTCTGCAGCTGCGGAAACCATAGTTCGATGAAGTTGGTTACGGAGCAGTACTACTAGTGGCGGGCTGCGGAGGTAAAGTGATGGCTGATAAGATCTCGAGTTCAAGACTCGATTCAGCCTCGTTCGGAGCATTCACTTGACCAATGACCGCACACTTAGGTGGATGGAAAATCAAAAGCGCGTGACTTTAATAGGCGCGTCGCGTATGATTCTGCCTACATGACGTCAGCAAGATCAGTCATCGCGGTGTTGGCGCTGCGGATCCGAGCGCCCACGAGTTCCGAGCCGATCGTTTGTTCAGAGACTTATTCGTGCGCTGCCATCGCAGCTGCCGCACCTATACGCGTCTTTCGGTCAACATACAGAGCTGACAGGTTGATCCAACAGAATCGGATCTACAAAGAGTTAGACAGCAAGCCTTCTATGTTCACTTAATAGGAGACTTGTTCGTGCGCTGCCCTCACAGCTGCCACACCTATACGCGTCTTTCGGTCAGCATAAAAGGGAATCGCTGGAGTAGCTCTTTGCATCACGAGTCCCTTCCCGTTTGGCCGCCATGACTACTATACCAAACAGTACAACTGTCTTGATCGTTGGCGCGGGACCCTCTGGTCTTGTTGCGGCGCTTTCTCTCTTACATCATGACTTCAAGGATTTTGTCGTTGTGGATGCTGTCGAGCAAGGTCAGAACACCTCACGCGCTCTGGTTGTTCATGCCGCGACGTTAGAGGTACGCATGCATACTCCCCTATAGGAGTTCACGGTCATGATACATACTTAGGCGCTAGACACCATAAATAGCGGAGAAGAGATTGTGGCGAAGGGAACAAAAGCCAGGAGCATCAATATTGGCAACCGCACATCACAACTTGTTTCCACCAACCTCTCGTCTCTCGACAAACACACCCGTCACCCATATGCCCTCGTCATCCCACAGAATCTTACCGAGTATATTCTCGGCGAGAAAATCAAAGGCTATGGCGTGACCGTTCACCGGCCATGCAAAGTCACCTCCTTGAGGAGGAACGAGAAGGATGACAATCTTACTGATGTCACGTTCGAAGATGGGAAGATCATCACCGCGAAGTATGTCATCGGTGCAGATGGCGCTCGTTCTGTTGTAAGTCTCTTCTCATAGAGTAACTTTTACTACTCACTTTAATGTATCGTTTCTTTCTTTGTCGCTGACAGGTGCGTCGGATGGCTGGTATCGGCTTTTCAGACCCCAAGACGGGCGAGCAGGGTGATAGGACCACCAACCTGACTCAAATGGTCCTTGCGGACGTTGTATACGAAGGCGGAGACGACGACGAAGTTCGGATTCATAGGCACCATGTCACCAGAAAGCTTCTTCCTTTCCATTCCTATGCCGAATTCGTTTAACGAATTGCTTGCTAAGAACGGCCAGGAAGTCAATGGTCAAATATACCGCATTGGCTCAGGCGTTCCTGTGGTGGATGGGGAGATTCCTCATTCACCAGGCAAGGATTATCTACAGAATCTCATTGATAGATTTGGGCCCACAATCCTCTCATCAGACGCTTCAGTTAATCCCGGCCTCCACGCCAGTCCGCATCAAGGAAGTTATATGGTCAACTCGGTTCCGCACACATTCTGCGATCGCCTGACAAGGCATTCACTCGCCTTGGTGGAGACAAGCTCGAGGGTGCTACCGTTGCGCCTGATGACACCGCCAGCAAACACGGTGGCATCATCCTTCTCGTTGGAGATGCAGCGCACATCCACTCCCCTGCCGGCGGCCAGGGCATGAACCTAGGCATCCGTGACGCAGTGTTCCTTGGAGAGGCTCTTATGAAGCACATAAACGCGTCTGCCTCACAACCTTCCAATATCGACACTGATTATATCTTGCGCGAATTCGCGGAGGAGAGGCATAAACGCGCATTGGAAGTGATTGCGTATACAAAGACGCTACTTTCAGTTATGGGGACACAAGATAAGAAGATATCGTGGGTGTTTCCGATCTCGGCTACTACAGTGCGTGACTGGGTGATGTGGCTTGGTGGGAAGTTTGGCTTCATGCAGGCAAAGATGGCGTGGGCGATGAGTGGGCTGGGGAGGAGATGATTGATCATTTTTGGCGATGGAATTCAATCGTGTTCGAAATACAGTAATTACCCTTTATTCCCGTTACGTAAGTAGTGGGTTTTTCCGTGCCATGGCCGTTTGAACCTCATTGACCAAATTTTTTGGTGAAAAACGCATTTCACTTCAAAATGGTGATTTGTTCACATGATCATATGACATTCTTTCTAATCCACATGTGTGGTCTGTGTGTATTATGTAGATCTTCCTTATCATCGCCTACTATGTCTTTTGTCTGTCACGAAGTCCTTGGATCTTTTGCTGATGTTCCTGCTCTTATTCGTGTCAACAGTGCGAGTTCTGATTCCACCGTGTCCTTGCCTTTCCTGCACAATTGCAATGTGCTGCGTTCTGTTTTCACACATAATGGGGTGGTTGTGGAGTCTAGTTCTGGTCCGGCGCATGTTCCTACCGTTGATGGTTGGTATAATTCTCAGCAGACCTTTTGCTCCGTTTATCTGAATGGGTGCGACATTGAACTTGGTCGTGATTGGCTTTCGTTTGTGAATGCAAGGTTTGATGGCTCTCACTTTCTTCGACCTTCAGAGATGGTGTGGGTGAGGAAAATAGACTCTGGGGTGATTCAGATGTCTAACAAGGGTGTGAGACTAATACTCGTCCCGAGGGGATTGCTACTGGGTAGTGGGTCCTCAAATAAGTGCGAGGAAAGCAAAGACTAGACTCTGTCTAGCGACCTGAAGGGTTCTGGTCCTTACTAGGACTGGGAACACAAAGATGCGGATGGTACCCGATGAGCGGAACTCAGCGCGTGACGAGCGGAACTACACGGAACTAACTGAACTAACGCGGAACAAACAGAACAAACAGGGAACAAACAGAACAAATGGGGAACAAACAGGGAACTAATGGAGGGAAAAGAAACTACGAGCCTGCAGGAGGATGATTGGGCAAAGTCGGACCAGGCTTGTGTCTGGTACTTGCTTCAAGTCGTCGGATCCGATGTCGGGCATTTCAAGTGGAACTCATGGGGGTGGGAACATTGCAATGAGATCAGGAATAGATTCGGGAAGATATTTTAGACAGTGAGTGGAGTACTGGGAAGTACTCTGTAAGTGGAAGTGGAGTCGAGTCTATCAGAAGGTGTGAGTATGCTTCGTTCGGAAAGGCGATGGGTATGTCATATGAGTTCCAATTGTGTTCCGGATGGTGCTGATTGAGTCTGCAGATAGGTCTTAAGGGCAAGGTATCAGATGCGCCCACCCTCTCTGCTAGTGCTAGTGGATCCCTCCATTGGACCGTCTCATCTCCCAGCTTGGCTGTTCCATCTGGCAGTGAGCCGGAAGTCATTGAGGCCCCTGTGAAGCGCACCACCCGCAACACACGCAAGGCAGCGGAACCCAAGGGTAAGGGTAAGGGTAAGGTGAAGGAGGTCGTCCCTGCCACCCATACAGTTGGGGAGTCATCTGATGAAGTGTTGCACTATGAGAAGGGTGAGATTGTGAAGGTTCAGCATGAGTTGCATGTCGTGAAGGGCCAGCTCATCAGCCTCTATGAGTCTGCCTACAAGATCTCCACTGAGGTGGGTCACTTGGAGAGGTGTCTTGGGGGTCTCCTCTAGTTAGCGGATCCGCTCCCTCCCATATATACAATGTCTTCAAAATGTCCGTCTGTCATATCTGTACAATGTATGCATTTTCTCGGTGTTCCGTCTGTGTTCCACATGGGATCCGTCCATGTTCCGTCTGTGTCCCTATCCAGATCCTCACTGATGCTATGGGATAATGGGACTGTAAGTAACATATAAGTGGGTATGAGTCAGGAAGCAGAAATATAACACTGTGAGCCTGTGGACTACACGCCCAACTTGTCTTCATTGATCCACTTCCTTCCTCTATTCCTCGCCCACTGTCCACGGATCCGATGGGCCTTTGTCTAGTATCGAATGGAACACCTGGGAACTACAAACGTGCATGGTGCGGCTTCATGTGGGAGAAATAAAACGGATCCTTGTGGTTTATGCATGCACATATAGTCTAATCGGATTGAATGGCAAATATATAGTGGGAACCTGTAGATATGTAATTTCTTTCTTTTTAGTATGCGGGGTGGATAGAGATGGAACTAAACAGAACTGAGCGGAATGAGAAGGATTGAGAGACGGATCACCGGATGAAACCCAGGGTAAAACAGAGAGTAGTACTTCTATGATATATTTTTGTTTTGACGGTATTTTCTTTTTCTTGGATATAGGATGTGATCAGGTTGGGGGGTATTTACTGGTATGAGTGTCGGGTGGTATGGGGATGATGATCATTATGTGCTGGGGTCGGGCTCGGGTTCTTCTTCATCTGGCTCGTTGGCATCTCCTTCAGCCAACTGGTCTAATGCGTCGTCCTCTAGTCCGGTGATAGTAGTAATGGGGATGCGGATTGCACTGTGCGGGTGGTATGGGAGTATGCGGAATGCTGCATAACGAAGTCGCAATACTGACCCGTCCAGTTCTGCCAACAGGTACAATCCTCCTGTCGTCCTATGAAGGACGACCATCGGTCCTAGGTACTGGGGCTTCGTCTTCTGATTCAGCTCCAACTCAATCTGTGAGTTCCAGACTAGAACTAAACTACCTGGGAGGAAGTTGTAATCCTTGATGGAGGTGCGGAACCTCGCTTCGAAGTCCTTGACAGATTGGTACCTTGCTTTGAGGACTTTACCCTTAATCATGTCAAGGTCCTCCCAATGCTTCTGGAGTTGCATTGCGTGCCATGCTACAGTGGCTCAAAAAACTGTCTGCATGTTTTCACATTTTTCACTATATATGATATTGTGTGAGAATATACAAACACATCAAGGACATGCTGGTACCATATTGTAGTACTACTTCAGGGCTTTCAATTGAGCACTATGGTGTGGGAATCGGTAGAGATATGGTGGAGATATGAGGCCTACAAAATGATGACTCATGTGGACAGTTTTTTGACTCAAGTATTTTACAGTGATAATCAGGTATTCTAGTACTTTGTGTGACCTCCCTTGGCTTTAACTACTCCCTCTATCCTTCTAGGCATACTCTCAATTAATTTCTGGCAATATTCTGCTGTAATATTTTCCCATTCCACTGCTACTCTCTCCCATAGCTCCCATACTCCTTTAGGGGGGGTTTCATAGGCTTGAAGCTTCTTCTTGAGTGTTCCCCAGAGATGTTCAATGACATTGACATAAGGGGACTGTGCTGGCCAGTAAATAACATTGATATCATGTTCTTTAAACCATTTTCTGGCTTTCCTAGATGTGTGCTTGGGAGCATTATCCTGTTGGAAAATGATGTCTTCTCCATCAATCCCTGATTCAGCTATGCTAGGCAGCAAGTGGTCATTTAGAATGTCCACATACTGCTCAGCAGGCATCCTCCCCTCAACTTCAGCAAGCATACAAACACCATTCCATCCCATACAGCCCCATACCATTAGAGAACCTCCTCCAAATTTGACAGTCCCACTAACCTCTCTGTCTGTTAGAGAATCCCCCTTCTTTTTCCATACATATACCTTTCCATCTGACCCAATGCTATTGATTTTGGTCTCATCTGAACATATAACATGCTTCCAGTCCTCTACAGTCCAGTTTTGATGAGCCAATCCAAAGGCTAGTCTTCTCTGCCTATGTTTAATAGAGAGAAGAGGCATTTCTGCATTGTTACTGCCTTGAGATGAGCTCCCTCTAGAACATTCCTCATAGTTTGTGAAGAGACAGTGGTGGTAATGATGGGATTGATATAATGGGTGGCTTGGACAGCATTATCAGTCTTTCCTGTAGTGATATGTTGGATAATAGCCCTCTTATTAGTAGAGGTGGACGTCCTCCACAAGAGTTTTCCTTGTCCAGGTGGCTTTCTTTGATAAACTTGGCCACAGTAGACTTGCATACTTCAGTTTGAGAGGAAATTTGATGAGCAGAGAGGTCAGCATAGGACATAGAAAGGATATTATCTCTTTGAGCAGAGGAGATGGCTTTTATGGTGATTATGACTATGACACAGGAGACATTTTGGTTTATATAGTTAGATATAGTTTCAAGAGTATGCCTAGAAGGATAGAGGTAGTAATTAAAGCCAAGGGAGGTCACACAAAGTACTAGAATACCTGATTATCACTGTAAAATACTTGAGTCAAAAAACTGTCCACATGAGTCATCATTTTGTAGGCCTCATATCTCCACCATATCTCCACCGATTCCCACACCATAGTGCTCAATTGAAAGCCCTGAAGTAGTAATACAATATGGTACCAGCATGTCCTTGATGTGTTTGTATATTCTCACACAATATCATATATAGTGAAAAATGTGAAAACATGCGGACAGTTTTTTGAGCCACTGTATAAGCTCTGTAGAGGAAAATGAGTCTTTCCCGGGCGGGGATACAAGGTAAGTTGCTTCAGCGATATCAAATGGAAAGAGGGGCTCGACCCCATGTACCATGAAGTATGGGGATAGTCTGGTGGACTTCTGGATAGTTACCTGCTCTGCCCAGAATACGGAGTGCGCGGATTGGTACCAATGCGACTGTCACGAGTTCCATGTACAAATCATTTTTCTTACCTTAACGTTACATCCAAATCTAAGCGCCCAAGTCACGTGACTACTTATTCATCTCTTCACGACCGTCACATATATCACCCTGCATTCAGATCACCCATCACAGAAGTGCCAGTACCCTACGCCCATATTGCACCCTTCATATCACCAATCACATCTCCGATCAACGTAACGATCGATCTTCCATTCAATGACTCGCCTACTCCACGAGCTAGAATCATAGCACTTCCAATCACTTAATCTCTGTCAGATTCACGATTGATCTTCTTTCTTTAATCACCGTCTCTTATTCTTGCCTTCCTAATTACTGACTGCCTTTTTTGTCTTGGTCCGTGCACTGTTCTCATAGTATATAAACCCTAGTCGGTAGTCAGTAATTCTTTAGTCTAAACCTCTTGTACTTTCCATAGAGAATCTACTTGACGTCTATCGCTCCCTTCTCTGAATCTCCTTTCTCCCTTGTTTGTTGTTTGAGTCCTGGTCTGATTGCTTGAGACTGTAATAGTCAAGAGTCATCACATTAGGTTTAGACTTCACGCAGACCCCGACTCGTTGACTTGTTGCCTCTATCATTTACCATCACCGACGCAACAACTTCTCGACTCATCAGTTCCGACCATATTATCCTTGCCCTCGACTTCGGTCGTTGTATCCCCATTCCCAGACACAGAGCCCCGCACGTTTTTTAGTGCAACCAATTTTACGTATATCCTTTAGTAGAAGTAGACCAGGCCCTGGCCGTACATTGCCAGCCGCCAGTCTATAAGAGGAGGGTGACTTTAGGTCCCTTATCTCATATACCTATAGCAGCGCCAAGGGCGAACGGTGCCTAACTGCTATACGTTACTATATCTGCTTTCTACGTATTTTCATTGAACTAGAGAACGGCACTCGCAATCGTGGAACTTAGAAGCGTTGGTTCTCATGCTCTTCATTGCTACGGTTTATACCAGTTCTACCTATCATACGATAAACTTTGTCTCATACCTACTTGGGTCAAGAAGCCGACCAAGTACGTTATCCCACAGGCAACGTGTCGCTCCAGTACCCTTTCGGTACTAAATCCTTATTCCTAAATCCGGAGAAACCCTTATGAGCTGTTTCTCAAAAACATGCTTTAAAGGTGACAAACCGCTTTGCGCTGTATTTGCCCTTTAAAAGTTATGTCACGCCTTCCTACCCTATCTCAGAACTTCGACGCTGTTTACTCTATAAATCATTTGCGCACGACCACGCCCAAGCCTGTGCAAAACCGAAGAACACCGAAAAAAGAAGTTCCATGCAGGTTTTATCCCAAATGTAGGAACGGTGACTCGTGTGCGTTCGCGCATCCAGTCAGACCTCAGGAGAAGGTGACTCCTATCAAAAAACCCACAGAGAAGGATACTCTGGAAAAAACCATAGGAGCCATTGTCTTAGACACCATAATGACACTCGCGATTGAGCGAAAGAGATCTCTTACAGAAGAAGAGATTCAAGTAATCACGGACTGTGTTATCAGATCAACGGCACAAAAGACGGAGAAGCAAACTCCGAAATCAAATAATAGATTTGCGATCCTCTCGATCCAAGAGTTTGAGGATGTAGAAGAAGTGAAATTAGGTGATAAGAGTGATCACTTCTACATTCCAATTACCCTAGGAGGAAAGAATAGATCAGCAAAAACCAAGGCACTGGTAGATTGCGGTGCTACGTCTCTTTTCCTATCGAAGAAGTTCATGGAAAAAAACGAAGTTTCCACCAAGAGACTGAAGCGTGCAATCCCAGTAAAAAACATCGATGATACGTACAATGCAGGAGGATCCCTGAAAGAATATGCTGAACTCAAATTAACCATTGGAGATCACGAAGAAGAGGCGGCATTTATGATCACGGATCTAGGAAGTGAAGACGTAATCGTGGGGGTTGATTGGTTAAGGTACCACAATCCAGAGATTGATTGGAACGCAGGAAGAATGTCCCTAAGTCGTTGTCCAATCAAATGTAAGACCAAAGCCAAGAAGACAAAGGCTAAGGCAAAGAAAA